TCCGCTTGCTCCAAGTACAACACTGAAGAATTCTGCTGCTCTGGATCCCACAACACTCCTGATACTTGCCCTCCCAACAAGTTCAGCAAGGCTGTCAAGGACTCATGTCCCGATGCTTATTCATATGCCTACGATGACAAGAAGAGCACTTACATGTGCCAATCCGAAGGCTACACTGTTACTTTCTGCCCCAAGTAAATCATATAGACATACAACCTTATTGTAATTAGAAGCTATAGAGTATACCGATAATACAATCACATCTGAGCTGGTTCTCAGTACCTTTTTACATTATCCAACCTTCTTTTATTATGCGTATATGAGCACTTTTGAGTGACTGAGTTTTGGGATTTGGGATTCGGTGATATTGCATCCCATATTGTATAGGTTTAAAATATGCTGATGATAGCCACAAAGGTGCTAAACTCCAAAGTTGCCATGAAACGTCATGTTTGACGCTAAACATACCCATGTTGATATAGGCACATGCTATGTATGCAACTGCTTCATGATGATGTTATTGATGTTTTCCCACATTATGTGATCCCAAACACCTCGTGTTGCTATCCCCCGGCTTTGTCAATGGGACATGTAAACATTGGGCCATTGCGTTGGTTTAAGCTGCATTACTGTGTTCTGTGTAACACTCACAAAAGGAAAGGGGTCGGAATAACTACAATCAGGGTCACTTGCAAAGTGGCCCCCCTACTACCTCTTTCATCCATGGTAGCAACGGCATCCTTTTTCATGTGTTCAACATGTCACCTTATTTGGACGTCTACGATCTATCCATGGGGGCAATGAAATCGCCTGGTTAAAGAAAATACAAGCTCAAAAAGTGCGATTGGAGGTTCACATAAGCAATGGTGGCAGTAGTAGTAGGTCAGGTTTTCCCAGTATAGCAACTTTGCATGGCAAAGAGGTTAATCTATGCAAGGCAAACACAAGAGGATTGGCGGCTTAGCTACTACCACACCGCTGCTTCACGCAGTCATCTCCTTAATATGCACACAAAATCAACTACCCAAAGCAAGTTAAATATGGCCTTGGAGGCAAAAGACCATGATTAGCTAATTTACCTGCACCAAATAAAGTATATAGTAGGCTTAGTGCTTTATGTTAATATCACCTTAATGCAGGGTATGAGTGATCCTGCTGGTGATGAAGGGCACGAGTAAGCATGAAAAGGTTGATATGGAGTGTAGCCGAGAATGGCAAGCCTCTTTATTTTCATGTGTATACAAGAATACAATAAAACATGTTGTTCTTTGTGTATTAACATGTGGGAGAGAAGAAAACCCTGGTTGAAAATAGACACAGTGTTGGATGGCTGATCTTGAAGGAGGGATTGATGGCTCCTTCAGAACAATGACAAATAGTATGAAAAATTCGGAAAGGCTCCGATAGGGTGATATATAAAACTATTCCTGGAACTTGCTTTGCTGTACAGCTATCTACTATGGTATTATTTGCCTGTATAAGATTCAACAGTCAACTGTATGCCGATCTATAAATTATTATTATTATCATGAAGGAGGGAGCGATAGAGAGAGTGAGAGAGGGAGATGCAAGCATGTGGTGGCAGCAGCAGCAGATTAGAGAGGGGGTGGGGATGATGATGTCCAAAGAAAGAATGGTTCTGGCTTCGGCTTGTATGCTCCGATGCAGAGTAAAAAGGCATGGTCAGGGTCATTATGGTTTGCATTTTTGTATCGCGTGAATCTACGTGCTTAACGTTAATGCGTTTTTGACTCAAACCTTGGGCATCGTCATTATTGCTTGATTCATCATGATAGATGATGATGATGTGTACCGACAAGAAGAAGCATAATGCATTAAGCGACTTTTAAACTCCCCGTTGCAAATGATGGGACAGGGAGACTCCCCAAGGATACATACTCGGATAGGTTGCCTTAATGCAAATTAGACAAGTAAGGATGTCTTGCATTTGCAGTTCCCCACTCATCCTCCCTTTTTGTGCAGCCATTGTCAGTTTAAACTTTGTCCGGCAGGAATCCAGAACTTTAAAGTATTTTGTAATGCCTCGCACAACAACATCCAAGTTCTTCATTAAATACAAAACCTTGTTTCAAGCCTTGTTGGTCGACTCGCTCAAGCACATCTTGTAAAAAGTGAACAATTTCCCATGCATCCAAAGACTCGGAACAGGTTGTGGTGGGATATGTAGCAGGCCAATGCGTCATCACCATCAACAATTCCCTTTTTCTCTCATCCTCTCTCGCTCTCTCTTTCACTCTCTTGCATCTCTCTTTTCTTTTCTTTTGTTTTACAGTCACCCTACTTTTTCCTTTTTCACACTCTCTCTTTCTCGCTCGCTCTTTTCTTCTTTGCTCTTTCTCTCTCTCTCAACTTTGTTTTCTTTTCCCTTATTCCTAATTGTGTCTGATCATGGCGCGACAGGAATCGCTCGAAGGCGAGCCATGGCTCATCGTCGAGCCTGACCCTGGTACTACACACGATCAAGAAGAGGTGTGCGATCTCGAATAGCTGAACTCTCTTTTTCAGGTTCCTTGTCGCAACTATGCTCCAACATGGGTGTCCAAGGCGTTCAAGTGGAACAGATATGCTCTTTGAACCGGGGCATGCTTCACGATCTCAGGTACGACCTATTTAACTTTAACCGGGACGACTCGGGGCACCGAGGTATAAAAATCACAACAATGATGCTGATGGATGATCCACCTTTTGTTATAGGCCAATTCACGGCATCACCTTATTATTGCATCACAAACCTGAAAGATCTCACAGAGACGATGGATCTACTACAACAACCCACGCTAACAACGTTTACTTTGCCAATCAGGTAAAATTCATGCAGCGAAAAACAAATCAGGAAATTGCACTAAAACAACTTCCAACAAAAAATAGGTGGTTCATGAAGCCTATGCCATCTATGCACTGCTTAGCGTATTGATGAATTGCAATGATGACACGGTCGATTTGGGCTCGGAATTGATCAACTTGAAAGAATTTACTGATGATTTTCCACCAATGGTAATGTTGGGGTGGATGGGGGAGAGAGAAATGATGACGGGAGAAAAGGGGATGTGTGTGTGTGTGTGAGTGTTTGTGGGGGGATCGTGATTTGTGATATGCATGTGCTTCTTTGAAAACCCTGAGGTTCTTTTTCTTATTCTCCTTTTCTTCCATCTTCTAGCTCAAGGGGCTCAGTGTGACGAATAGCAAGATACTCAAGGATGCACATAATAGTGTTGCAAGGTACATGGATACATGATGCATCATCCACCACATTTACACATACACAGGGCTCATTATCGTTATGTATTCAGACGTCAACAAAGGCGGCTTATGCGCGGCGATGACATCTATCACTACATTACTTATATACCAATTGATGGATACCTATGGGAATTGGATGGATTCAAAAGAGGACCTCTTCGATTAGGTAGGTTAAATGAATTTGGGGGTGGTGGCGACTTTATTCTTACACATGATTCTACACCCTAGCATCCTGCACAGAAACAGGTTGGATTGATACGGCGCGTACCGAGTTACAACGCAAGATTGAACTGTAAGTCTTTTTTCTTTTTGGGTCATGAGGGCAAGGAACAAAAACGGGGGAAAATTCAGCGTATATTGTCTAGTGGATCGTAATATGCTTCTTTTCCCCCCACTATTATCAGCCATGTTATTCTGATCGTTGAGACAATGCGGTTTTTTCTTGTATATCCATGACACATATGTGCAGGTACCAGCGACAACAGATACCCTTCACGATATGGTCCGTGGTTGAGGATAGACGACGTGTATATCAACGCCAATTAGCCGCCAAAGCGTATATGAAAAGAGCCATCGAACAACATCTCGAAGCACACGATCCAAGTTGGCGAGTTCCGTTACGTGCACAACAATGGGAAGAGGAATACAAACATGCATTGGAAGCTGTAAGTAATGATCAAATCGTGGTTCAAAGAGAGGGAGCGAGGGAGAGAGAAAGAATGCGTGTGATCATGTACAAGAGTGGAAAGTGCGTGTGTGTGCGAGTGGATAAATGTGGTTTAACAACAAACTTACCAAAGGAAAGATGTAAGCGCGGAACAGACATATATTCCACCCTTGATACTTGGATGTTCGAGGCATCAGCAGCAACTCCAGCAATGACCACCGAATCACACTTGTTGACAAGCAGTGACCTTGTTGATCTTCAAGCTCAAATTGGCTTCAATACCCAAGGACGATCATTGGAAGAAATAATGGATTTTTGGCTCCAAGTACAAGATGATTCTCTCAGGATTTACAAACAACTAGGAGAAGAATGCGAAAAGCAACAAAAGTATCAGGTGATTATTAGTGCAGTAAGAGTGAGAGAGGGTGACCATCTTGGTTAACGTAAAATTTTTATAGGATGATGTGATTCGACGACAGCATGATTATACGCCATTCATCAAAGCATATTTACAACGACTCTTGGTTCATGGCCATCTTGAACGGATGATTGCTGATTTATCCTAGAACCACCTCATAGCTCCATTATACTCAAACATTCATCCTCATTGCTTTTCATGACCTATGAAGCTGTTCAACCTTCTTTTTTTCCCTTAACACATTCTTTATGCAACCAACCCCACCCTCCACTTTCCTTTCCAGGTTTACGTTAATGCATGGTCGTGGCAACAACATTGTGCTGATTTGATATCCCCTTTTTCTCATTCTCGCACACACACACAATCTCATTCTCTCTCTCTCTTTAATGCTTGCTCTATTCCCTCCTCTTTCATTCTCTCTCATTCGCTTTATGTGTTGTCGTCGTTCGTCAATATCTTCTCTTTTGCTGGGTCTCTTTTTCTTTTATGATGATTTCTCGTCAAATATTAGCATTAAAAAACAACGTACGACTTGTACACAATCTCTGGTAGTAGTCCTGCAGGTGCATAGTCATCTAGCCATCATCATTCCTTAGGCAATCGAAAGGGTAGCGGTTTCCACGGAGATGACCACGTCATTTAATCCCAATCCGGAATCATGGTAAAATCGTATCCAGGATACTTGTAGTAAGCGTAATAAGCCAAGTACAAATGATAAGCACCTATCATCAACATGTCAATATCATCCCTTCTTCATCTTCATGGTTACATGCCTGGAATAAACATGACGCTACCGAGTACCAAAAATGGAATACCACGGCTCAACCAAATCTAAAAGGGGGGGTGGAATGCGTTAGCCATGTATCCAAAGGGACGACGCGGGATTGTTCTAGAAGCCTTATAGATAGATACCTCGGATGTAATGTAGCCAACCTTGATAAGAGCACCCACAACGACTAGGACGGACCCCATGGTGAATAAAAGAGCTGCAAGCCCAATGGCTTTCCAAGGGACTATATCATAGCGACGACAATTAGGCAACACGGTGCTGAGTCATTGGGTCATGGGCGATGCCTACCCTTTGGTTCTGGTGTAGCAAATTGACCAGGTGTGAATCCTCGGTCTTCTTGTAGTTCGAGGAATTGACGTCTTTTGGACTTTTTCAGTGGATTGCGCATTCTCATTGGAAAAGAGAAACGGGTGTTATGCAGAATAGGTGTTCCGGCCGTTATGGGTTTTTGCTGGCAAGAGCCAATCAAGGACGAGCATGTGATACAACGACTACCACCAGAGAATGAAAATGCCGCTTCACGCCGTGTCTCTCTGTCAACATTTTACAAGAGTGAAGATACTATAGCTCGTAGTCATGGATACTTAATATCGAAAAGTAGTCCTCGTATAAAGGAAATTCACTCATCATCCATCGTGTATGTAGCAGTGGTCATGAGCAATTACTTTTTAATTATGGGTGCTTCAAATGATTGTCATTCATCTTTGCTGCTTCTAAAACAAAACATCCGCCAGTATGTAAAATGGTCAAATAAGGCTGTGCTTGGACAATCGTTCAAAACAAAATTAGACTGTTATAAAGGGCTAATTGCTATCTGCTATTACTACCTCTTCTGGTCGTGGTATAGGGCGAACATCGCAAAACAAATATATACGTTATACACGTGCCTCGCTCAAATCATGAGTGATAGGATTTTGTTGGAGATGGATGATCATGAGGCGCAGTGTCAAAAGTGAGGCTTCGTTTCCTGGATATGGTTAAGCAGCAAGGAGTTATCAAGAATGAGAGTAACCGGTTGTTCTCTGTGAGCAGGTTGTGATGGCCGGTCGTCGATCATTGTAAACCTTGTGTTGAAGGTAGATCATCAAAGAAAGCACAGCTGAGTGTACACGATCCAATTACGAGATGCTGGGGATACCTGATTTGTACAATTTAACGCACGTGTATTGGCAAGCGTAAGATCGACCGTTGCCTCTTACACATTCTGCATTTTAATTTTCTTCTTTCTTTGTGATTCTCCTTATAGCAGGATCAATGCCAGTTACTAGTAGGCGGCCAAGTTTACGGCTGAGAAAAGCAATGACGATGCACACAGCCTCATTTTTTATTATTCTTCCACAATCTCAATGGTACAATTTGTATGAAACGAAAGGAGATTCATTGAAACTTTGATGATCCATGAAAGAGAAAAGGTGGTTCGTGCAAAAAGCAGAAGCATCCTATACATCTGCTATCATGCCCCAAAAGATATAAAAGAGACAGGGTAGAATACTCAAGTTTTCTATCATCAACATCCATCCATCCTCAAGAACCAATCTCTTCAAACCAATCCAATCCTTCAACTTAACAAGACAACAACAACCATGTTCAAGAAGACCCTCGCTCTCATCCTTGTCATCTCCATGACCCTCGGTGCCTCTGCCACTCCTATCCTTGACAAGCGTAGCTCGTGCCAACTTGGTAACCTTCTTCCCACTGGTGGTGGTGGTGATGCCTTGTGCAGTGCTCACTGCGGTCAACAGGGAAACAAACACGGTGGTCACTGCGATGAAAACAAAGTCTGCATCTGCAACCATTAACCCATTCCAATCTCTCCACATTGACGCTGTTGTTGTATCAGATACTTCTCAATCACCATGTTCGAATAAATGTTGTTCTTCTTTATCAATGTATATATGATGATGATCAATTGGAGTTGTATCAGTAGGAGGAGGAGTAGCCAGGAAGAGGTATCTCTAAACGCATGCTTGTCACGAGCTGATAGGATGATGAAGGTGGGTATAGCCAACAAGGTTTTCGATGCGTCAGCTTCCCTTGTTCATTTGAAATCCTGGTAGCTGATCCTCTTTAGCGTGCATCAAATGTTCAACCACATCCTTGAATAAGGGAGAAGTATACAAAATCAACGTTGTGCTGGTTTTGGCATGATCCAGTGTCGTGCGTCACGTGGATGGATTATGAGCACTATTGATGCATGTATATGCTATGAGTCAACCATCCCTAAAAGGTACAAGTGTCATTGAACAACTTACTTATCAAACACGTGATGACCGATTATGGTACATAGCCTCTCCAGTGTCGTTATCATCTTGATTCGTATGGCTGATAGTCATCTTCAGGTATCCAAGTCGTTGCCATATGAACACGTTGACTGAATTGTCCACCTTCTAATTGCGAGAAGACGAAGCAACATGGCAGCTGATGACTGATCCAAGTGAATGACGAGTCGACTACATTGCTGACATTGTCTCGTGTATATCCAATTGCTCTCCTTCAAGATGTACTGTTGGTTGCAGATTGACCTGTGCTTTTGCTGGGTGTTTCAAAGTGAAAGAAGCCTCATCTCCTTCCCATTCCGCTCTTTGAACATTGTGGTACAAAATTCATGCACCTGATGGCTCGATCGACCTCACCATGACATGATGCGTTGATAGAAAAGGAATGACACGTTTCAATACAGCGAACATTCGATCAACACTACATGCAGCATCTCCCCTGGAAGATTACTGTATGGTGTGGCCATTATAGTTGAGGAGTCATCTGCTAACCACCACCACTACTACTACAGCAGCTGCCCATGATGGCATCAGTACTAGTTATAAAAGGCAACTTTCACCTTTCAAATAAATCATCTTTTATCATGAATGGTGCATATCAACTTGCTTTCAAATGGAACATCAAAAAGTGCATCAACTTATATGCAACTTTTGCGCCATTTGGCGTTCTTGCTTTTGCGGAGGTTCATTGGGCACTGCTCTTTGCCCCCACCACCTGCAACAGCTCCCCACCACCCCTGGACCAAGCAATACCTTTGGCTGTTTAGGAATATTGACAAGGACCCAACGCACATGACACATGTACAGAAAATGAAAAACATGTAAATTGACATTGGCTTGTCCTTTTCTCTTGACTTTTATAATAAAAAGAGAGAGAGAGGTGGAAAGGAAGAAAGAGACGGGGAAAAAGAGAACGTACGCCAACATGATAGGGATGATTTTTGCATTCGAGAGTGATGCATGTTCTCCTCTTTTCTCTTAGAAGCCATGTATACTATGTATGTATGTACGATGAGAAGGAAGAAATGAGTATACAGTAAACTTGGATGTGCGTGGTGTATATACGCCAAGCAGGGGTTGACGGGGGGAATGATGATGCAGCACCAAAGCGAGTAGTGAAAATCTATAAAAGAGCTCAAGCACCTTTTTTCCTTCACCATCTCCACCATCCATATCAAGTCCATCAAAATGCTCAAGAAAACTATCGCCCTTGTCTTTGCGCTTTCCATGATCATTGGTACCACCACTGCTTCTATTTCCCATGAACAAGAAGTCGATTTGGACGCTGTTTGCAAATTCGCTCAAGGCGACCTTGTTCCTGACATTGCTTGTGCTGATGTCTGCAGGCAGCAGGGCAACACTGGTGGTAAATGCGATGCCCAAAAGGTCTGCCAATGTACACCCAAGAAGCAAGCACCCAAGTCTAAGAGCGATGCGGAGGCGAAACACGATAAAGATGACGAGCGAAACTAAATCCCCATGGCCGTCCTCCTCCTTCTCCCCTTTATGTCAAAGTAATAAAAGTTATATACATCTCTCCTTCACTTTATATCCAAGCCAATAGTGTGTGTGGGTGTTGTTGCTATATGACGGTTTGTGTTTCTTCATGCATGACGAAAGTTCAAAGGTGTACCCTTTTATGTATCTTGTAATGATGATGATGATGCATATTCTACATACAATAAACCACCATATACATCGGCCATATTGTCGGCTTTGGATAAATCAAACTTCTTCGCTCGTTCGGAAAGAGTAATGGTGGTGGTGTGTATTCCAGAGCAATGATGACGATGATGGTGGTCATGTGACGAAGATGCAACAAGATCCTCGACTTGAGATAAAAAGTAGGTCCATACAGCATGTGGATCATTCATTCTCGGGATATCCATTTGCAATAAACCAAGGACACCATAAACATAATCAGTTGGATCCATGCACCTTCGAGAAGATTGAGCAAACATGAATAACAAATCGAGAGGGCTGCAATTGTTGTTACAATCCAACTTGGTCTCCACCATCACAGGGTGTCCGATATCTGCTGCTGCTGTTGTGCTCAATTCATGCCACATTTTGTGTAGTTGCGTCGTACCTCGAAACAAAGATACAATCGCACATTCAGCACCAAAGGAGTAAGCTACTTGCAAGAAGAAGCGTTAGCTACATCAAGGTGGAGGATATGATTTATGAACCTACACATTTCATGAATCATGCGAGCCATTTCTTTGAGAGCAAAAAGATCTACAGCGTTGTGTATCTCTTCACCACCACTTTGCTCAGCTATCATGAAACCCCATCCAGGAAGTACAACTTCTTGCCACGTCCATACACGGTTCCACCATTGACAATGGGCCAAGGTGGATAAGGCGTCTAGCTCTTTTTGATAGGTACGAGCAAACTCGCTGACTTGTGCTTTAGCATGAGGAGGATGACCGAAAGTATAAGCGTCTCGAATACTGTTGATGGCATGCCACATTTTCTCAATGCATGGGTCGGATAATCTTTGAATGGTATTTGGATGACAATCCAACAGGATGATACAGCTGTTACAGTGAGCGTAAATATCTCGCATGATGACAAGAGGCGTATCCATGCGGACACATAGGACATCAATCCACCAATAACTGTCAGGGTGTGCTCTTAAGAGTGCTAGTAACGTGTTGCGCTTTTCGGGTCGCATCGGAATTGGCTTGACAGGTCGGCCATTTTCGTGAATAAAGCTTCCCACGTCCCACATGTTATTTCCAGCATTTCCCCACACATGTGAAACGGCATAAAAACCAAGTTCCCCTGTACTGCGTTGCATGATACGTCGACGATGGTACAAGTTGGCATGCGGTCGGATAATAGTCATTGTGTCATGGCTGTTTTTGGGTACATATAAAAGTCGAAAATCACGATGCATGACAAGTTGTCTTTGTTGATGTTGGCTACTACTATTCGCATTCATTGTTGTGGTACTTGTACCTTCGCAAAAAAGGAGTGTCTTCTTAACAATGAAGGATCTTTTTTTCTCTCGTAGCTTATCCCAAAATGACAACTAGGGGGGAAAGGATTTATCAGGTTTACTGAACGATTCATTATGCTCTTTGTATACCATTTGTTTGATGTTACGCCAAGGATAGTGATAATAGTAGTAAAGAAAGAATCATTTGAACTCAAAAGCAGCGTCCTTTAAAAGGGGAGGAGTTGCTGTACTACTTTACTACATGCACAGGAACCGATCCATCATTGGTAAGCATCGCATTTACGTCTTTAGGTTATAGGCATTATGTGTAGAGAAGAGTAGTCTACATAAGGTAGATGCATCATTTATTCAACTCGTTGAGGGCTATGTTATTGAGCAATGCATTTCAATCACAGTGTAGACTTTTCATTCCTTTCATTGCCGTGGGAACACACCTCTTGCACTCCACCCTATTTCTACCATTTTGCCTTGCACAATCGCGACAGCAGAATGACCTATGGCAAAGGCACCACACGAGCAATCTTGAACGACGACCAAGATTACAATGACAGCCTACGACCATGACACAACCGCGTATGACACATGCATGTATTCAAACGACCAATGGCATGGATACCAACCACGCTGATCAGCACGTACTTGAATCACTGTGGCCAAAAGCAGCTATCGATCTGATGCAGTACACGACAAGGGGTTCATGTTCGGTTGCATTGGGAGAATGGATTCGTTAGCATAGTCTACAACACAAACCCCCTCACCATTGGCTATATTCGAGACCGTTGCTAGGCTGCATTGCTTAGATGAACCGGCGGCAGCTTCGAGTTTACAGCACGATTCAACCTCTCGTCGATATCGATATCACCATCATCGTCATTGTCTAATGCCGTTTTACTATGCATGAATGTCTCAAAAAGGAGAGGAGTATGACAATACGCCATCATCGACAAGCAGTGGAGACTCACATAGACATATCAACAATGACGAAGTCCACTTCACACGACGAGCATTACCTGTTTGATCAATGAAGGATAAAGGCAGCCTATTCGAGAATTGGATCGAAGGCGCAATGATGGATCGTTTCCCTTTATTGCATTCCGAGAAACCTGACCCATGTCAACAAGTGATACCACGCGCCACCTTTTGCATGGTTTTGCCACGTCTTTTTTATGCGCTACCCACGCTTTCTTCTTCCAGTTGTATCATCATTCAATATGCCTCAGGATACAATGACATCATTAATTGTCGTATTGCAACGCGACAGTGGCGATATTGAAAACCAAGGCAAGATTATCAACTTTGGCTCGGGTGCCAGCGTCGACACTGTACGTAATCTCGCCATGGAGAAGCTTGGTATATCAACAATCCCTGCCAAGGATGTATTATTACTGGATGGATCCGGCAAGTCAATCGACACTATGGATCAAATACGACAGCAACAAGTGGTGCGTGTGGACATGAAGGAACATATCAAAGATGTCATCCCTGGTCCAACAAAGTATCCTTTTGTCGGCTCTATTCGTGAATTGCTTCCGAACATGTACGTGCATAATATCTAAATCATTGCTTGGGCCTATTTATTTACATGATGATATGTAGATCCTATGGGTGGATCAAGATGTTTGACAAGTATGGGCCCGTAGTGGATATGAATATCCTGGGCGAGGAGAACATTGGCACCAATGATCCTGATGTGGCCGAACTCTTTGTCAAGGAGTCGGATTACTTTACCAAAAAGATCACTCAGAACCTGGAAGAAGTCAAAGCTTTTGGTGGTCAAGGCTTGTTTACCACCGACACGGATGATCCAGATTGGAAACTCGCACACAAATTGCTTATGCCGGCATTTGGTCCTCGTGCTATCAAGGTATAATAAGCTTTCCCCCCCCCGCAGAATTGGAAAACAAAAAGATGTTAATTGAAACATGGATCATAGGCTTATTTGCATGAGATGGGTCTTATCGCTATGCGAACGATCAAGGTGCTTGAAGAGTATCAGCCCACAGACAAGGTGGAGATTCTCAACTGGACAACGCGTTTGACCTTTGAAACCATTGGTCGTTGTGGTTTCGGTTACGAGTTTGGCCTGCTTGATTCCAAGGATGCTCCAAATCACCCTTTCATTGAAGCCATGGCTTACTGCTTGAAGACAGTGGTCGTTCGCAGACAACAACCTTCCCTCTTCAAGCACCTTCCCAATGAGCAAAACAGGAAGTTTGATCGCAGCGTGAAGCTCATGAATGATACTGTGGATCAAGTTATCAAGGAACGCAAGCAAGGTCCCGAAGCTGGTGATAAGGACAAGGATCTTTTGGGATTCATGCTCAATGCACGTGACGACCAGAATCTTGGTTTGACAGATGAGAATATCCGATATCAAGTGGTCACTTTTCTTATTGCTGGTCATGATGTAAGCATCTATTATCTTGTATGTATCATCCAATAGGGGCTAACTTTGTTTGATATAACAATAGACTACCGCTAATACGCTTGCATGGACATTGTATGAGCTGACACGCCATCCAGAAGTGGAACAACGATTGCTTCAAGAGATTGCAGACGTGGGTATCACTCATGACAAACCACCTACGGTTGAACAAGTGGGTCAATTGAAATACACCCATCAAGTACTCAAGGAGACATTGCGCAAGTACCCACCTGTACGTATGCTCAACAAGTACTGTAAGAAGGATTGTGTCATTCCCGGTGGATATCTTGTCAAAGCTGGCACTCCTGTCTCCGTCAACTTGTTTGCTATGCATCGCAATCCAAAGGTGTATTCAGACCCTATGCGCTATGATCCCGATCGATTCTCTCCTGAAGAAGAACAAAAGCGCTCACGATTTGCATGGCTTCCTTTCAGTACTGGACCACGTGCATGCATTGGTATGGCGTTTGCTTTGCAAGAAGCCAAGGTGTGCTTATCCATGTTTTTGCATCGATTCAAGTTTTGCTATGGTACGTTAAAATATCTCTCTCTCTTTGATAACACAATACTCATGTCTTGTATATATATGTAGATGGTCCTGATGTTGATTTTGACCCCATGATGGCTACTACCAAGCCAATGGATTTCCTTGTCACGATTCGATCGCGCACAGACATGCCTCAGCCCACAACAACTCCGACGGCCACGACGGCTACGAGTGATGAAGCTGCTACAAGCAAGCCCAAGGCAACCATGCCACAATCCCAATCGATTGCTGAACAAGTGGCCACGCGTGAAGTCCCTCCCATCACATTCTTGTATGGTACCCAAACTGGCACAGCACAAGATTATGCTTCTTCTCTTGCAGCTCAAGCACGCTCATTTGGTTTCAAGGAAGTTACGCTGGCTGAAATGGATAAATGGAAGGTGCTTGACACTGGCAAATATGAACCAAGGAAATCGGGACCCCAAGAATTGGTGGTGGTTTGTACAGCAACGTACAATGGTCAACCTCCTGATACTGCTGAGCGCTTCAACAAGTTCATCACTGAAAAGACAAAGGATGAGAAGAACGGGGACTTGCTAAAGTCGATGAACTTTGCCGTGTTTGGTGTGGGTAACAAGAATTGGCGAACCTATCAAGCGTTTCCACGCAAAGTCAATGAAAGCTTGGAGACTTTGGGTGCTGATCGTTTCTTCCAATGTGGTGAAGGCAATGCGGATCAAGATATGGATGCTGATTTTAATGAATGGTAAGGCTTTATCATCATGCTATTGGATATGGGTTCTTTAATACTAATAATAATACGCTTAGGTCTGCCCATTTCTGGGTACAAACATTGAGCAGCTTTGGACTATCTCTTCCAGAAAGCCAATCCGTGGTGCCATCTGCAAGTATGGGAATGGAGAAACCTAAGGTGACCGTGAACTTTATCAGCCCATCTGATAAGGAGAAATGGAAACAAGGTGCATCCAATCGTAACGGAGAGCATAATGTCACTATTCTTGACAATGAGGAACTACAGCAACCAGCATCCGATCGCAGCACACGTCATATCGAGCTCGATGTTTCATCTCTACAGCCACTTTGCAAGGATGGATCATTGTTTGTGGCAGGTGATCATTTGGAAGTGTATCCTGAAAACGATGCCGAGATTGTGGATGCCATTGGTGTCAATTTTGGATGGGTGCTTGATTCTGTATTTGAAGTCGATGAAGAAAGTCTTGATCATGTATCGCCTCGTTCACTTGCAGCATCCATTCGTGGTCCATGTACAATCCGCAATGCGCTCACTTATTATGCCGATCTCTCATCACCACCTTCACGTACCATGCTGTCCATTTTCGCTGAACAATTGCGTGCTACTTCGGAGGAGACAGCTGACGTATTCAGCAAGTTGATCATGCCTGATAGCCCTGAATACGCTTCCTTCATTGAAAAATATCGCACGATTCTCGATTTACAAAAAGGATTTCCTCAAGTGAAGCGACTCGATTTGGCACAATTCATGACAGCTGTGGGTGTGATGCAACCACGTCGATATTCGATTTCATCATCTCCTTTGGCTCATCCAAAACAAGCTTCATTGACTGTGGGTGTGGTTCATGATATGCTCAAGGATGGCCGTGAATACTATGGCTTAGCATCTTCCTATTTGGCTCGTAGCGCCGAAGCCACCAAAGTGCGTGCTATGCTTAAATCATCCAAGAGCAGTTTTGCATTGCCATCCGATCCCAAGGTACCCATTATCATGATTGCTGCTGGTACAGGTGTTGCCCCTTTCCGTGGCTTTTTGGAGGAACGGGCATGTCAACGTAGCCAGGGTAAACAAGTTGGCGATTGTGTGCTTTTCTTTGGTTGTCGTCGCAAGGATCATGACTTTATCTATGCCGACCAAATGCAAGCATACGCAAAGGATGGCGTCTTGGCTGGTTTGTATGTCGCCTTTTCACGTCAAGGCCAACCTGTCAAATATGTCCAACACCAATTACTTGAAAACGCTGTCAAAGTATGGAGCTTGCTGAATGAATCCAATGCATCAGTTTATGTCTGTGGTGCTGGTGCCATGAGCCGTGATGTGCGACGTACATTCTGTACAATGGCCAAGAGCTTTGGACATGTAAGTACGGAAGAAGAAGGTGATAACCATATCCAAGAATTGATCGATCAAGGCCGTTACAACGAAGATGTATGGGGTTAAAGTAGTGTTTCAAATAAGAGAAGTTATACATACATATATAAAGTACATCTTATAAAGTAATAGACAATGTGGTGGATTAATGGAATGTTGTTGGCATCTAATACTACCACCTCGCTATTCATGCGCTCTCCACCAATAGCATTGACTCTTCACGTCCAGATCTTTGGTTCAGTTGCACAAGTGTTCCTGCACCGTTGACTCTATCAGGATCTGGTTACTTGACATAAGCAATGACCACTTTTCATAAGCATCACGCCTACAGCATATGTAAAATATAAAGGTGCCTGCATCTCTAAACTTTACAATCAAGCGTGGGGTCTTTTATAGAACAAAGCTGCTCGTCGGGGTCAAAGCGATCTTGTGTCAAAGTATGAAGTTCATCGTGGCCAATCCCAGATTCGCCCAATGTCGCTGCCAGGTAAAAAATATTTTTTCCTCGTCGTCGAAAAAAATTCAAGAGGTCGACCCGACTCAATTTGGCCGGTGGCGACATTGCGAAATCTGGGATTGGCAACCTCGATCGTCAAACCTCCACACATGACACTTTCGGCCCCGACGAGCAACTTTGTTCTCTTAAGGACCCCATATTTGATTGTAAAGTTTACTGATACAGGCACCTTTATGTTTTACATATGTTGTAAGCGTGATGCTATATGAAAAGTGGTCATTGCTTATGTCAAGTAACCAGATTCTGATAGAGTCAAAGGTGCAAGAACACTTGTTTGTGCAACTGAACCAAAGATCTGGGACTTGGAGAGTCAATCCTATTGGTGGAGAAATGCATGATTGTGTTGCAATGCGATCTTGCACTGCCGTGATGCTCAGCGTGTACACTAACTAAGCACCACACACAACGAACGCCGTATACAATGTACATGGGGATAAGATGCACAAGGGAGACTCTCATGTAACGTCAAAGAATAGAAAAAGCGTGCGTAAACGTCTCCTTCATTCAATACCAATAGGGTAAAAAGCGCGTTGACAATACCGTGTCCATCCGTACCCCAAGGTATGAAATCGGGAAGAGAGCCTGTTGTTTATTCATCGTACTTCACTGGTTTATAAGCTGCATGCATCTCTAAGCTTACAATCGCATGACCGTGTGAGAGCAAATAACCGTCTCAAGCTACATCACAACAATTGATCTTTCCCCTGCCTTCCTATAGTAAGGTCCGCCTATGATAGCCCCGTGTGGAATGGTCCGTTCTTTTTAAGGTTGCATGAGACAGCGTTGGAAGAAAGTTGTCATAAATAAACATGGTATGTTCATGTACTCATGCCACACTGTATCGCATCCCGCACCTTCTATGTATTAAGCTTGCAATGAATCAAGCTTCTGCAACGAACACTTTGTTGGGCAGCATCACACTCGAATCCTTGCAATACACACAAGCATTCTAGAACCCTCACTAGCATTCAACTATCAGCTATGTATGAACTAGGAAGCTTCAGTGTATGTAACAATATCCTGGCGAAACAAAAGCATCTTGACAGAATGATGTAAATGATCCAATCTCGCTTTCCCGATTCCCCCTTTCAATCCAGAAGCCAGCCAAGTGAACCACATCTTGCACATGTGCTGATACAATAGTACGATACCCAAACATTACGTTGAATCCAATTTTCATTCAATGATAAAGTCGAAGAATAGTACATGGTAGTGTGGATATTTATCGAGTAAATATGGTAAAGGAACAGCAATGTAGTAAATTATATAAGCTACGGATGAATTCCATCGAGTCAACAGGGACAATCGTGTTTGTATTCATAGTTGCTGCCGTCATAATCGCCCTTCATTCTTGATTGCAAGATAGCTGCTGCATGCATTGGATCGAATACTCCAATATCATCCATGGTTGTAGACTGCCCTTTCGTCAAAGGTAAACGCCCTTTCGTCAATTCCATCCAATCCATCATCATCCTCAGCCGAATGCAGCTTGACGATGGAGTCCTTGACGAGATGCATGGATGATCTTGGTAACACAAAAGATTTGAACGCGGGCCTTCACTGCTTGTTGATGACATGATCCATCCATAAGACACGTATAGTTGTAGAGATAATGATGCCAAAGATAAAGACGCCGTTGCTTGATCCCCATGAATGATCCACCTACGTCGTATAAACCATGCACGGTAAACAATCTTCCTAATCCATAAAACAATACTTAGCGATGATAACTGTAATCCTGAGGACTTCAATACAAGGTGCTCCAATCTAGAAAAGATACGTATCAGCAGGCATATTTCCATTTCAGCACAAAGTTTTGGAATGATACATACTTGGATCCCTCAATCAGGGTGCAGTGATCCACTAGAATTGACGCCGCCAGAAGAATAGTAATTTAAAAAATGCAATGCCAAAGAAAGCCAAGGTACCAGCACTGCCTACTAGCCCCTTCCAGAAGGAAGCATGATGCCAAAACACCGGATTTAACGGTGACATGAGCCCCTCACCAGTCGACTTTGACACCACCTAAGCCGTGGATCCGCATGCTGCAACAGTGAACAGAGGATGCGTTGAATTGGTCTAAGCCATAGCACCATGAGTACATGTATCCAAAGGGCAACATGGTCTCCCCAAGACAGCACAGTACAATAACATCCTTGACGTGCCAGTGATATAGCCAAGGAAAAGCCTTCTTGATCCTGTCATTACATACCATCCATCCTAAGTGCACTTGCATGCAACACCACCCCATCATAATGAACACTCTTACCTTGTGGTACTACTCAATAGCACTCTTGCCACAAATAAAACCTGTATCTTCATGCCATCCATATCATGCTACTGCTATTCCATTGTAAAGCGCGTTAATTGACAGCACTTGTATTGTAAATCCAATGCTACACATACCAATAAATCTCCAAAGGAAGGGAGCGATACTTGACGACGAATGCCTTGAGCGATGGATAATCTTGATAGCACCAAAAAGACACGTAACACCCGCTGCTTGCTGCTGATGTGATACACCCATAAGGGACATGCGCTGCTGAATGCTTTCGAAAGCAATTGGCCAATAACGAGAACCACCAGAGAATCGAGTAATGTTGTTGACACTAAAAACATGGTCTCTTGCTGCTCATTGCTGCATATTGCTTGTTGCTGATATGATCCACCGATAATACACATGCGTAGCAGGATATCCATAAGGAATGGCGACAACCTTTGAGATGTATAGATGACCTTGGTATCGCTGAAGATGTCGACACGGGCTCTCATTGCTTGTTCATGACATGATCCATCCATAAGAGGCGTTTAATAGTAGCTGCACACCAAAGGAACCGCCAATTACCAGAACCACCAAGAGATAGAAAGCTTGCTGATATCAAAGATATACAAGTTGTTCCTTGTTACTGATGTGATCAACCGATAAGAGACCTTCATTTCAGGATGCCCACCGAATTGCCGATAACGAGAAGAACCAGATGATGGGATAAAGCTTGATATGGCACCAACGATATGGATGCTGTTACTTGTTGCTGATACAATCCACTCATAAAAGACGTTCATTGGCTGACATTCTCCAGAGAAATCGCCCGTTGCTTGGTAACCAACCACCGCCCGAGACGCAATAAAGGTTGACATCACCAAAGAAATAAACACTTCCCCATGGTTGACATGATTTACCTATAAAAGATGCACCATAAACAATTGTCCAAACTCATCCAACAATACTTAGCAATCATAGCTGTGATCTTGTAAACTCCAAAGCACCAAAAGACAAGCAGCTCTCTGCAATGGTCCCTCTAAATAATGGTAGGCGTTTCAGCAAAGGTCTCCAAAAAGCATGAGAGTCATACATACCTGAATCACGCAATCATCACCCGTAGACTTGGGAACCAAATAGGCCATCAGGATGTAAAGCAATAATAAAAGCGCACAGCCAAAGAAACGTCATAGTACCGGCACTCTCCTGTGGATCGACGCGATGAAGTGCATCAATAGAGATACCCATCTTCTCTCTAAAGGCAAGGAGATCAATAGCCGTAAAACGATGGAGCCGTGAGAACAGAGGATGCATTTTTAAATCCCTGAGGCCGCAACATGAATCGCACTGTCCCCGGGCACAACATGTAGAGCTCCACAGGAAAGTACAGTACAATGACGTCCTTGACGTGTAGCCTTGATAATAATAGTATTGCCGAAAGAGGATCTGCCACTGTATGGCGTTTGGTAAGTTCACTTGGATCCAATCAATCCCACAATGAACCTCTTACCTTGTGGTGCTGCTCAATAGCATTCTTGTCACAAATGAAAACCGTATCTCCATGCCATCCATGTTGTCTTGCTGCTGTTTCACTGTAAGGTTCGTTAATTAACAGGTTTCCCTTTGTAGATCCAGTACCATGCATACCATTGAGCCAACCATACAGCATTCTTGCTTTGAGATCCGTATCCTGTTGCTGCCAGAGGTACCATCATCCAACACGTTCACCTACCATAAACGCAATGTGAGATAACAAGTAAAACCAACCCACACGCTTTTGTTGTCACCATACGCAAAAGGGGAGCACCCGACGACGAATGCGCGAACGCGATGGATAATCTTGATAGCACCAAAAAGACACGTAACACCCGCTGCTTGCTGCTGATGTGATACACCCATAAGGGACATGCGCTGCTGAATGCTTTCGAAAGCGGTATTATGTAGAAACCACCAGAATCGAGTAATGTTGTTGACACTAAGCTGGTCTCTTGCTGCTCATTGTATGTTGCTTGTTGCTGATCCAAAATTCCCCAGGAGAGCACAGTACTATACAATGACATCCTTGACGTGCAGCCTTGATAATAATAGTATTGCCGGAAGAGGCTCTGCCACTGTATGGCGTTTGGTAAGTTCACTTGAATCCAATCAATCCCACAATGAACACTCTTACCTTGTAGTATTTCTCAATAGCATTAATGCCTCAAATAAAGCCGTATCTCCATGTCATCCATATTGTCTTGCTGCTGTTTCACTGTAAGTCTCGTTAATTCACAGGTTTCGCTTTGTAGATCGAATACCACGCATACCATTGAGCCAACCATACAGCGTTCTTGCTTTGATATCAAGGACTTGTTGCTGCCAGAGGTACCATCATCCAACATGTTCACCTACCATAAACGCAATGTGAGATAACAAGTAAAACCAACCCACACGCTTTTGTTGTCCGCATACCCAAAAGAGGCAATGTAAAGACGTCTTGAGAACTCTCATTGTGGACAACTCGGTAAGGAATGCACACGACGCCTCATTGGGTTTTGTATAGACGAGACAACACCAACCTACACGCGAACTTTAGTACCACAATGTTCGACTTGAACAATAAAAGGAATTGCAGCGATTGAACTTACATGTTGTATTGGAATGGAAGCTTGTGTCATGGGTAGATCGCGCACGTGCTTGTTGTAACTGAATGTGTCGCCATTGACCACTGTTCGTCCATTGACGTTGTGCATTGTTGGCAATGCCAGAAGTTAGTGGTACGGAGAGTGTAAATGGAGTTGGTCTTACCTTGCATCGTTGTGAAGCGGGAATGGGAGAAGGTCGTTCCTTTCATTGTTCCTGATTTGTGCCTTAACAATATCCTTTACACTTGAACCGATAACGACAATGCGAGGTTTCATGTGAGTATTAGCCCTCGAACAAATAACCGAACCACTATTTACCAATAATAGCCATGTATGCACGAAGACATGTTGACATCCAATGATAGCTTCATCCATAGAAATCCCAATGCACCAGAAGACATGCAGCTTGCTGAATAGCCCGCATACTATAGTAAAAGGGGAGGTTAGCAGGCGTTGAAGAAGAGAACGGACCACTATTTACCAATGATAGCCACATGCACGAAAAGATGTTGACATCCAATGACAGCTGCATCCATAAAAATCCCAATGCACCAGAAGACAAGTAGATTGCTGAATAGTCCGCACTATAATAAAAGAGGATGTTGGTTGGGATTGGAGCCAAAAAACGGATCATCCTCTATTTACCAATGATAGCCATATGCACGAAATCCTGCTGATATCCAAATCAAGCCGATTCTTTGCAATCGTCCGCTTGTTGATAAGGTCCGCTACGGTGGCACTCGGCTTGAAAGCGATGGAACGATACTTTATGGGCATATGCAGTGAGAAGGTTGAGTAATATTGATACCACCAAAGAGAGCATACTTACATGATGCCGAAGAGCCCTTACATAGAGAGACAACGAGACAATCCTTGCTGCCCAAGACCACATGCAAATCGAGAAAGCATTGTGCATCGAAAAGCCCAAACCAGATCCTAGCTGCGGAGTGACGTACATATGGCTAAAGAGCGATGTGAATGGCAATCGTTTTTCATTGGAAATCGAATGCAGCTTGACGATGAATGCCTTGAGGAGATGCATAAATGACCTTGGTAACACCAAAGATGTCAACGCGGACTCTCATTGCGTGTTGATGACATGATCCATCCATAAGACGCGTATAGTTGTAGAGATCCATCAAAGGAATTGCCGATAATCAGAACGACGAGATGATCGAAAGCTTGCTAACGCCAAAGGTATAAACCTGCTCCTTGTTGCTGACATGATCGATCGATAAGAGACCTTCATTTCAGGATGCCCACCGAATTGCCGATAACGAGAAAACCAGATGATGGGATAAAGCTTGATGTGGAACCAACGATATGGATGCTGCTGTTTGTTGCTGATACAATCCACTCACAAGAGACTTGCATTGGCGGACACTCTTCAGAGAAATCGCCCGTTGCTTGGTAACCAACCACCCGAGACGCAATAAAGGTTGACACCACCAAAAGACATAAACGCTTTCCCATGGCTGACATGATTTACCTATAAAAGATGCACCATAAACAATTGTCCCAACTCATCCAACAATACTTAGCAATTCATAGCTGTGATCTTGTAAACGTCAAAGCACCAAAAGACAAGCAGCTCTCTGCAATGGTCCCTCTAAATAATGGTAGGCGTTTCAGCAAAAGTCTCCAAAGCAGCATAATCATACATACCTGAACCATGGTGATCACAAGGAATTGCAACCAAATACACCATCCGAAGGCAATACAATAATCAACCTGCAGCGCCAAGGTATGCCACCATATGTACTATACTCTCATTGGATCCTGAAATTGGCATCATAAGAGATATCCACCTTCTCTCTGTAGGCAAGGAAATCAATAGCCGTACTTGGATGGAGGCCGTGTGCACAGCGGATGCCTTTTTAAATTGGCCTTGCCATCGCATCTTGGGTCACACTGTTTCCGGGCCAAAATTCCCCAGGAGAGCACAGTACTATACAATGACATCCTTGACTTGCAGCCATGATAATAATAGTATCGCCGAAAGAGGCTCTGCCACTGTATGGCGTTTGGTAAGTCCACTTGAATCCAACCAATCCCATCATAATGAACACTCTTACCTTGTGGTATTCTAAATAGCATCTTTGCCTCAAATAGGAACCGTATATCCATGCCATCCAGTAGATGCTGCTGCTGTTTCATTGCAAGGCTCGTTAATTAACATGTTTTGCTTTGTAGATCCAATACCACGCATACCATTGAGCCAACCATACAGCATTCTTGCTTTGAGATCCGTATCCTATTGCTGCCAGAGGTACCATCATCCAACGTATTCAAACTACAGTAAGTGAAGTGTAAGGTAACAATAACATTCGCTTTTCATGTCGACATACCCATAGTAACAATAGGTTGCGACCCTCCCTGACGACAACCATGGAAAGCATACACACGACACACGACGCCCCCTTTGGATCTCGTATAAACGCGAGAATAGTAAACTACACGTGAACTTTAGTATCTCAATGTCCAGCTTGAATGGTAAAGTAATGCAGCGATTGAACGTACATGTTGTATTGCAATGGAAGCACGAGTCATGGGCAGATCGCGCGCGTACTTGCTGTTGAATGTCTGGAACTGGAAAGTGTTGCCATTGACCACATGTTCACCCCAATGGACGCTGTACATTGTAAGGAATGCCAGCAATTAACGCGTTGTAATTTGTAAATGGAGACAAGCTTACCTTTTTTTGTGAAGTGGGAGTGAAGAAGAGTGGCCTCTTTGTTCCTCCTGTTCTCTCCAATTCTTGCACTCCATGCCACCCCGCTTGCTACAGCTATTACTGTTTATACGTACCCTCAACAATATCCTATACTTTTAGCTCCATAAGGATGATCACTGCTCAAGACTTCAATTGAGAACAGCCCTCGTAATTAAGCTATTAGGTCTGTGCGCATCACATCGATCGATTAGTTATGCATCTCCACTCCTGAACCAACTTGTGTAACCTACTGTGTAACCCCTTACCAAATATATGATGTCTCGCTTTCCACCTTTCACGTTTGCAGTTCCCCTTTCAATGCAGAAAACAACCAAGTGATCCACTCCTTGCACATCTAAGCTGATCGTACGATACCCAAAGTATTATGTTGAATCCAATTTTCATTCAATAAAAAGTCGAAGAGCACGTAGACACGGTATTGTGGATGTTTATCAAGTAGATACAAGATACATAAGGAAACAATATAGTCAAATTGAATAGGGTACATATGGGCGAAACATGTAGGGTCATCAGGGATAAGTGTCATCCTATACTTGATTGCTGTCGACATGATCACCCTTCATCCATGATTGCAAAATAGGTGCTGTATACTTTGGCTTGAGTACTCCAATATCATCCATAGCTGCGAAACACCTCCTTTCGTCAAAGATATAAGCCCTCTCCTCAATTCCATCCCTTCCATCACCATCCTCAGCGGTATTCACGTGACACGATCCATCGTTCCTGCTGATGAGGCGCCAAGTAACCAAAGCATCATTCCAAGATCCCCCATCACTGCACTTGATCGCATCCTTCCATCCGTAACCATTGTAAACCCAGTATTGTGGTTGACATGCTTCCTTTTCCATCCGGCTGTTGGTCAATCCCTTTCCTTGGTCATTATCCATCATAGCGCATCCAGCTGAAGGTTGCTTGTATTGCGGCGTAGTTGAAACGTGAAATGATCCAGGTAATCGAAGCAACATTCAAGACTTCTCATCATTGCACTTGATTCCATCCACCCATCATAAACATTGCAAGTCCAATAATAACGAGCCTCTGTGGCCGCTGATGATATGCATCCTTTTTCCATCCTGCTGTTGGTCTACCTCTTGATGACACCTCAACCAGATGAAGATTCCTTGTATTGCCCTGTACGTGATAGCTGATATGGCATCATCCCTTGAAATCCATGCCACCAAAGCAAGCCGCTGCAAGGAACTTGAGACAATGCAGTAAAGAGCTTGCTAATAGCAGCTGCTGTTGCGTTTGGTTGTGGCAGAGGAGTGAGCAAGAGCGTGTGTTGTAGTAGAGTGACAAGGTTGTGAATGCTGTTTGAAACAATGGTGTGAAGCGCTTGCTGATAGCAGCTGTTGCGTTTGATCGTAGCAGAGTAGCGTGCGAGAGAGCGTGTAGTGTCCAAGAGACGCGTGAGTAGTAGAAGAGTGACAAGAGGGCTGTGTACACGCCATGAACGTGCCATTCAGCCAAAGACAACCGGATCAAGAGAGTTGTAGGATTGGCATGGTGGGTTGAAGCAGGACAATCGTTCACAGGTGGTAGTTGTACATACTTGAATGGGGCCAACAGTTGAGAATGGGAGGAAGAGGCAAATAAAGTAGGAGTGGAAGAAGTGGAAATTAAAATCCACCACCAGGATCACAATAAACCAATTCACTCACTCCTATCCACACACGCCTATCCACTCAAACACATAACACAGCACCATCATTACCATATAGATCATGCTACATGCAAATAAATCAACTTTTGCAAGAGGCGCCATTTTGGATAATGTAACAACAAAAGCTGACCCGACCTAATTACATGTTCTTACTATTGACTTTGATTGTGTCAAATCAGCAACATGATAGTTATTACTTTAAATGAGCACTAGGCCGCCAACTGGCTCGCTTCGCTCGCGAACGTCGATTTTGTGTGGCACGGCTTATCACTATGTGTGCTGCAAATGACCCACCCACCCCCAAATGAGATTTACTTTACTTTTACATAGTGACTTATATGTTGCTTTTATTCGCTTGCAAGGATTCGCTTGGAAGTATTCTGGAAGATGTCTGTTGCGATGGCGATGTCTTATCTGGGTTTCTTTTTTTGTATACTTGAAAGAGTAACGTCATTACAGAGCACAATCATTTTGATAATATAGACTTGTATACTTGTAAGAATGCGGTTGAGAGGAGAGATTCTTTATGCGCGAACATGCATGCAATGTAACATTTCATTTGCTTGCTACATGGCCTCCCTTTGACGCACCCTTGTACTTCCAACACACTGAATCATGTAAAATGGGATCACCGAGATGTCATTCACAATCATCCATCGCTATTGATTACTGCTATGTTCTTCAAATGAGAGCGATTTATTATCGATAGGGAAAGGGGAAGTGATCAATGATTGTAAATCTGATGCGTCATTGTGACGGGAGAAAAAAGAGTCCTTTCTTTGAGAGCATGAAAAAGAAGACGCCCGCATTTGAGACTTCCACCTGCTGATGTTGATGCTGCTGCTTTTCCGGGATCCCTTTTTTTTTGGACACGCTCATGCAGTTCCAGTACATTGATCCATGTAATGCGGTTACTGAATTATCATTGAGAGTCAACCATCATCGCTTGTTGCTGCTATCCTCTTCAATTGAGAGCGATCTAATCGATAGGGGAAGGAGGGAAGCTAACAAACGTAATTTGATGCATCATTGTGATGCAAGTTTTTTTTGCTACATACAAAGGGCTATGTGGGCGTGTTTGTTATTTCTCTTATCCCGCCACGTTACTCTTGTGCTGTCCCCACACTCTCTTTTTTCTCGTGCTACATGAGCCTGGGATCCATGCATGGACAATGACACGCCACCTTATCTCGTAACATGTGTTGGTGTACTCATGCATAAACAATAACTTTTATTGCTGGAGGGCCATACGGGCCTAGATGTCTAGGCATTTTCTATTGTTTTCCCTCGCTACTCGTGATAGGTTTGGTTTACGTGTTGATCCCCCCCCCACACACGCTCCTTTTTCTCATGCGTGAGCCTGGAATCTATGATTCAACAATGACACGCCACCCTTATCTCATGCTCCTTGGACAGTGCATTCATGCATCAACCATAGTTTTTTTTTCTACAGCGTGCTGTGCAGGCCGAGAATGAGACAATGACATGATGTCTTTATTCTTGTTGTTGTCGGGTATCCACATTCCACTTTCGTATACTCATTGAGCTATGGATTCATGCATCAACAATGACACGCCACCCTTATCTCGTAGCTCCGTGAACCAATGGATTCATGCATCAACAATAGTGTTTCTTGTTGGGATTCTGTGTTTGTGGGGAGGGGGAGATTGACCCCTAGATTTTGACACAATGTACTTTTTTCTTGGCATCCTTTGATTCATGTAGTGACCTTTCCACATTCCTGTAACGCCTTGATGCCAACCGTCAATGGATCAACAATGACGCATACTCGCTTGTCTTCTTCTCACAAAGTAATGGTGGACATTTTTTCTTCCTCAACATGCGGTCATTGGAGACCCCCCTACCTTGTCACTGCTGATGCTTTTGGATTCATGCATTATTCCCGCAATGTCCCATTGCTTATCTATTCCTCGTACACCAATGAGAGATCAACAATGACACTTTCTTTTTGTTTGTACACGCGACCATGTAGGTCGAGGCATACTTTTGGACTCATGTTTTCTCCCGCTTGTCACTCGTGATGCTCCTGAATTCATGCATTGATCCCCAACAAATGTCATTTTTACCCTTATCGTGTGCTTCTGCGAGGGGATCCGATAGGTGCGATAAAGATGACTCATTGTTTTATTTTTCTGCACTCTCGGATGCTGTGTGGATTGACGCATGAATGACGGGATGACTTTTTTTTTGGCGCCTTCCGCGGGACCGTGCTCATTGAGAAACGATATATAATATTGAACACGCTCTCTATCTCACGCTCCTTTATCTTTCATCTCTCTGGCCACACACACACACACACACACATCATCTTCGGGGGTTCGTATTGCTGGCTCATTCAAGTTATGCCTCTTCCATGTACTCATTGCAACCATGTCATTATAGCCCGGCCACCCTCCCAAACGTCTTGCTGCCACCTGTTGCTACCAAGTCCGAAATGCCATTAGCTTTGTCACTCGCCTCCGCACTTTCCCCTTCCCCCATCATCCACAGCAAGGTAAGTCTTCAAGGTGATGTCTGATGTATGATTTATGTTGACATCTTTCAATAGCAAGGATAGAACAACGGCACAGCCATCATTACCGAGGCCCTCCCCTAACCACGGAGAAGCTGACGGGTGCGGGGTTTACCCCTGCGTTCCTTGCTTGTTGAGCTTGCTTTGCAAGTACGGGTAAGTGATGGTATTTGGGTATCGTGGTTTTTCGTTGTTGATACTAACAACATTCTCTTACTATGATTCTTCTTCCGTGATCTCTTTGGCCTTCATTTCCTTTTTGGTTATCTCTTATTCCTTTTGTGGATTACTTCATCTTATCAACATTCAATTATTTTATTAATAATAAAGATACAGCAGGCAAATCATTACCAATGGTATCTTCAACAGGGCGCCAATACCCATCATCAACAATATGACCAAGTTAAGACGGCTACAATGTCATGGCAATAAACAATGGTCTACAGAGAGGTTAATATGATACGTGTGGGCATCAGCATGATGGACTATGTTCGGCTCGTTTTCTTTTTATCCCTAATTGCCATTATACATTGAAGACCCATTTATATATAGTACGAGTAGTGATTTATTGAAAGGTATTTCGCGTTTAGCTTGAAACAAACGATTCAAATAAGGGTGTACGTAGTAGTGTAGAATACAGGTGGCATTGGTTCTTGTAGACAATTGCTTAGTTGCAGACGCAGACATCGTTCTTGTTGCAGTGACCACCGTGCTTGTTGCCTTGCTTGATGCAGTGAGCGCTGCACAAAGCATTGCCACCGCCACCGCTGGGAAGGAGGTTACCGAGTTGGCAGGTGCTGCGCTTGTCAAGCTCAGGGGAGGCAGAGGCACCAAGGATCATGGAGATGGCAAAGATGAGAGCGAGGGTCTTCTTGAACATTGTTGATTTGAATAAACTTGAGATGAGTTTGTTGATGATGCTCAATACTGCTTTTTCCATTGGCCTTATATATCTTTTGGCATTCGTTGAAGCATTGCATGATTCCGGGGACTCTCGGATTTCGAATGTGCAAGTTGAACAAGAGGTTGTACATCAAATCCATAAAGGATTAGCTGCTTGGTACATACAACATGCTTCTTTTGCTATTTGGGTTAGCAGAAATATTATGGCAGGATTCGATCCAAGCCGTATGTGGTTTGTAAGAGTGGTCACTGCGCCCCCCCAGGTACCTGTTGATTGCTACTAATTGAGTTGGTGCTGCAATGGCAGTATGTAGTATCACGACAGCTTGCGCAAGAAGTAACGCATTTACCTACCACAAATAACACTTCTTTGAAAGATGCACGTGGGTAACCATCACGCTGTATCAGTCATTTCTTTGAGCTGCGCCCCACTTTGACAAGATTTCATGCACCATCGTCGTTGCACTGTTACTATTGATCTTACACAAATGAAGGTTGTACATGGCATCAATGCGTTGTGGCGTTGATGATGGTGAATGACTGCCATTATATTATGTACAAGGGACAATTCCCAGCACAGCCTCAAAGATCAAAATTGATACGATTGTGCGAAAAGGAACCTTGACATGGAAACTTTCCATTATGCCTATGTATCAATGGAAAATCAATGAGAGAAAGTAGGTGATGAGCGCCTCGTTGTTCTTTCGATATGAGTAAGGCAACGCTACAAGCAATGACGATACGAATGCTTATTCTAAAAAATAGCATCATTGGTAGGTGCAACAACTTTTTCATGGTGCTTGACTTTAACTAAATCTACCCGCTTTTGGATGGCAATAATTTCTATGGCAACACGGGAATGAGAAACTGGATAACAAGCTTAATAGTCCCCCGAGAAGCGGACAAAGTAGAATAGGTACACAGAATACTGCAAACAGCATGGTCAGCATAGAGCGCGCGCTATTATGGGGTTTTCTGGCCAAGATGGCCATTTTGGGCTAATAAGGTATTACAACCTTTTTATCGTATTCAGCGTTGGCATAGCAACGGCTTTGAGATCTATAAACGGATATATGCCCTCATTGGTTACATACAGCACAAACGGCAAGCTGACTTGTATTATGGCTTGTTATCGAGTCACCATCTTGGAAACACGAGACGATTATGATGATTGAGTCTCTCACCATAATGACAGTGGTCGCAATAATGATGTTGGGGCTCATCAACGAGCAAAATCCATAAGAGAAATACCTTGGCTTGTATATGTATTTGAGAAAGGGCGATGGGTTGAGAGGCAAATGTTGTTAGTTTATTGAGCGATTGAACTTGTAAGGGTAACGAGTATCCAAGTCATCATCCAACATTCTCGTATGCTTTATAGAATACGCTTTCACAAAGCACTCATAATGAATAATGATAATCATAATAATTGATGGTAGACAAAGCTCATGTGTTTATAAGGGTAACGATTTATTGAAGGACATTTCGCATGAGGAGTGAAACACACGATTCAAATAAAGGTGTAGTGTAAAGTACAGGTGGTATTGGGTTTGTTCTTGTAAACAATTTAATGGTTGCAGACACAGACATCGTCGTCATTGCAGTGACCACCGTGGACGTTGCCTTGCTTGACGCAGTGAGCACTGCACAAAGCATTGCCACCACCACCGCTGGGAAGAAGGTTACCGAGTTGGCAGGTGCTACGCTTGTCAAGAACAGGAGAGGCAGAGGCACCAAGGACCATGGAGATGGCGAAGATGAGAGCGAGGGTCTTCTTGAACATTTTTGACTTGTATAAACTTGAGATGTGGGATGATGATATCCAATGCTGCTTTTTTCATTCGTCTTTTATACACTTTTAGTGCCTTAACGCATCATGACATGGATACGGGGACCCTCGGATTTCATACGTGCATGCTAAACAAGTGGCTGTGTATGGGGTCAATAAAGGATTAGCAGCTTGGACGACAACATGCTTCTTTAGCTATTTGGGTTAGAGGAAGTAATGTCAAGAACCCACTATCCACATTACCATATGGAGCGTTAAAGTGGTCACTGCGCCTCAGGTACCCGGTGTGCTGCTCCTGTTGTCTAATCTAAGCTAGTGCTGCAAAAGTGACAGTATCACGACAGGTTGCGCAATAAGGTTGGACTCAGGCACATCACTCATTATTAATTGATCGACGGCGTATATACCATCCGCCACAGATGGAATTAGCCATTTAAGGTGAATTCCAGCTTTGGCTGCGCCCCACTTTGACAACTTCATGCAACATGGTTACACTAGATCATGGATCCACGCATGAGAATCGGCACATGATCCCGTTTTATTAAATGTTTGGCACAAGGTCATTGCACAGTGACAACCCATGGCAACCATCACCGGTAATATGAGAAGAATGGGTCCCAGCGTGGTAGCGAAGAGTTCTCAGAAGAATAAGATATCACCTGTGAATCCTGTACTTGGCTATATGAAATCTCCGCTACCACTAACTAATATTGGGAATACACGTTCTGGATCCTGGGTTGCCATGGTTACTGTTTTTGCTATGTCGATGGTATCCCAATAGCAGTGAAAGAAGACACGTTTATTGTATTAAGCCAAAAGGCATTATCATCATTATACTGTAATCAGGCCTTTAAGTATGCACATTAGCACTGTTTGATGCAATGCAGCAATGTCAATAAGGATGTCGAATGACATTTACCATGCAACCAAAGAAATTGGCGGGTACCAATGCTTATTCAATGACCGCATTTACAACGACAAGTGAGTATGTATGAAAATCATGTGGTGGTTGATACTGCTCCGCTGCTGCTGCTGTAACGACTTCTTTTTTTATCGCCCCCTCCCGCCGAGAGCATCAATCAATACGTAGCACGACCAAACTTTACCAGCTCATCCTCCCAGATGCCACCCAACTGATGTACCTGTAGGTGATGAGATCAACATTGACGCTAGCTTGGAAGCAATGCCACTTAAGATTTTGCTGTTATTAGATCCCAATTACGAATCTTTGATCCATACCTAGCCAATCATCCGTACTTTGTAATGCCATCTAAACTATGGCTGTGTCTCTGTATCTTCTTGATGCTTCTCTTTAGAAGATGAATGGGTTGCATTATGTTAGCGGGGGGTGTCGTTTTGGGTTAAGGTTGTATTATGCTATAATTGAACTACACCAGAAGAGCTAGATCACATACAACACACCCAGGAAATTTCTGCCCCAGCACCTCAGTTGGCATTATCTGAAATGCCAGCACTTGACACAAGCAGTAAGTTGTACATGCCATGAAAATTTCCGGTTAGTGCATCGTTAACCTCACTGCCAGCGTGCACATTTCCCAATACCATCTTTGATCTTCTTTATGTCTGCGCCTCAAGTTGTGAACTGAAGGAAGGTGATGCAGCATGCTCTATGCATGTAATTTAACGTCCTGGAATACAAGGTCATGCGTACTTAGCTTCCAAAGCCAAAAGCATGGTACACTGTATATTCGATGGAAGGTCAAAAGTGAATCAACGATACTCGTGATCTTTATTAACCATACTCTTATGGATATTTTAATGATGATGCATACTCTTTGCTCGATTTAGCAAGAGTTGCTGTGCTGGTTGATGATCGTTGAATGATGGATACAGCTAAATCACGTACTGCGTAGTTATTCGATGCCTGTACTTTGCTTGAACATGGCCACCAAAAGTAATGAGTCGTCTGTGTGATGATGCATGAGTATATAGATTTCAAATCAGATGATCCAAAGGATTGAACTTTGAATGTGCCTTCTCTATGCCTCAAATGCCTTTAAGACAAGATCCCTTTATTGCTCGAAGCGGACGAGGTTGTCAATACTTGCTTAATGCGATGAGCTTTTGGCCAATAGCAGCTGCCGTGCGTTGTGTTTGATCCATACATAATATTGATAATCACTGAGCAAGTACTTTAGCAAGCCATGCGGCTATGATGGTCAAGTCCATTATCATCCATGTCTAAGAAAGCTGTTGTATATTGATTGATTTGTCAAAGGGTGGATCACGGTGACTTTTTTGAGTGGGGAAGAACTCGCTAATGGAGGTTTCCTTTGTCGTTCTAGGTATGCCATATTAGCTTTTGGCTGTAGCTGCAAGAATTCCTCATGTTCAAAGCTTTATCCTTTAACAACATCCATTAATGCGATGAGACTACTCTTCAATCGATGACGATCAAGTATACGGAGCGAGCATTCACATTGCTAACAAGGCCATTTATGGATGTATGTTCAGCATCAACAACCAGCACATTTCGCCGTCGTGGAAGTTTCTATAGCCCTCAGGGACCAGGATGGATACAACCCATTAATAGATAGTCGTGGGGTGTTTCTGTAAAATAACAACATACTTTGGGTCAAGTAGTGTTAAGCGTAGTAGGAAGACACAGCGATGAGAAAGTTCTATAACGTTACAACGAGGGTGGTTCGATTTGAGCAAGGCAGCCTTTTTTGGTTGCGTTTGACAAAATCTTATTACAAAACTCCACACACTTTAGTTAAACACCCACCAAAGTGGTAGAAAATGCTGTTTTGCTGTTTGCAGAAATACACACCAACACAACCAATTATCTAAAAGTGAATCTCCATCCATATTTATCCATGATCAACGAGTTTTGTGTGTTAAAGGAAGGGATCATGATTTATTAAGAGATCATTGACAAAAGCAACCGATTCAAATATGTCGCCAGGAACACAAGTGATGGGGTGCGGGTCTTGAGTACAATTTCTTAGTTGCAGACACAGACATCGTCGTCATTGCAGTGGCCACCGTGGACGTTGCCTTGCTTGACGCAGTGAGCACTGCACAAAGCATTGCCACCACCACCGCTGGGAAGAAGGTTACCGAGTTGGCAGGTGCTGCGCTTGTCAAGCTCAGGGGAGGCAGAGGCGCCGAGGACCATGGAGATGGCAAAGATGAGAGCGAGGGTCTTCTTGAACATTGTTGATTTGAATAAACTTGAGATGAGTTTGTTGATGATGTCCAACGCTGCTTTTTTTCAAGGGCTTTTATATCTTTTGGTTGAATTCACCTTATTACTTGTACACCGCCAAGAAAATCAATCCAACATGCTTAACAAGAGGCTGTGCATTTAACAAACCTCCTTCTTAAGGACTAGCAAACTTGAATAGCAACCATCGTTAGCGTCTTGCTATGCAACTTGGGTTAGAGAACAAGGTACAGCTTTGAATCCATGCCGTATGTGGCATGTACGGATGTCTCATAGCTGCGCCTCAGGTACCGGATGTGCTGCTGTTGTTGATGTCTGATCCAGCCAAGTGGTAACACTATCTCGACAGCTTGCGCAAAAGTTGGCGCACCTATGCGTCACCTTGAATTGTGATCGACGTACTTGGACACTAGCCACATGTCAAAGTTACTCTAATTACCCATTTAAGGTGTATTCCTACAAGGCTGCGCCTCTATTTCATATCATTTATGCATTCCGTTGTTGTAAATTCTGTCCCTTGTCATATGATGCTCTTATTTTGATATTCCACTTGGTTGCTATAGAAACACGCTTAATGAGATTACCTTGATTGTGCAATCATACAAGAGGTGTAACGTACAGGTCCCGACTTGCTCATATGTTCGTTTCATGCAATGTATACATCCTCAAATGCAGTCCCATATGATGAGCATACTATCAGAAGGTGGTATACGAGGTTTCCCAAGATTTGCTGATATGGGATCCTGTGCTCGGGAAATCGAGGTAACCATGATGATCGATCATAGCTGCATAAACTAGGTAGAAATTATGTATGCTCCAATACACGGATGCAGTCACCGAGTAGTATGGTGCTAGCCGAGACTTTCATTCATCCTACTGTATCTCTATATCGCGCGAAGATGATGGTGCGTATGAAAATCAAGCATCTGACAAAGTTAGCTCCCTTGCTTGTTATAATATACATCCAAGCGTTATTCATGATAATGAAGTCAACATGCATTACGTATCAATGTGCGAGAGTACATATGTAAAGATCATATTTATTTTATGTGGAAAGAAGGGACTACATTGCACGTACGGCGTCTTTGTATATGGGGGTGTTCGTCTCATTCAGCTTAGCCGGTGGTACACGTACATTGTTTAGCATCAGCTATTACAGTATCATTACCACGCATGATCAACGTAGCAGGGTATATCAATATCATCAGCGATCAAGCAGCCACTTTGCATGACTAGTTCAAAAATGAATATACCCGTGTATGAAAACAGCCCTTGCAACTTGACAAGGCAACGATGCCAGCTGATAAAAAACGCTTTCATGCGTTAAAGAATCAATGGTGGATATGCTAAGAGAAGGTATCCTCACTGCATGTGGAGTGCTCGACATTGGAATAGAATTGGTGGACACTTGATATGTAGTCAATGAAGTGGTCAATCTAAAGGATAAAACGAGAAGAGAAAAGATGCCCAGCCAAGATCATGTCCTTGGTATGCAATGCTCCAAGAGAGGTTGCTGCTGTTGATTGTCGTTTATTGCCTATGGGACATTCGAAGACCTCTCGATAACGATAACAGATATCAACCCTAAGTATGAGACAATGAGCCAAACGGAAAGGGGCTGATACTACATAGAATCGCCATTCATTGTTATTATTCGACCCATCATTGTTGTTAGTGGTATCATGATCTCGCCTTCAAAGCAGGGTCTTGGATTTGTGCTTGGTCTAACACTACTACACTCACACCACCAAGTTGTCAAAACGATTACAGGCTTCGTTGCTATTGTGATTTGCCCAACCATCAACTTTGTATATATGTATCTGGATCCTTCCATCCCATGTATCAAAGCCATATCCATATCATTAGGAAATCGTATGTATTAAAGCAAGTTGCTACACGTAAATAAAACCGCTTCTATATGATGGCTATCTGCTGCCGACGTAGAAAAGCTGTAAGGCAAGTTGCTGCAAGTAACTTGAGACAATGGGATAAGACCTTGCTTGGTGGCAGAAGAGTGTGCAAGCGCGTGTGTTGCAGTAGAGTGATAAACCTGTGAATGCTGTTTGAGACAATGGAGTAAGACCTTGCTGATAGCAACTGCTGCGATGAACGCTGTTACGATTGGTTGTCGTCGACGATTGTACAAGAGAAGGAGTCGTGTCAAGAAACGCTGGTGTTGTAGAGGGGTGCACACGCCATGGACTTGTCATTCAGTCAAAGACGATCGGATCAAGAGAGTTGTGGGATTGGCATGATGGCTTGAATCAGGACAATCGTTCGCAGCTGGTAATTGTACTTGAATGGACCAGCAGTTGGGACTGGGAGGGTTGCAATGTGGAAGAGACGATAAGCCAACAGAGAATTTAACGCTGTAAGCCTTTTTAAGTGGGGTGCATAAAAGTTGCTGCTGCTGCTGTGCTATCTTGTCCGAATCCAGAGATACCTTGTTTTCTCGACTCACCCATTTTGGATACCAAGCTTCATTGTAGTAAGTTGTCTTTAAAGGTCTTCAGTTACAATATCCAATGGGGGGCCTTCGGTTGTCGATTATGAATGAATCAACTGGCTGGGGTCTGTGTAACCGGATCAGACCTGAGATCCAATGACAGTGCCAGATGGGTTACTTCATGTTCGACTTTGAAAACTTTCATTGATAATAGCCGATCGTTTGAGAGTGGAGAGGGAATCCATTGTAAAACACTTCGAGGATACTTGTATATATCATTGATAATTGGAATTGCCAAGCCTTATTAAACATCATTGTTCGATTTGCTGCTATTATTACCAACCTGATCTGGTCTATGTATACGTGGTGGCTGCACGTGTCGTTGCTAGTTTATAACACGTATACTCTCCTTCTCAGAATTCTTTGGACAAAGGGCACGGGTGATACTATGTTAGTCTAAGCGAATAAAGATCAAAGAGTATGACATCAGCACAAAGGAGATTATCATTAAACATAACGATCAATGAATCTTACGAGAAGGGTGGAAATTTGATGAGCAAGTAGAAATACAATAGCACTTTTCTATGACTTGAAATCAAAAGTGAGACATCACAGCTCCAACGGGCTATGCTGTAGCATGGTGGGCATTTTCCATCATCCTCAAAGGATAAATAATTCCGAGAAGTGGTGGGGGTATCACCCATAGTGATGAGGGAGATGATATGACACATTGAGTACTTGCATAATATGCATGGCCCACATGGGTTTGCTTGGTAAAATGGCAAGACAAGAAAAAAGGGAGCGGGATATTAAAACACATTTTGCATTGACATCCGGCAAAACATAGCCGATTTAGCTGGCGACGATCGGCAGGGTTTTATGCTGTAGCTCCTCATATAAGATGAGGAGATTTATGATCCAGGGACCACCATCTATTCTTCATCACTACGAGCAAAATGTCTGAAAACACAACTACCTCACTTATTGTCATATTGAAACGTGACAGCAAAGATATCGAAAAGAACGGCAAGATCATCAACTTTGGTTCGGGTGCTAGTTTGAATACCGTGTGCGAACTTGCCATGGAGAAGCTTGGTATTGCTCGCAACATTCCCTCATCCGATATTATGCTTTTGGATAAGTCGGGTCAAGCCATCAGCACCATTGATCGCGCACGACAGCAACAAGTTGTATACGTTGACATGAAGACACAAATCAAAGACGTCGTCCCAGGCCCTTTCAAGTACCCCTTTGTTGGATCTGTTGGATCACTGCTCCCACACATGTAAGTGCAGCATATAATACCCTATGGCACGAGTTGATGTTAACGTGAATACGTAGAGCGTTTGGATGGATGAATTTGTTTGAGAAATATGGCCCACTCGTCAACATGTCCTTGTTTGGTGTCGAATCCTATGCTACCAACGACCCCGCTATAGCTGAGATCTTTGTCAAGGAGTCCGAGTTCTTTACCAAAAAGATTGCCAGTGACTTGGCTGAAGTCAGAGAATTTGCTGGAGACGGCCTGTTTACCAGCAATACGGATGAAGAGAATTGGGAACTTGCTCACAAGCTTCTCATGCCTGCATTTAGTCCACGTGCCATCAAGGTAATATTTGACATTGACATTGACATTGAATGATTTTATCTGATGATCGCTCGTTTATCGTAGGCATATCTAAATGAAATGGGACACATTGCCATGGAAACGATCAAGACCCTCGAACAATTCGATCCTACTGAAAAAGTTGAAATTCTTGATTGGACCACTCGTTTGACCTTTGAAACCATTGGACGGTGCGGCTTTGGTTACAACTTTGGATTGCTTACTTCAAGGGATGCACCTGCCCATCCTTTTATTGATGCTATGGGATACTGCCTCAAGACCGCTGTGATTCGAACCATCAATTTGTCCATGTTCAACAAGCTCTCATTCGAGCGTAATCGTCGATTTGATTACTACGTCAAGCTCATGAATGATACGGTGTCTCAAGTTATCGAAGAGCGTAAAAATAGCCCTGATGCTGGTGACATGAACAAGGACCTTATGGGATTCATGCTGAATGCACGTGACGAGCACAACCTTGGCCTGTCGGATCAAAACATTGTATACCAAGTCATCACCTTCCTCATAGCAGGACATGATGTAAGTCATTTTTAAACAATTTTCTTGAACAACAAGGACATTAACAAAAGTATCATAGACTACAGCCAATACACTTTCATGGGCCTTTTACGAGTTGTCTCGTAATCCTGAAGTCGAGGCTAAATTGTTGCAAGAAATCGCTGACGTTGGTATCACGCATGACCAAATACCTACCGTTGAACAAATCAGCCAGCTCAAGTACTTGCACAAGGTGATCAAGGAAACCACACGCAAGTATCCACCCGTTCAAAACCTAGCAAAGTATTGTAAGAAGGATTGCATTGTTCCTGGAGGCTATCTTGTCAAGGCCAATTGTCCTGCTGAAGTGAATGTGTACGCCATGCATCATAATCCAAAGGTCTATCCTGATCCCGAGCGCTTTGATCCCGAGAGATTTTCTCCTGAAGAAGAGCAAAAACGTTCTCAATACTCATGGCTTCCTTTCAGCACCGGTCCACGTGGATGTCTTGGTATGGCATTTGCTATTCAAGAACTCAAGGTAGTCATGTCAATGCTTTTACACCGATTCAAGTTCTTTTATGGTAAGTTTGATTTTATTACTATTCTTATCCAATGCATACATATTCATTTCTATCATTACATACATAGATGGCCCTGATGTTACTTTTGATCCATTGCAAGCTACCACCAAACCAGTGGATTTCTTTGTAAACATTCGACCTCGTACGGATATGCCTGCACCCAGGTCGCCATCCACTGCTGCTGCTGCTGATAATGAGAAGAGCACTTTCAAGTCGTCAAGTGATACCACCACCAAGAAGGCGATCATTCCGGAATCCAAGGCGGTTGCTGAGCAAATGGCATCACGTTCAGCTGCTGATTTACCTCCCATCACCTTTTTATTTGGTACACAGACCGGCACTGCACAAGATTATGCATCTCAGCTTGCAACCCAAGCACGTTCTTTTGGTTTCAAGGATGTCAAACTTCAACCCATGGATCAATGGCGTGTGCTTGATGCTGGCAAATATGAACCCCCGCAAGGATCATCCGGTGCACAAGAATTGGTGGTGATCTGTACAGCAACGTATAATGGCCAACCACCCGATTCAGCTGAACGCTTTGACAAGTTCCTCAATGAGAAAACCAGGGATCTGGAAAGCAATGGCGATCTGTTAAAGTCACTCCGATTCGCCGTATTTGGTGTCGGCAACAAGAATTGGCGCACGTACCAGGTCTTCCCTCAAAAAGTCAATGACACCCTTGAACGTCTTGGTGCAGAACGCTTCTTCGATTGTGGACAGGGCAATGCTGACAAGGACATGGACGCAGACTTTAACGAATGGTAAGCTTTGATGATTGAAAGTAAGGAAACAACGTACTCATTATCGCGTCTCATAGGTCTGCTCACTTTTGGATCAGTGCATTGACGCAATTTGGTCTTTCTCTTCCTCAGAGCCAATGGGTGGTTCCTTCAGCAAATACGGGCGACCAACATGTCAAGGTGAACTTCATTAGCCCATCCGACAAGGAGAAATGGGAAGCTGGTGTAGCCAATCGCAACGGCGAGTACAATGTCACTATCCTTCGCAACGAGGAGCTACAGCAACCAGCATCCGATCGCAGCACACGCCATATTGAGCTTGACATATCCTCATTGGAGCCGCTTTATAAGGATGGGCCCGTCTTTTTGGCAGGTGATCATTTGGAAGTGTATCCTGAAAATGATGCCGAGATTGTGGAGGCCATTGGCGTCAACTTTGGATGGGTGCTTGATTCCGTATTTGAAGTGGATCCAGCAAGTCTTGATAATGTATCGCCTCGTTCACTTGCAGCATCCATTCGTGGTCCATGTACGATCCGCAATGCGCTCACTTATTATGCCGATCTCTCATCACCACCTTCACGTACCATGTTATCCATCTTTGCTGAGCAATTGCGTGCTACTTCGGAGGAGACAGCTGACGTATTCAGCAAGTTGATCATGCCTGATAGTCCTGAATATGCTTCCTTCATTGAAAAATATCGCACGATTCTCGATTTACAAAAAGGATTTCCTCAAGTGAAGCGACTCGATTTGGCACAATTCATGACAGCTGTGGGTGTGATGCAACCACGTCGATACTCGATTGCTTCCTCTCCTTTGGCTGATTCAAAACAAGCTGCATTGACTGTGGGTGTGGTTCATGATATGCTCAAGGATGGTCGTGAATACTATGGTCTCGCATCTTCCTATTTATCTCGTAGCACTGAATCCACCCAACTACGTGCTATGCTCAAATCATCCAAGAGCAGCTTTGCATTGCCATCCGATCCCAAGGTGCCCATTATCATGATCGCTGCTGGTACAGGTGTATCCCCCTTCCGAGGATTCTTGGAGGAACGTGCATGCCAACGTAGCCAAGGTGAACAAGTTGGCGAATGCGTGCTTTTCTTTGGTTGTCGTCGCAAGGATCATGACTTTATCTATGCCCAGGAAATGCAACAACATGTCGAGAAGGGTGTCTTGAAGGATTTACATGTGGCCTTTTCACGTCAAGGTGAACCTGTCAAGTATGTCCAACATCAACTATTGAATCAAGCTGTCAAGGTGTGGGACTTGCTTCAGAACGCGAATGCTACTGTTTATGTGTGTGGTGCTGGCGAAATGAGCCGTGATGTACGACGCACGTTTTGTTCGATGGCCAAGAGCTTTGGTCAAGCAAGTACTAGTGAAGAAGCTGAAAACTATATCAAGGATTTGATAGAAAAGGGACGTTACAATGAAGATGTTTGGGGTTAAAGGAAGTCTACTACTGGTATACATGAATAAATCATCATCATTCAGGCAATCCATCTTGCATGTGTCTATGTTAAAATTGTATCATGGGTTGCGCTTAAATGTCATGCCAACACTTGCCACTTCCATAGCGACATGAATAAATGAGCGGTATAACAAGAATTATATTTCATAGTTGCTATGGATACATATCTAATAGTAGTACTACTACCGCTGATACTGCTGCTTTACGCCACCACTCTGTACATGGGCAGTTGATGTTGTAGTTGAAGGTCTTGTTGAAGACTGTTGTGATGATGGCGAATCCCGTTTTTGTTGTTGTTGATCTGCTACAGAGCTAACACTACCCCCACCACTGGATGAGCTCTTGAGTAATACGATATTGCCACGTGATAGGACATCTTGACTGGTAGGTTTGACGAGCAAATGATGCACGTGATCTTTACCCGGTTGATCGGCTTGGCAAGTTTCAATACTTTGGACCCACTCATCCTCTAAGACTTGGTTTACAAGGGCACGTAAGTGGGGATCAGGTTCAAGGATTTGTGCTATGACGGGTCGTGCTTGCCGTGGCAAGAGGCCTAAAAGACGAGCTGCACCTCGTGAACTGGGAGTTTGGAAATTCTTGAAGGATTGATCTTTTGCTGGGTGAGCAATGCGCCAAGGGAAGCGACGAATGACCATGCAAATGTAAATCACCGCACAACTCCAAATATCAGCTTTACGTGCATCGTATTGTTTTTGAATAAATTGTTCAGGTGCAATGTAAGGATCCGAGCCAGAGATACCTTTTCTTTTCCATGAGTCATTCATCCATCATCATCATCCCATGTCATACAATTACCTTTACTTAGGTGCACATTCTTGTCATAGGGGTATTTGAATACGGTAGCACATCCAAAATCAATGAGCTTGACAATACCACGCTCGTCAAGCACAATATTATCCAGCTTAAGATCGCGATGCGCTATCCCGATGCCATGTAGGTAGGCTACGCCTTGAAGCATTTGACGCCAACAACAAGCAATCTCGTCGCGTGACATTTGTCCGCTCATGACAATATTGAACAAATCATTGGGCGCATATTCCATGATCTCGTAAAATGCTGATCCTTCTCGTACCATATCCAATGTCTCAATCACATTGAGATTGTGTAATGTCGATCCAATGCAAAACTCGGCTGTCACCTTTTTGACGTATTGTTTTTCATTTTCATTGGGTGCTCGTTTCCGAAATTGCTTGACGGCAAATGTTTTTCCATCCGTATGGCGCCTAATCAATCGTACAGATCCACCCGCACCCTTTCCAACAAAGCGTCCTAATAAAAAGTCAACATCATGCTCATTGAGATCATTCTTCACTTACCCCATTTCCCATAACGTGCTTCCAGATCGGTATTAAATTCATTCGCAAAAGAAAGTCCTGAATGACGACTCGAAGCAATACTTAGGGTATCATCTGGTGCAGGTGGTGGTGGTGATTGTTGGGCTCCATTATCACGTAGGTTCTTGTCAGGCTTTTTGATCAACCGTTTTAAATCATGGAGGAGGGTATCCTTTTTCTTTTTGGTATTGGATGTGCCAGGTTGTTGATGATGAAAATGTGTTTGCATATACCGGTTGTTATACCGGGGCTTACTAAACACAAACTGCGACGGTGTTCCCGGCGGTGATGGTGTTGACGTACGTGAAGAGGGTCGAGAGGTTTGTGGTTGTTGTTGTTGATAACTTGTACTACCCACTGTGCTCTTAATACTATCATCTGTTACTTGCACAACGGGCACATCAGCTGTTGTTGGCTCTGGTGTAGATGCTTTGCTTGATTCTTTTGGTAATTGCTCATTTGCGCTACCACCACCACTACTGCCACCACTTGCATTGGTCATGGAACGTGGCGTCTCGGGTGCCAAATGAGGATGATGATGATGGTGTTGATCAAGTGGTGGTTGTTGACGTTCATGGATAGGTGTACCAGGCATAGATACATCTGGAGTAATGTTTTCAAATTGATGCACACCATGCTTATCACGAAAAATCTTGGCTGGTTCTTCGAAATTAAGCGATTGCATTCGAGAGCTCAGCTGTTGCTCAAATTGACGTTTAGCATGATCGGATTGGGATGGCTCGTTATAGACCGAACGCCAACTCTGTTGTGATTGATGATCCATCGCTTGTTGACAAGGTGGATGAAAATGAAGAGTGCAGGGGAGAGAGAGAGAAAGAGAAAAAAAGAACGCACGCACACGCACACACACGCACACGTATATTGAGAGAGAAATGCAACCAGAGAAAGAAAGATCAACGACGGGGTTTGTAGCACTGGATCACAAAATTTAAAACCCTTCGGGTATTTTGAAAGCAGCACAGCTCATGCTTACACCATAGAGCAACGTCGTCTCTTGCATTTCAGCAACCCCACCCTGTGTTTCGAGAAATGTCAAAAAGTAGAATAGCTTCGTTCACTCTTATCAAACTTCCAGGTTAAAAGAAGATGAGTAGGATGCACTTGCCATTGATCGGATGGATCCGACTGATCATACGTATGACAATTACCCATGGCTATTGTGGTACAAATTATGCAATGCACTTTCATTATGTTCTACCACCACCATGGTGCGAGAGTGACATGGTGGCGAGAACATCCCGAAGCTATAACTGAGCCGTCAAAATTGAGAAGCGATATGAACTACAAACAAACAAACATGTATGCAAGATCAAAAGTGATATCATCCCGGGCCTTTCAGCCACACCACACGCACCCACATACATAGTGGATCCATCACATCATGTATGCATGCATAATATAACGCATAAAGTAAACAAGTATTTTGACACTGATGGTATTTACAATGGTTGTAAGAGGGTATACATATGTACAATGAAAAGGGTCGATAATACTACTACTACATGAGCTCCGATGATGATAGTCCTTTTGCAAAATCCAGTACCATGATACGCCTATCATGACCAGCACTAAGATCCACATGTTGTCAATGATCCCTTGCTTTTAAATAATAGTAGCAATAGTATACAACATACCTGATGATGGACGTATGGTTCGTCAATACCGAAAAAATCTTGCCTTCATGTCCGCTTTGAAAGCTCAACGTGCATTTCGATGTTTGAGCATCCCACACCTTGATAACTTTATCATAGCCAGCTGTGACAATGCGACCCTAATGACAACACTTAATCACCCTGCTGATGGATCTTTTTCCATGATGACATACCCCATGATAATGAATCGATCTCAACACGTCGGTGTGTCCCGAGTTGATGACTTTGTTGGTGATGACATGATGATGATGGTCCTTTTCATCCTCCTCTATTGTCCAAATTTGGATATTCTTTTGCAATCCACATGCCCAAATACACCATTTCCTGCTTCCTTTTGGCACTACTTCCAAGCATGAAAGACCACCAATGTCACCTTGGAAGTTGTGTAAACATTCGCCTGTTTGTGTGCACCAAATTCGGATTGTACCATCACCTGAGGCGGATGCAAGACGCTGAGCATCGACACGTTTGATGGCATTGATAGGTTCCCTGTGTCCTCGTAATACATGCAACACATGCCCTGTTTCTGGATTCCATATCCTTAGCGTACAATCTCTGGATCCAGTGGCCACCCTCGCATCATCCAATACCACTGCTGACAAGACGCTGTCCTCATGATCCGCAAATCGATGCATCACTTGCCACTCGGGGAGTCGCCATACTGTACATGTTGTATCGGATGATCCAGTCACTGCCAAGTGTCTTGATGTGGCAATCGACAAGATACTTCCCGTATGAGGCGTGGAGCGTGTCAACATGCATTTCCCCTTTTGCCACACCTTGATGGTACGATCCCGACTTGCACTTGCAAACATGCCATCCTGTCCCATCATCCATGCCATGCTGTATACACTATCCTTATGGCTATCCATTTTGTTCAAATAGGATACTTGGGAATGGCCTTGGTGCCACCGACGATGGAGTTCCAATGCCTCACGGTACAGCTTCCGATAATCATGTGAATGCGAAAATACAGGATTGTGGTCGTGTCGTTGAAACTTGTCGCAAAATAAACGATACCAGACATGGTTGTCGTGGCACAATGTATATAGCTTTTTGGATGCTTGTTGCAAATAGGCAAGATCTCTGGAATCCACATGCATCAGAATACGGATCATGACTTCGTTGGGTAGCTCTTCGAATGCACTGGCAGTGTAGCTTTTTTCTATATTGATGTTAGATAACGAATAACATGGGGAATTCTCTTGTTAACATACCTGCAAGCGATGTTGAAACGCCTTGTTGGTGATCCTCCTCATGTTTCGACCACAACAACAAATGTTTTGCCTTCTTTTGCAACGTTGATTTCTTTGTAAACAGCGAGCTTGCACTGAATGCCCGTTTCCTGCCACGTAGTGTTCTCATGTTGCTGTAATGGTGGGAAACGGCTGATGGATTCAAGTATTTTGTTTTCACTGAGCCGTCTCTTCGAGTGATGATAGCAACGTAAATAGTCGGTGATGATTGCCAGTGTCCTTCGTCACTTGATATGCTGCTATAGTCGTCATCATCGTCGTCGATAGGATGATGGGTGGTGTTGGTGGTGGGAGGAGGATTATTGGAATGTGTGGAAGGGAAGTATAGAAATGATAAGAAGGGTGCAGTCATTGTGAAAAGTGGAAAAAGAGAAAGGAAACAAGGGGGAGGAGAGGGGAGGGGATAAAAGATAATACAGTAGTAATAGGTACATCCAAACATTCAGCATTTCCCCACACTTGACCCCGCACGAGAATATTCCGCGGAATGGGCTGAGACTAGAATGTGAGTATAATTTCTGTATGTGAGTGTGGAGATCACCCTCCCCTGAAACAAAGGTAGTGTGGGAAAATTTTACCTTAACTCATAGCAACCCGATGACGACATTCTCTTTTTATAGGGAAATTCAAAAGCAACGCATAATGCAATCCATCCATCCATCCAGCCAGCCTTGTTCATCCTTTCATGATGTGCAACATGGGAAATTGAAACGTCATACGACCCAGTGGTTGAAGGAAATTACCGATTGGTTGGGATCACTGCCATGGAAACGGCTCCCGTTTGAAACCAAAACAAAGTAGACTCATCCCATATGTTCGGACCATCGTCATATGAATATCCAATCCAACGCTGCTATCCCCTCCCGATCATGTATTTGATTTGCTGTTGCTGGTAGAAGCATAGTTTGTATTCTTTTGAATGACTTGAACTAAATGCACCTCCCTTGATTGTTGCCCTGTGTCTTCATCATCCTCGTGGTTGAAATGGGTCGCGTCATACAGTGGGCGCTTGTCTGACGTGCACGAAATCATCAGTGCTTGCATTGACATTGTCAGGTGGGAAAAGTAGATACATGTCCTGCCATCGCCTTGCGTCGTTTCTCCTGCCGACACGTTGGATTGACGTGATCCGTATGCATTCTTGTCAGGCAAAACGAAAAAAGATGTAGTGCATCATTCGTCTTGATTCCTTCATAAGGCCCACCAAAGGCATCCTCTTCCACTTGAGCTGTCACCATCATCATCATCATATCGATTAGGTTGCAGCTGGTTTGTTGATATCGTCATAGGTCGTTTACGTCGTTGTTGGTAGCTGAAACAAGGACGCGCCGGGCTTGTTCAGTGGACATGCAAGGAGATGTTGACATGGACTGTCACCATGGGTTGTTCAGTTGCTCAATGTCGGTTTAGAATGTTGCAGCATTGTCAAACGAGAGGGAAGGCTTGAAAAAAGAAAAGAAAGGGGAGAAGGAAGATCTTTATGCAGCGGCACTTTCCCATTTCAGCCTTATTGGTTGCCATAGCTACCATCCACAGCAATCGATCCAACATCTCTCATTCACCCCACCCGCCATCATGGCTTTTGCTTAGTATTTATACACGATGAATCATTATTGATAACGAATGCTTTCCTCCTATCATCCACCTTGAAATCTCTTTTACCCATCATCCAGGATCAGTCCGAGCGAATTGAAAAGCGCACATGTTTGTAACCAAAGGGTATACTCGTATTTTAGTCACGAATGATTGGGGGTCTATGCATATTATTGCGATGTAATCGAAGGATCAACCAATCCACAGCTTCATTCACGCCCGTTCTAGTATACATCAGCCATCAGCTCTTCCTTCATCCAATCCTCGTTGTATATATCCATACCCTGTAAGTGCACTGACAGGAAGCACCCTGGAATCACGTGCACCAAGCTTGACCGCTATCCGATTAAACACCTCTTTGATCTCTTCGACACGCAATGCTCCATCTACATCCTGCTTGTTTGCCAGCATCAAGATAGGTACACCTTCCACTTGGTCATTGGTAATGATACGTTCTATACATATGGAGACATCTCCCCTAGTTAACAAAAGCACAATAACGTGCATGTCATATTTACCAAAGGTATCCCGACACTCTTCCAATCGTTTGCTATCGGTAGAATCGACCACAAAGACAATGCCATGACATTCTGGATAATATCGTTCCCAGATAGATTGAAGGTCTTGTTGACCACCGAGATCCCAAAAGTTGATACGTGATGATTTGATATCCACTCTGCCAACTGCATAAAGGAAGGTCAACTACATACTATCACAAGGTCGATAATCTCGTATACTCAACTGTTTAAACCCACAGTAGGAGCGATTCGTTCAGGCGCCAATCCCGGTACACCAATGAAGATGGACTTTATTCGTTCCAGCAATGTCTGCAAGAAGCATTGTGAGTGTTTGCATGTCGGGACCATTTCCTTTGGCAGTTGTATACCGTTTTGCCGGCATTGTCGAGACCGATAATAAGAACATAGTATTCTTCTTTGCGTGTAAGATATCGATAAAGGCCGCTTAGTAATGTGTACATTGTCGTCTTTGGATGTTGGGACGTGTGGTAAAAAGTGGAAGAGGCATAAGGTGTCTGAGCTTTGGAATTGTGCGGTGAAGAAAAATGCGTCGTGCGTGGGGTGACCCACCACCATGATTACCTCCAAGCTGCACTGTAGCGACTCAACTTGCTGGTTACTCTAATGCATAAACGAATGATGTAATGTTGGATAAGCACGATGTAATCTTCATAAGATCCTTTATAATAATACCGAGAGAAAGACATGAAGCTGGTTAACAGCAGCTAAAATACCCCCTTCGTCTATGGTGTTGGGCTGTCTTCCTTCATGATAAATGGCATTTGTGCGTCACGGGGAAATCAACATGTGTTGTATTCCAAGTATACGCCTTTCGAGGTCCCATGATCAAGAACATTGGATCCCAGTAACAACAAACGTTATTTATCAACACCTTGTTCTCAAAGAGGTACACGACTTAGAGAAGAATCAATGACTAGTAGGCGCACGACAAATGATCACATCACCCAGTCATATACCCGATGTTCTAAAGCGACAAGCTACATGGACTATTTGTCGTTGTGTGTTTTGGATATTGGCGACGAGGAGATTGACAAGTGTTGACGAGTACGAGTACAGATGACGACGTACGATAAAGACGGCGATGGCGGCAATGTAGCTAGATGGAATAAAACATTGTTTATTTATTACACACTTGGATTTTGCTAGCTTGTGGATTACATCATACTATTGCTTCGAAGATGGAATACAGTAATAAAGGTGGTCCGGTTATCGGTCATGCAAGAAGTAGATGGCTTTTGTGATACAATAAGGAGGAGTGGGATGACCTTGAGGAGAGAAAAGTGAAATGATCTCTCTATTTACATATACAAATTGGTTTATGCAGCTCGACCTTCTCCTATATCTACATGTGATGTGGAATGCTTATTGTCATATACGTACCTTGACACACCTTCATTATTGGATGTTGTTTACTTAAGAACCTTCACAAAGGCAATCATCATCATCATCTATTTGTGCAGCAACTTGTCAAGGACGTGCGTGTGTAACCACCACGTGGCATTTCATTCAGCTCTCCATCTTTCCGTTAATGCAGCCGACACCATCCACTAGGAAAAAGCGACTCCATCACGCTTACAGCATAGGTAAAACATAAACGTGCCTGTATCTCCAAACTTTACAATGAAACGTGTGGTTTTTATTAGAGCAATGGGCTCGGCTTGGCCAACAGCACCTTATGTGAAAGTTTCACGTTCAATGTCGCAAACAGCCCAAAAAATATTTTTCTGGTCGTCTTCGAAAGAGGTTGAGCCCCGGATCCAGTTTGGCTGGTAGCGACATTGCGAAATCTGGGATTAGCCACGATGAACCACTTCATACTTTGACACAAGATTCCTTTGACCCTGACGAGCACGTTGATCTATCAAAAACCCCACGTTTCATTGTAAAGTTCGGAGATACAGGCACCTTTATGTTTGTAAGCGTGATGCTATATGAGAAGTGGTCTTTGTTCATTGCCAAGTAGCTAGACCCTTGAGAGCCAAAGATGCAGAAGGACCTCTTTGGGTAACTCAGCTAAAAAGTCAGGACTTCAGGGACAATGCATGAAAGGTACGCAACCCTCACTTTGATGTCATACATTGGCAGCTAATAGCCACTTTTGTGCATTCCCAACTTTTGTGCATTCTATTGTAGGTGGACGATTCCCCTGCTCTAGACATTCATTTCCATGATTAAAGTAGGTTGATCCGAGCTGATTTGGTTGAGTTACGCTCACACAAGATTACATCGGTTGAGCTACATCGAGCGTGCTTTATGTCCAGAGTGATGTAATCTCTCTTTGACCGCAGCTCAATCAAATCAGCTCGAATCAACCTGCTTTAATCATGGAAATGAATGTCTAGAGCAGGGGCATCGTTCCCATGCAGTGGATCTCGCAACAATGATGATTGGATAAAAGTGGCCGTTAGCTAGCAATACATGCCTGTTCCTAGATGATCCATAAAGTAATTATACATTGACCCTTTCATTCATGCAAACGTAGCTGTGTTACACAACACGATCCTCTGCATCTTTTGCTCTGCCAGGGTCCACCTACTTGACAATGAACAAAGACCACTTCTCATATAGCATCACGCTTACAACATAGTAAAACATAAAGACGCCTGTATCTCTAAACTTTACAATCAAACGTGGGGTTTTTATTAGAGCAACGGGCTCGGCTTGGCCAACAGCACCTTGTGTGCAGGTTTCACGATCAAGGTGGCCGATCCCAGATTTCGCAAATGTCACCACCAGCCAAAGTGGATCCGGGGATCAACCTCTTGATCCTCCGCTCCTGACTTCTCTTTCTCCCTCTACTTTTAACCCCATTCACAGCATCCAATCCCGTCAAGGTAATGTATTATACAATATGCTCTTGTTGGTTCTCTATTGATATTGTTTTGAGTATTCATAGATAGGGAGTGCAGTGGGGTTGGTTGTTGCCAAGGTCATGTCGTCGTTGTTATGCCGCTCCACACTTGGTGCAGGTAAATGGAAACCGCAATGCAGCAGAAGAACGTGTTCGATTGACGTGTTAGCTTGCATGTATAGACGGCAAGATTCGATCGCAAAGACGTTGGCTCATGTGGCTCTTTGTTTCGGCTCAACTACACTACACTATGGTCTTCGGTTTCCAGTAACCAACAACAAGGGGTCTTTGTGTATATGGAAAAGGCAAGTACAGTGGGACATGACAATGGAGAAGGCGTTCAATGTAATAATGAAGGTGCTATTATTGGATAGGTTCTTGGTCAGGTAGTGCAACTTTGGGCATCATCATCATCTTCTTGGGTTCGACTCCCAGCCTGTACCTTTTGGCCACTTCACAAGTGATAGTTTGGTCGCATGAAACCGCTGGAACGAGATCAGGGTCCTGTCGGATGAAACAAAATCACAAAGGATGGCTTTGTTGTTGGAAGAGCATGATCACGGAGAGGTAAAAGGAGGGGAATTTGACACCTGCAGCGTTAACGGATCACCATCCTTGCAACACAACCAGATCTACTAACCTTGTTTTCTTTCATTCATGCATGATGCAAGATAATGATGACAACAGTTACAACGAACACGTCAACTTTCTTCGAGTATGTTACATGATTACACAACTTGGGACTTATCAATGCTTGCAATCAGCCATCCGATCCATCCACTACAATCCTAAGGCATCACTATGTATTCAGCGGTTCTCTTCAATCCAACACGGCATGTGCATGAAGAAACTTGGTGTATCTTTTACGCAACTATACACATCGTCCCAGCAAAACATTATTTGGAATCCTTGCATTGTACCGGAATCAGCAAATCTCATAGCGAACAGGATTTAGAAGTGTAGTGGGAATCATTATATGTCGTCGAGTTTATATGATAAAATGGATGTTACAACATGAAAAATGTGAGAAAACTATATACAAGGTGGGGGCTAAGAGATGAAGAAATAATGCTAGGCATCATTACTCTAATGATGCTTGGGTTCAGTGTCGGCATCAATTGATTCACGAGGAGCATTTGCATCGTCATTTTCGACCATGATGTTGGGTGGGACATAGTCTTCCTCGAATACAGACAAGTCAAGGCCCTTGGTTTCTGGGATCCACAAGATTGTGACAACAAGGCCAAGGAACATGATACCGGCAAAGATACCCAAAGTTTGAGGAAGGAAAGCATGCTCACCAGGAGCACCACCATGATCCACGAGCACGTTGAAAGCAAATGAAGCAAGAATGGCACCAGCCTTTCCTGAAGCTGCAGAAATACCGTGGGCAGTAGCACGCACCTTGGTTGGGAAAACCTCACCAGGAATGATAAAGGTAGTACAATTGGCACCAAAGTTCATAAACAATTGAGCAAGCGTGAACACCGTAATGAAAGCAGGCATGGCATTGTCACGAAGAGGATAATAAGCAGCGGCAAGAATGGTGAAAAGAATGGTGCACATGGTGAAGCCCATAATTTGAATAGGGCGACGACCCCAACGTTCAACAAAGATGACTGTCAAGTAATAACCAGGCACCGAACCAAGACAAGTGATGATGATTTGACCCACCGTGTTGGCCCATACAGTCTCAAAGGGAGTCGTCTTGTTGGAAAAGCCAATAGCTTCAAGAATGTACGAGTTGTTGAGACCAAGACCATAAAAGGCAACATCAAGAAGGAACCAAGAGAGCGAAGTACCGAGCAAAGTCTTGAGATGCTTCCATTGACCAAAGTAGGCACGGAATTCAGCCCAATGGTTACGTTGTTTGGTATCCACCTTGGTATATTGTTTGACAAGATCATCAGATACGGTTTGGCCCTTGGCAGCAGCAGCAGCTTCCACATCATGTTCAACGTCCAAAGCATAGCGAGGCGATTCAGGCATAGTAAAGCGCAAGTAGATGGTGCCAACAGCAGGAACAGCACCAAGACCAATACACAAGCGCCAAACATAATCGAGGTTGAAGACATCATCGTTGACAGCACCCTTGAAGATGGCAAGGATAATCAAAGTAACAATAGCAGCAGCCAAGTTACCAATACCTTGCATGGAGAAGATCAAGGCCATCATCATACCACGACGACCCGTGGTGCTCCATTCTGATACAACAGTAGCACTCATAGGATAGTCACCTTAAAAAAAGTACAACATGGATGAGTCAATGATTTTCAAATGAATAAAGGGCATGGGTTGTTTATGCTTACCTCCAATACCAAAACCAAGAATTAAACGCCATAGACCAAGGAAAGCAATAGCCGAGACACCACGTACGGTGGATGCAGAAGTTGCACAATTGATAGTACCAATGATAATAACGAGTAATTCAAAGCCGTAAATCTTGCGTCCGAGAATATCACCAAGAGCGCCAAAAAAGAGTTGTCCAAACATTGTACCCACAGAGGTCATACCCTTGATGACACCTTCAATGTCGGATGGAACCTTGTTGTTCATGTGTGGGTAGTAGACATAGCCAAGCATGGGGGTGACCAAATTGATAATGAAAATGTCGTAGGAATCGGTAAAGAAACCTGCACCAGCTGTCAAAATGGTACGCACCGTGAACCAGTTGAACTTGGTGCCAGCGCCTGTGTCATCAAGCTTCTCAAGACTCTTGAGCTTGCGTTCGGCAGCATCCATATGCTCACGCTCAAGGGATGATGATGATGACGATTCGGATAATGAAGGTGCCATCCGTAAAAAGGTAAAAAGAAAAAGTGGAAGAGTGAGATGAAACAAAAAAGAGAAATTCAGGATCAAATTATCCCTTTTTAACTGTTTCCAAAGACCCTATACCAAGCTTCTTTTTTTTCGTCTTTCTTATTCATGTGGTGTCAAGTGGTGTCGAGTGGGCTCGCCTGAGTTGTTTGGATTGGACGAGTCTTGTGCCTTTACCAACCTTGGTAGCCAATCATAATCAAAGATCAGGCCGCGTGCGTGCACTGCTTATTTTCTTTTTGTGTTCTTGATCTTCCCATTGTTCGATCAGCGAGTGTCATACACTAAACCTGGCAAATTTTATAACAGCTCTTCCCCATTTTCCATGGAGGCCGTCTCTCCAAAAGTCTTGGAGCATCATGAATAGCTTTTTTGTACAAAGATGGAATAACAAAATTTTTTTAAACTTGCATGCATGCATACATAGCAGGGGTTATGGACAATGAAAGTGTCCCTCACAATCAGCCGTGCACACTCTTTTCCGACAACGTGGCTCCTGCGTGCGATATGATTGGAATATCTAACCCGGTGTAACACACGAATCCAAAAGTAAGACAGAGTTTGCGTTGATCAAAGTTGCGCCTGCCCGGCACAAGATTCACCGTACAAGGTTTTTTTTTCTTTACTTAACGCTTGGCAACATCATTCATCGGACATACCTTTATCTATCTTACGTACTATACGTCCAATCAGCAACATTCACCACCTCCCATACCGTATTATCATCCTCCCCCGCCGCCATAACGTTTTCGGTATGTAGTAGTCATCGCAACCAACATGCACCGTAACCATGACAACACAACTTTAAATGTAAAAGAGAATACATGTACCCAACCCTTGTGCTTGTAGCTGGCTACGTTGATGCATGATCTTAGTGTTTTCCTTGTCAAGCTTTCACACACACACACATAGAAGAATCATGATGAGCTTGTTAAAATCCGGTGATGATCTAGAGAATGTCATATGCCTTCTCTCTTACAGACCCATATGCTCACAATAAAAGGAGAACGTTTGAAACATTTATAGTGCTCATATTATGTACACGCTATTTGGGTAATAGCTCTACCAATCCACCATGGCTATCAATTTCCCCCTTTGTTGAATACTCCTTCACCGCGTACGGAGGCGCTTTCTTGGGTCACTCTGATCTGGATCATGAAGGTCATAAAAACGTCGTTTGCCTCTGTGAGATAAAAATAAGAAGCCTTTCAACGAGGGTTGACCGAAAAAGACACTTACAATTCGGTATTCGGTTGTATCAAGCTACCTCTGGTAATGAGCCGGTAGCTATAAGGGAGACGATCATGTTCATTGTTGGGTATCCTTGAGCACTGTGGACATGGTGGTTGTCGTCGTTGGATCATACATCGTGTCAAGATCTCGTACTGTGATACCCGTACATCGATGCGGTTGTAAATCTTTTGAATCCAATCTTTCATGGCTTTATCAATCACACGTACGGTTTCCTGAGCAATGATGCTTCCTGTGCTCTGATTCGTTTCTCGCAACTTTCGTAATTCTTGCATCAAAGTATCATCCGTCGTTAGGGTCTTGTTGTCTACTTGCTGTATACAAGTACTAGGAGCGTTGATCTTGTCGTTTAATTGGTCCATGGAAGTGCCAAGAGCATTGCATTTACGATTCAATTCCTCCATATAGGTACCAAGAGTATCGCACTTGTGATTCAATTGCTCTATGGAAGCACCAAGGTCACTATACTTGAGGTCGAGTTCCTTCATGCAAGTACTGAGAGCATGGTTCTTTTGGTCTAGCTGTTCCATACGAGTACTGAGAGTATTGCTCTTGTCGTCTAATTGCAGTATACATGTCTCAAGAGCGCTGATGCTATTTTTGATTTGATCCAGGCTACCCAACACATCTTCGAATTGCTGGTTAATGGATGGCCGTCGGCTGAAAGATGTTGGTTTCGTTTCGTTCTTCTGCTCATTGGCGAAGCTAGGTGTCAAGAACGTGGGATATGAGAGGCTTGAAGCTTTTGAGAAGCCGTAATCGGGAAGTGTTTCTCGTTTTCTATGTGGAAAATAGGTGCTAAAGATGAAAGGATTCTTGATGGTGGCAGTGGTATTGTCATCTTGTAATGAGTCAGCGTCTTTCCTTTTCAATGTAGAATGTGGTGGAGAGGAGCGTAGGGAACTTTCCATCATTGTGCAAGTAGTAATAATAATTGAAAAGGCCCTTTAATAAGAGGTAACCAATATATATGAAAAAGTGTTGTCATATTCAAGTTGCCATTGTTGCATGGGAAAAAGGATAAGCGTAAACATTGATAAGGTTCACTGTTTTTGTGGTCTCCATAGGTACTCCAGCATAGCATTATAAATGCTTGTTGTTTGCCAAATACTAAAACCTGTTCCTTGTTGTAGACGAGGAACACGTTCAACAGTGTAAAATGCCAATCCATAACCCGATGCTTACAGGAAAACTCAAATACAGCTCGCTTACTATTATAAAATGATGTTGGTGATGTTGTCAATTACAATGATTAGGGGGAATAGTTCACTTGGGGCTGTAAAACGCTCTATAACCAGTTCTTCTTCAGCCACCATCATTGCTTCATATCATTGAGCCATGTCTTTGCATGATAAACTTTTAATGATGTGCTTCAAAGGGTATCAATGATGATGATATGGATACGAGAAAATGGATGTTGTCAAATCGAAAAGTATATGTAGCGGCGTAATGTATATATGGAAGGAGTTGCTGTGCCTGGTTGTTGTACCACTGAAGATGGAAAAGGTTAAACCATTGATTGGACGCTGATATTTATAGGTTAATGGGTGGTTGCATCTTGAATTCCCTAGCAGCAACATGTACCTACGTGAAGCATCATGGAGAGAGAGAGAGGGAGAGAACTTTACTTGTCAAGTACAACAAAGACCTTCTCATGGATGACTGCGTATTCCTAATACAAGTTCCTTGTCTCTCCACGTGCATCATTGTGTTGGTAAAGTGAGTGCACGACAACAGGTTTGCATAACATGCCAAGCCCACAAATAGCGGGAGTTATCCAATCATTAAGCTCCAATGAGCGACGGCGCGTGTATTTGCTCTCTAGTTCAAGCCGCTTTCTCTCGTTTCTATAATAACCCGTACAACACCCCATGAGCGAATACCTCAAGGACATTCCAGAGTTTTATGAAAGGGAGCTTGGTGAAAGCATCATTGCGAGAACAGAAGCTCTTGGTAACATCCCACCATTGTATTCTTTATTCCTTTTACGCGACGACTCATCTCTATCAACACCCCCCACTCTCCTCTTTTATCAGGCACCTTTCGCGAACTAGGCCCTCCCGACCTTTGCCATATCGTCAAGGCTAATGCTAAGCCTGGTATCCGCGAAGTAAGCTACAGCATTGTCGTCAATGGGGGCCTCTCGCTTCCATGCTCACAGTCAGTCCAATTAGGTTGGCAGCTACCATTATGTATCGGGTGTCGATGCTTCATCATCTGCAACACTTGCCGCTTACTTGAACTCGTTGACCTATTCGATGGTACGTATCTCTCCTTGTGAAACGCACTTTATTCAGCCATGTCAAGATACCAGGGTGGATAACTCATCATTGTTCTATAGGATGACTCTCAGTCATGGTTCACCAAATCCAACGCATGGAGAATTCGATCCGGCATCTATTGGTTAGTATGAATAGGCGGTTGGGTGGCATGTGTGTGTGACATGGATATTTACATATCATCCTAGCTGTTTTAACGCGTTCTCACGAGTGGATGTTCGTGTCGAGGTCAAGATTCCAGGTGGTGTCGAAAGCTATTTTGTCGATGTACGCGGTGAAAGGTTGGTTGCATAATTGTTGGAACAAAGAGAGGGAATGATATTGATCCACACACATGATGTATTTAGACATGAAGCGACATCAGCTATTTGGCAAGAAACATACTTGTCAGCCGTATTGCGCGCGATTCTCTATTCGGATGACAGCTATTATCGTCTTGCTGGCTACCGTAAGATCGATCCTATTACCGGTTTGCAAGGCGAAGCCAAGTTTTTGGAAGCTGTGGAAGCCTTGTTTTGGAAGGGTAAGAGAGATGATAGGTTATGAGGGGGTGGAACCAAGGACTCATGTCGCTATTATGACAGGTTGGCAACTGGGTAGCAAGCCTGAGATTCAGGTGGCAACATCGGTACACAACCATTTGACAGCTGGTGTGATGAAATACTTTGGCGACAGCTTCCGTTATGGACCCGCAATTGAGCTCTTTGAGAAACTCCACAAAAAGGACCCTGAGGTGGGAGCTTTGCTTGCTGAATCGTATCTTGGTGCCAACGAAGAAATCAAAGCCGTCAAGACCTTGTATGATGACTTGAAGTTGGCTTCGATGAGCTATCCACTTTTGCATGTGCAGGTCGACTTTTTGAGAAACAAGGTATGGTAATTGGACAAGGTGATAGGATCTGGACTTATACAAACGTCGACAGGGAGAATATGATATGGCTTTGAAACTTGCCAAATTTGCTGTTAACACGACACCTTCCGAGTTTTTGACATGGGCCAAGTTGACAGATGGTATGTTTTCCAAAGGCATTTATCGTTTGATGATGAAGACTGACACATGTACATTAGTGTATATCGACATTGGCGACTATCAAAGTGTAAGATTTTGGGACGCAAAGAGGATGCATGACATGGCTGATACTTATTGAAAATGACGATAGGCTCTGCTTACGCTCAATTCATGCCCTATGTTTACCTACAGCGAACGTGACATGCATCGCATGCCGGCACCCATGAGAACTCATTTGCCCGTCAAACAAGATATCACGAAATCGGGTATTATGGAAGATGATATGACCAACCAGGAAGCTGAGGTAAGTATCAAACAACAACACGTGTATATTCTTGTTACTCACTAGATGGATTGTGGTTGTTAGCCTGATCCGAACCTTGTACGTCTCCCAGCTCCTGCACTTCATGGTACCTTTGCCAAGGCCTATTCCTTGTTGACCAAGCTTGCCGCTCGAATTGGATGGGATGATCTTTTGAAATGTCGTTCAGGTGTCTTTGTCATGGAGGAAGAATATCGCGTGCTCAAGGCCAAGGAAGAGGAACGTAAGACCAGTGTGTCCCACACCATGTCGTCAGCAGCCTCCAACAAGGAATCATCAGCCACTACAAACGCCACAACCCCTGCAGAAACTGTGGATGGCGAGAATAAGGAGGAATTGTCAGAGAAGATGGACAATATTGACTTGAATGAGGACAAGGATCAAGAGAAGGCTGAAGAAGAAGGAGGCGAGAAGCCTGAATCAGAAGAAAAGCCAACCGAAGAAGAGCCAACGGATGAAAAGCCAACAGAAGAAAATGAAGAAAAGGAATCCAAGCAAGAGACTGAGGAGGCTAAGGGTCCCAAGATTGAAGAACCATCCCTTGTGAGACCTGAGCAAGCAGCTGAAGATAAGGTAAATGAAAGAGAAAAGGGGGGAAACAAAAGACAAGCGTGTCTAATTGAACATGTGAAAATAGGATGCCAATGAATCTTCCAAGAAGGCTGCTGCCGATGCAAGCTTTTCATTTGGCAATAAGCGTCTTTGTGAACGTTGGTTGGATAATCTCTTTATGGTGTTGTATGAGGACTTGCGAGTGTACACTTTCTGGAGGACGGAAGCCGCTCATTATCGATCTCAACAAATGCCTTATCGCAAGACTGGCACTGAATGGGAATTGTTGGGTGACTTGGCACTGAGATTGTGGCACGAGGTATGGCATAAAGTGAGCCTTGGCAATGCAAGCGAAATAACTAAAACGACCCGTGTTTTATAGAACGAAGCAAAGGAATCGTATGAGCTTTGTCTCGACCAAAAGTTCTCTGCCAAGGCATGGATGCGTCTTTTGGAAATATATGCCAAGGAGGGTAACGTGCAAAAGGCTCTTTTGGCAGCTGTCAAATTAACAGTGTATCACGAGCGTTGGTATCACGAGATTGTGGTAAGTGACGAGGTTGCCGGGGGGAAGAATAGGACAATGTCTCACACATACATGTATCATCATCATAGTATCCCACCGAGATTGCTTGCAACCTTAACAAGCTGATTCGCAAGGAAGGCTTATCAAAGATGCAGAACATTTTGACGTCAATGAACCTCCCACGCTCAGTGCAGCTGCTGATAACACGCTACTTTGACTATGGAGAGTTGTTCAAGGTTGAAGGCTACGAATTCTAATCGTTTCAACACACACACACACACACACACACACACACACACACACACTTGCTCTTTTTCGGTATCCCTCCCCCTTTCCTTACTCAAACCATTCCCCCACTATATCTCTCTCCTCATTTCTGTAACTCTTGTAGTCATAAAGTAATGGGCATACACTTGCTCTCTTTATCTCCCTCTTTTATAGATAAAAATTGAAAAACAATCGATTCTTATTATTAATTAAGTTTTTGTCGTTTTGGAGACTGGTTGCCCTCTTGTGTTGGTAGTGCTTGCTCATCATGGGATTGGGTCTCAGTGGTAGCAGATGCCATATTGGTTTCGGCCTGATCTTTATCCACATCTCCAGCTGCTGTTGCTGTTTGCTTTGGCGGTAACACTTGTTCATCGCCGGGTTGTTTCTCATTGGTAGCTGGTGCCCTGTTGGCTTCATCCTTGTGCTCGCTAGGCTCTTCTTCCAACACTGTTTGACTTGTCGTTGAGGATGATACACGTTCGCTCTTGTCAGGTGTTGCAGCATTCGATTTTGCTGGCGGTGGTGGTGGTGGGCAAGCATTACCAATCACATCATCAATGCCAAGGAGTTTGCAAAATTCAGCAGTTTGTGGGTTTGGCGATGGCGTATCTACCAAAATGGATGTTATCAGTGGATGTGGACAAAGAAAGAAACCATGTGAAAAAGAAAACTTACAAAATCGGCTCTTTGTATCAACATTCATTTCAAAGTTGGCAGGGATAGTCAAGTCGATTTCATCCGTGTCCAGCATCATGTCGAGGTACATAAGCTCTTGATCGATTGCACTACATATAGTGAGTGAGTGAATCTAAAAGAGAATCCACATGTTCCTTTTCTTGATTGTTACCTTTGCAAATCAGCATCGTTCGGCAGGGGAATAGCTTGAGGACGAAGCGATAGATAGGGCTGCATAGCACGGGTAACAGCAAGCCATTCCAAATCGTACATAAGACCTTCATTCGAATTGCTTGAAGAATCAGGGACATCGATAATCTTTACAACCAACCATGAGCATGATAGATCAACCACCAACGCTTCAGATGAAATACCTCGAGGAATTGTCGATTGGGTAAGCATTTGTCAAGCGCCAAAAATTGTGTCACGTTCAAAGTTTGATCATCCTTGGCCTTGATCAGGTATTTGCTTTCAGCAGCATTGTCAATGTTGGCTGTATAGCGAACGTGTAAATGGGCCGAAAACCATCTTGAGGGCTTAAGCTTCTTGAGCAACCTTGTGTGCGCAGGGTTTCCCAAACGATGGCGATCCACCTATATCAATGTTATTAATAAAAAGTTCCATTCATTCTCCTTTGCTCCTACTTGCATCATTCTTGAAAAAAGGCTTGATCCTCAGTAATTGATCCAAGTTCCCACATCGCTCTATTCCTGCGGGCCAGTCATGCGAGATCATGATATCAATTGGTTTTTGTATCTACGCATGTCAACTTTAGAGACGATCCATAGAGAGATAACAACCCATATTACCCTTAGCAGCTTTTGCACTTCATAATCTCGGACATGATAGATCGAGCGCTGATCGCTATAGTTATATGGATATCGTTCAAAATGGCCTAGACAATGAATGTGGATCAGCTTTCTCGAAACAAATGCATCTTGTTGGATGAGCACTATTACCTTTGTAGTAATCAAAGTGTTTGTAAATGCCTGAAATGCCACCAATGCGTAATCCTTTGTAATTGACAACACCGGCTGCACCCAAATAGTAGATGTTCTCGCAAACCCAACCTCCATGATACCTGTTTGCAGGTCTTGATAAGATACCAAAGTGACACATGCATATACACACACACACGCATGCTACTTACAGCTCCCACAAATGATTGCTTGCTTCATGATTGCCTCCCACAAAAAGGGTTAAATAAGGCGCCTTCTTCTGCCCCGAGTAGTATTCGTAAAAGTTGCCTAGCTTTGCATACTTGGCTGGCACCGACATGGTCTTGAGATCAGCTGGATTGCGAATGGCCTGTGACCTTGTAAGTGCTTTGCAATGTACACGACAAGGTTTGGCTTTACCTGAAAGTCGCCACAGATCAACACCAGGTCGATCTTGTCATTGTTGGTCTTCTCGAGTTCCTGGAGTCGTCCATATATCTTGTCCAATTCACCATGGCAGCAACCTTCAACAGCGATCTACAGTCTTGGATTCAGCCATGCGTTCCAGCTATGACTCTTCTCTTGAATACCTTCATTTTACACCGATGTAGTAGAGAGCAAGAATGGTCCTAGCGGAGTACGTCGTCTCCCAGAGATGGATGTGGTTGTTGTTGTTGCTGTCGTATCGCATATTCGTAAAGACATGTTCCATGATCGTAGTCTAGTAATGATGACCCTGAGAATATTCATGCTCATTCAACCCCTCTTGTGTTCAACCAAAAAAGTAAAGTTTGATTATCGATGATATGACATTGTTACCAAGGAAACGGACCCCCATCAAAATATTATCCTCGTACCATCATCATTGATCCAAAGACGTGTCATACATACATACGTGATCCAGCACTCAATTAAGCAGCTTTATGAGTTACAAGATTTGATGATAACGCCGATGATGCTATGATCCCCTTTAGATCGACTGCTTGTAGTCTTCTATGTTTACAGCCTATCAAATCCCATGACGAGTTATCTTCGTATTTTGACGCGATGATAGTGATGATGATCTAATTGGCGACTGGATGAGATTGATCGATGAGGTATAGGGACGCACCCCGCAAGGCAGGGTTTTCGCTTTGACCCGCGATGTCATAGTTTGTCGTTGTGTGGGCGGATCGTGTGTAACAATGAACAAGGTTTACAACTGCGGTTTGAGATCTCTTTTTTTGATGTCCCGGGACTATGGAGAAACCAAGCAGCCTTAAATTCAATGATCGGGTTACCTCGGACTCAGTTGCCAAAAAGATCATTAACCCCACGAGACCCAACACACACCATTTTCGCATAAACTTGCATGAGTCTTATACACGCAATCATCAACCATGCACTCGAATCATGCCCTTGTATACGTACCCTTACCCATCCATTTCATACCCATTCGCCATCCTCTCGATGATAGCCTGTTATCCACAAATGGTATTACATGCCATAAGGGGATGGCCTGCTCATCCGGAGGTAGAAAAGAGATTCACAACCGACAATTCTTTTGCTTCTATCGCCACAAGTCATAGTCACTCAAATGGTATGCTTCAATATGGCTACATCCAATTATGCATCCCAAAAAAAGGGAGTCTGATCGCAATCATATGTTATAACAAACTTGAGAAAGAAAAAGGAGAAATGTGAGCTATTGAACCAGTAATGTACGTAGCACAGCATTGGGCAATGGAAGAATCACGCAAGGTGACGACGACGGATATAGATATCTAGAAGCATCTTTGTCACAAGCCCATGCTTTACCGTGTGAAAACTACTAAACTAGTAGAAATTCCTCCTTATGCACTATAATGTATCCGGAACTCGCATTCTAACCGGAGAGAACGAAGGTATGTATGACATGTTGGCAAAGAGTGTGTGAGAATGATGGTAAAAATTTTGCTATAACATTGGAAAAAGGCTGTATATTTGCACGTGTGCACCCCTTAATGATGCATTTTTCCTAAGAAAAAGACTATTCATCGAATCAATGATGAAGAATGGGACCATCCTGCTTGTATGGTGCACGTGCTGTTGCTCAAACCTAAAAAAGAACAGGTGTGAATCTTAAATGCCGGTCGTTCAGGAGGAGCTGGTCACCGACGACAACGGATGAAAGCGATGTGCACAGCCTTAAACCATTACCTCCGATCCAGACTTGGGTCGATTATGCGGAGCAACAGTGATCTGTGTCTCGTTCGGAAAAAAGAATGACGTTCCTTGCCCTCTCCCCGCTCGAACCACCATCTAGTCGCCACTCTTTTTGCCAATGAGATGATTGCACATATGATCTTATCTTATCAATTCCATCACCTAGCCATAGATAGGCTATGCTCATTCATCTTTTTAAAGGTGTATGATGATGATGTGCCGATAACAAGAGATGATGATTATCGAAAACGGAGTCATCATGATACCAAGTCCGAGTCAAAGCCGGCCCATCGGTTTGAAAAATTTATGTTGAGAGGAGATGGATTTTCATAGGCTGGAAATCGTGGGAAAGTTACAAAAGCGGGCATAGCCAACATCTCTCTTTGTCCGACCATTTCAGGACAGCAGGATCTAAAGGGTTCTTCATTTTCTCCATCCCTTTTCTCTTCTTCTCCTTGCCAATCTTTAACGCGTATCCATCCATCATCTGTTTGCTGCAGCTATTCTTACGGTACCATGGTGCCTCCCTTTGAAGAAATGTCCTTTACACTCCTTGATGAACCTGTCAAATCACCTTCACCTCCACCCAACGGTCCGCTTTTCCTAAAGTTTTCGGCAGACCTGTCATCACACCAAAAGACAGCCAAAAAGGTCAACAAACCGAAACGTCAAACCACATACCTTGTCAATGGCGTCAACATTTTAAACAGGTGAGAGAGATAAAAGAACACCACACTTAGCATGCAACAACAAGTGCTCACCCCATGCTTTTACAGAAACGAGGTTGACAGCAAAACAGCTATTGAAAGGATTCAGCGGCGGCGAGAAAATCACAACCATGTCGAACGTAGACGACGAGACAATATCAACAATACCATTTTGCAAATTTCACAACTCGTACCCGAAGCCCAACAGCATCAAACAGGCCAAAAGCCCAACAAGGGCAAAGTTTTGGAGCAAGCTCTCGATTACATTCAGGTAGGTTGAAGAAATCTCTACTTTTAGAGTGTTTTTTGCCTTTTTCAGTACACTCAATGGCTCCACTTTTATAGGCCCTCCAGAAGGAAAACCAAGAACTTCGACAACAATTATCCTATGCATCTCCATCTTCTTACGCCTCTTCCACTCCTTCTTCTTTTTCATCGCCATCATCATCGTCATCGTCATCGCTTATCTAGACACACACACACACACACGCAACATCCGCTCTTGTTTTTTTATTTGTATCTCCCCACCATTTGACGCCATTATGTAATCCTTTCATTCCCCCCCCCACTTCCCATGTCTTTTTAGGCGTGAAACACACACACACTCTCACACACACATGCAAACATACTGTATATACATTAAAGCATTTTACACATCTTTTTGACCGACAAGGAATACAAGCAAGGTAATCATCGTACTCATTTACACAACATACGACATTGCAATGTCAGCAGTTTCACCCCCCCTTCATTCATCCACTCTCCGCTTTTTCTTTTTCTTTATTGACCTTTTCACATTTCATAGGAGATGCATTGACCATGGTTTGTGAAAGAGAGCCATCATCATCCACATGTTTGACAGCTACTACTACAAAAAAGGTCTTGTCCTAGCCGAACCGAATTGGCAAAAGATGCCATATCCGCAACAAAAAAAGAAACGTCCGAGGTCCGAAATGACGGCTTTCGTTTCAGGTGATGAGCTCAATTTACATACCGCGCACGTCCTTTTGAGTTGTTGGGCTCCCAAAAATCAGGGTCCAATTATCAGGGACTGAGAATTCCCGCTCTTGGCCATCACATCATCATGTAAAGAGAGAAAGAGAGAGAGAGCGAGAATCGGAGAATGTAAGTTGGTAGGTAGGTAGAGAGCTCTCCCATTCATCCAATAACAAGCGATGACGCTCACACGAGGTTTACTTTATCATTTGCATTTTAAAAAGAGGATGCCACTTTGAATGTGGGTGGTGAACAAAAAATTGTGATTAACCTCCTTCATGTTCCGCAGCCACGGAAATCTTTAGTAAAAGGCGAAAGATTTATCCGGTATGATTACAGAACAGAGGCAATAAAGAAAAAGAAAGAGAGGCCTTGGCAAGTACCCTTATTTATAGTTTTTGGGAGAACTCCCAGACGCACTAGTCGGTGCCTGAAAACCTTGCTTTAGCCCAAATGATTTTCAAGTCAACGGCGTTTTGCAGCCATGGGGCATTGTGCATCATGCAGAAAACCTGATCATGCAGCTATGTGTATGTGTGTATACGATGATAAGGAGTGGTGGTCTTGATAATCTTCCACGCTGCAATTTCAAGATTGCTACCATGTCGGTTGCTGAAAGCATTATTAATTGCCGGGCAACTTGGCCATGTTGGACGTTTTCTTGATGGACGAGTCATCCATAAGGATTTCATGTTACGATGCTAATCACCAAAGATGGGTTAATCTTAAAGGCTATGCTGATAAAATGAACTATCTTGTGCTTTCAAATAGGCTTAATGTTGCATCAAAGTGACTTTAGATGAAAGAGCGAGTATGTATTGCAGAAAAGCTCTGTTACTGAATGATTCCAAATTTACAACATGAGAGAGAGAGAGAATATGTGGTGCGAGATAAGCATGTATCCAGGGGAACAAGGGTGAATGTATACATGTGTTGTTGAAGAAAACAAGGGGACAAGGAAAGGGGGTGGTCTACACGCTCCTTGTAGTAGTAGTTAGTACTCATCATCGAGCCCTTGCCCTTGTTCATCGATACGACGTGGCGATTCAGGGGGAGTTAATTGTTGTTGATGATCTAAATGACGACGTTGTTGTTGTTGTTGTTGTTGTTGTTCCTTTCCAGCACGTCGTTGTAACAAGGCTTCAATGTGTTGATGAGCAGCAGCTGTAGTTAATGAACGATGTGACAAATGGCCGGCCTCTTCGTCATCGTAAGATTGCTGTTGCTGCTGCTGTTGTTGATGTTGCATCATTTCCATCCATGCTTGTTGTTGTTGTTGCAATTGTTGCTCCTGACGCATGAGGGTCATGCCTAACATTTTGATTCGAAAATAGGCTCGATCCAGTTCCTGCCTGGTAGCTTGCAAGCTTTCTTCTTTTTGTGTCGTAATATTGCGTAATGCAGAGATCGTGCAACGAGCAAAGGACAATTCCTTGGTCAAATGGGTATTTTGTTCAGCGAGATAAGCATGTTCCAACTCTAGCCGGTTCAACCGATGCTGTTGTTGTTGTTGTTCCTCTTCCTCTTCTGTATGGGTCATCATGGCATCAACATGAGCAGCGCGATCTACGCTCTTGCTGTAGTTGTGATAATCCGTTTCTATGGATACCGCAAGTCAGCTACTTTTTATCAATCATCCCTTGTTTTTATCCTTGTCTCACCTTCCAAAGAAAGGGCCATGACCGAATGTGAGGTGAGTGCCACATCGTGTGGTTTCTCATAAGTCAAAGTAGTAGTAGTAGAAGTAGAAGTAGTAGTGGTAGTAGTAGTAGCCATGGTTGTTGTTGTGTGTGGTGTACGGAAAAATAAAAGCAACGAGTTGGAATTCGCTTTCAAACTGTCAATCTTGTCAAGGCCTGCTTGGTAGACGACACGAGTTGGAGCGAGATTACAAAAGTTTATGTACAAGTGAAATGCAATAAAGGGAAAAGAAGAAAGGAAAAAAGAAAAAGATGGGGCTGCGTAATATAAGTGGGATAAAAGGGGGGGTTGGTGGAAAAAGGAGGTGGTGTGCGTGTATGTGAGACAAGGCTGTTATCATTAAGAGCCGAACCATTTAGGTAGGCTTTGTTCCTTTTATTCCTTTTACCTAAAGTGTCACACTACTTCTCTTCTATGCTTCCAGACCTTACACTTGCACCGGTCCAACACGCCAACGACGACGACGAACCCGTTGTTCTTGGACAAGGCAACTGGCTACAACTAGAACGTATCTCTTACAAGGACAACCAACACATTGAACGTACATGGGAACGTTGCATTCGCAAGACATCGGCATCGTCACAAGATGGTAGGTAACCTTTGAGGGGGTGTGTAAGTATGTCAATGGATACTAACTTTATCTATAGCCGTTGATATTCACGCGATCATCATGACCCCTGAGCCCGAGTTATTATTGGTGGTGCAATATAGGTGAACTTGAATGATCGACATGCCTTTTCTCCTATTCCGTCAGTGGCGGCTTACACGAAACATGCAAGTTATTAGACCTGCTGTCGATCAATACTGCGTCGAATTCCCATCTGGTAAGAAAAAAAGTGATAACAATCATACATGTTGTAACTCATCTCAATGCGTTCTTTCACACACAGGCCTGATTGATCCTGGTGAGGATCCCGTGGATGCAGCTGCACGAGAACTGCGTGAGGAGACGGGATACAGCATAGAAAAGAACGCTATCCAATTACACCAATCACCTGTTTGCTATGAACCAGGACTCACCAATTCATGCTGCCATGTGGCTCAAGTGACCATTCAACAACACCATTCTCCACCACAAAAACAAGCACTTGAAGCGGATGAATGGAGTATGCAAGTATTACAATTACCATTGAAAACTCTATTGGATGATTTGAAAGGCAAGTAGTATTCAAGACATGGATGTGCTCTCTCTCAATATCATAACCCATCTTTTTTTTTTTTACTCGTGTATAGAACTTGAACGCAAGCACCATGTATTGATAGATAGCCGGGTACATGCATATGCTTCTGGTCTTATGATAGCAAAAAAGTATCTTTGTTGAAACGCCACAATAAATAGATAACATTATTGTTCTCATGGAAGGATCAAGGAGAAAGAAGCCATCTTTGGTTAGGAATAAAGCGTTTGGCGCCAATTCGCGAGAGAGTGTGTGTGTGACTATGGCGGGAAATGCATTTTCCCATTTGCCGACAAGTGCATGCTGATTCGCAGAGCACGAGCAAGTAATATAAAAGTAGCGCAGAGTGTCTCGTGGAAAATATGCCTAAAAGACAGTGACAGAGATAGTAAGCGAGAGAATAAGATCACAAGTAAATGGAATGAAAAGAAAGGTAATGGGTGTACATACACATACACACACGCATGTATCCCTCGTATGTCTAAGCACCCTACTACTACTATATGCATAATGTGGGTATTCAGTTGATATGCATTGTATGTGTGTGTGCCTGTGTTCCTGGAAGCGAGGGTGCCATTTCCACCACCACCACCACTACTGCTACTATTTTTTTTCTTTCCTTCCCTCCTCTACTCTTGCTTCCCTCTTTCCATTTTTGAATCGCATCAGGTTTCCACCCACTCTCTCATGTCCTCTTCCTCATCTCCAATGCCACCCAATGACTCTGCTTTACGGTCTGCACGCGCTTCGGCAACCACTTTAGTTATCCCGGAAGAAGAGGAGGAACACCAACAACAGGATACTTCTTCTTGCTCAACGCCACCCACACCTATTCCCTCTGTATCAGCTATACCATCACATTCTACTACTGCTACAGCTACAGCTACAGCCACTCCTCCTACCATGGCAGCAGCAGCAGCAACAACACCAGCACCAAAACGACCATCACGATATAAAAGCATTCGCAAACTTGGATACAGGAAGACGTATATGGGTGTATTTGATAAGTTTACTGGTACGTTATTCGATCCACCTTTTGTCGTCGAGAATGGCTCACATAATGATATCATTCTTCATTATAGACTTCCTTGCACATCACAATTATCCGAATCAACGGCCGCCACCGACGATGGATATTTCCACCCCGTACAACACGATTCATGTGACCCATGTGGGATATGATCCAGTGGCAGGTGTATTCACCGGTTTACCACGAGAATGGCAAATACTACTCAACCAGAGTGGCATCACTAAAACTGAGCAAGAACAAAATCCTCAAGTAAGTCATCATCCAATGAAGGAAGGGAAGGAAAAGGAGGTGCATAATAATGGATATTGAATATGATGATGATGATTGTATGTAGGCAGTCATCGATGCCATTGAGTTTTATCGAGACGACCAAAACAAAGACGCTGTTTGGAACAAGATTCCCAAGGCAACAAATAGTTCGACTTCTTATTCTACCCATTCTTCGTCTTCGTCTTCTGCACCTGCTGAAGAATCAACAACAAGGAAACAACATCCACCAAATGGTCTTCCACCATGGACAAAAGGCAGTAATACCACCTTGAAACGGTTTTCCCGGTTCGTCATCCACTCCCATTCACGCTCCAGTTCCTCGGTGAGCTTCACCATCATTGACTTTGTATGTATCCTTGTCTAACACTTTTTTTCTTTTCATCACTCGTCATTTTAGCTTTCTGAACCTAAAACTCGTAAGTCAAAAATCGCATTTATAACCTCACATTGAGAAACATTAACGCGTTGTGCCACAATAGCAAAATCATCCCAAAAGGTTCCACCCGTACCTTCGTCATCCAAATCAACCACCACCATCACAACAACACCCAAGCCGACACCATCACCATCACCACAACCCAAACGACGTGTTTCCAAAACACCACCTACCGATACCGATATCCTGAAAAAGCTAAAGGAGATCTGTACCAATGTCGATCCTACCGAGACGTATTCTGATATTGTCAAGATTGGTCAAGGGTAAGAGAAAAAGGGTTCACATGGATGACATGATTGGGCAAAAGTGATTAATTGATGCTTTAGTGCATCGGGTGGTGTTTTTACAGCAAGGAAAGCAAGTGATACCAAAACACCCGTGGCCATCAAGCAAATGAACCTTGAGCAGCAGCCCAAAAAAGACCTTATCATCAACGAGATTGTGGTGATGCGAAAGTCCCAGCACCGCAACATTGTCAACTTTATCGACTCGTATCTATGGAAAGGCGATCTCTGGGTTGTGATGGAATATATGGATGGAGGCAGCTTGACGGATGTGGTGACATGCAACATTATGCTGGAAGGACAAATTGCTGCTGTATGTCATGAAGTGCTCCGAGGATTACATCATCTGCATAGCAACGGCGTTATTCATCGGGATATCAAGAGCGACAATGTCTTGTTGAGTCTGCAAGGCGATATCAAATTGAGTAAGTGTGGATGGGCATTCCTAGGACGAGTCATTGACAAAAGGTATTAGCGGATTTTGGTTTTTGTGCACAGTTGAATGAGGATCAAGCTAAACGAACCACCATGGTGGGCACACCTTACTGGGTAAGAAGGAATGAGGTAGTAGTAAGTAAAGGCACAAGCTGACTCGTTTTCTATATATCAAAAGATGGCACCTGAAGTGATCACGCGAAAGGAATATGGCAACAAAGTGGATATCTGGTCGTTGGGTGTGATGGCGATTGAAATGGTGGAAGGCGAACCTCCTTATTTGAACGAGAATCCACTTCGAGCATTGTATCTGATTGCAACGAATGGTACACCCAAGCTACAAAATCCAGAGGCTTTGAGCGACGTATTTCAGGATTTCTTGAATCAATCATTACAAGTGGATGCAGAGAAACGACCCTCGGCTCAAGAAATGCTCAAGCATCCTTTCCTTGAAAAAGCTGATCCGCTCTCCTCCTTGACACCACTCATCACAGCGGCTCGACAACAATCTACTTCTCCACAAGAACAACAACAAACACAATCATAACAATCACCCCCCCCCTATAATAGATATCGTACAGTGTAGAAACCCCCATCCCAAGAGCTCTGTTGTATACCATCGTCGATCTACCACCCTGCATTAAAAAATATCATCTCGAGATGGAGGTGAATGACTTAGAGGAGCTATGATTTGCTCACACGAATGAATAGGAAACTCCACGTGTGTTAAGATAGACCTGCATTGGTTCAAGGTGAGAGCTGTTGTCTACGCATTGTTGGCTACCTTGAATTGAAGCACCGCCGGCATGATGATATTACCTTCATCCCTCCCTAAGCGACAAGCACCAATCAATGTCCAAAATGTCGGGAAATGAGCCGCTGCAATGCATGTTGATGATGCTGCTATTCTCATTGAACACCCCATTCATTCTTCACTTGCATAGATCATGTAACGTGGGAGCTGGAACCAATGCATAGAGTGGTGTTACAGTAATATCGTTGCGAAAATGAGTGCAAGTGCCACATGGATCGGGCATATTGTGATGAAACAACGACAGCTTGCTGCCGGTAGTACATGATTTGCATTTGGGGAAGACATCGAAATCGATCTTGTTGGTGTGCTCTTCAATAAAAATCGAGTCTCGCTGCATCATCTCCCATCACATCTTAGTTGATCGCATAGCTTTAGGTCACTTTTTGTAACATACATCCAAGACTTGCGATCCACGTTTGTCTTGCCTTGATCTCTTGTTTACCCCTATTAGCCATGGCTAATATCGTTTGGTAGTACGCTTATCATATCATGTGCTCACGTGTTCATACATAGCTTCGTTCGTATCGCCATAGCATTACGTGATCCGGATCACAGGCGTCAAAATGCGAGGTATAATACATCCATATCAGCACCAAAGCTGTCCTTTTTTGCAGAGATACAAGGATACGTCTCTTTACATTGACCGTATTGGGGTGTAATGCACTACTCAAAAGGTCCATCAATATGCGCTTTTGATAACTTTACATACGCACATCACAAAGGGTCCATCGGCGAATAGGCTTCAATGCCACAAAGATAAACTGAACACAAGTAATGAAGAGCTATATTGGTGAGGGTGACAAAGATGAATACACACGGCGCCCAATGTCAATCACAACACGACTCTCTTCCTTCTTGACACTTACCAAAGAGTGGCGGCTCTTTATTGATTCAACCAAAAAGATACAATTATCGAAAGAAAAGTGTGACAATGTTGGCAACAACAACGACCCTGGCTTGTATGTGCGTGGCGTGGGAAGTGTTGTCCGTGATCGATAAAGTGTGGTCAACACCCTATACAGGGACTAGAACATCAGGCGGAAGGAGCTGCTGTAACATCAAGAGCTGATAACTCCACCACCACCTAATTCTCCTTTCCCGCTTTAAGAGCATCAGGTGACCCAGCCACTGTAAACAAGAACCCGTTTGTGGCCATTTGGACTTGGGGTCCCTATACACTACCTGGGATCCACCACCACTTTTTGTTACGAGTTCTCGACAAAAATAACAACTGCATGCAAGCCTTGAAAAGCCGCATGCACACATTGCAGCATGTGTGATGATGCTCAGCACGTGTGAATGGGCGAGGAGGGGTGTGGTGCTTGTATGTATATGCATATCATCCATCGGCTTTTGTACATGCCACTATGTAGAACGTTATCTTATAAAAAGAGCCATCCATTGTTGTACCTTGTTTTTCATCCTTTTCTTTTTCCCTTTTTCTTTTACATTGTAAATATACAGCATCCAAAATCGATGTATATACATGGCAACACTATTAGTTTGGCAATGGGTCCTTATAGCAATCGCCATAACCGTGGTCGCTGGTTCGATCATTGGCCTTTTATTGTATATTCTACTACGTAGACGACGACAACAACAACAAAACGTAACCAAGGGGCAAGATTGGAAAGACAAAGAAAAGGGTGGTGACGTTGTTGGTGGAGCATCATCATCATCTCCATCATCTACCCTATCATCATCATTACCAATACCACCTACAACAACAACATCTGATACACCTTCATCCTCAAACACCACCGTGGAAGCCGAAAAATTAGATCAGCATCATGATGCACAGCTGGTACTGATGCCGCTCTCACCGCGCAGGACGCATGAGAAAATCACCATTGCCAAGACCACTACTACGACATCATCACCATCACCCTATCGATCCACTTTGGTACAACAACATACATCCGAGGATGACAACGATGATGATGATGATGCCACTTCCAAAAGACGTATTTCCCTCTCACCCTTTTTGGAAGGTGTGGAATCACCTACCCATTTGCAACCACCACCTCCACCAGTGCCAGTGCCACTACCACCAACATCTGTGTCACCACCACCACCACCACCGGCACCTACCCGATCCTCGGACACCACTAGTAGTAGTTCCAGCAGCACGTTACCTTCTTCAATAATGTTACCACCAGCACCTACTCGACTTGGTATCCATCCTAATTCCTCCACTCGATTGCATGTTGACATTACACCCGCTTCATGGCGTGGACCAACACCACCATGGACCATTATGACGACATCAACGCCTTCACCTGCCACCTCCTCAGCAGCAACCGATGCAACAAGTGGCGGCGGTGGTGGTAGTAGTAGTAGTAATAGTCATCATTGATCTGTAACTTTTATATCCACCTCGGTCATTTTACATGATTAAAGAACGCGTTGTATAGCCAATGTATTTATTTTTCTTTTTCCTTTTTGAACATTCTTTTTGAACGACGACAATGCGATTTCAAGATGGATCCAACAACATGTGCTATCGCCAAGTGGCAGCTGAGTATCAGCGTATGGCACAGCTTGGGAGTGAATACGATAGGAAACAAGTGTATCAAATCCGATGCCGTCATTGCTCAGCCTCGTTAACGAATCGTGGAATGAATGTATGTACAGTAAATGGCTTGGGTGGTGGTTGTCATGGTGTACAAAAAAAGAAGGTTGTTGTTGTTGCTATGATCCATAGGGCTCATTGTTTTTTCTTCTATCATGTACGTAGGCTGTATTGCTATCCGATCGCACCGTCCAATTGTTTTCAACCGACCTGGTACCCAACACGTATGCGTTTCTATGCACACTACATAAGCCTATTGCTGCTTTTGCTGAATGGTATAAAAATGATAGAGTAGGATTTGTACAAGGAGATTATTCAGCAGCATCATGTACATGTCGCGTACGTGACACGGCTTGTTTGAGTTGGTAAAGGACGAAAACAAAAATCAATGACGACAATGACTTAATCATTCTATGCCAAAGTGGTAATGTCGTAGGATACCACGTGAATGTGCCATGCAAGGTATGTCTCGGACAACCCAACAATGGTCATTACTGGATGTTTCGGAGCGCCGACATCAAGGCAAGCCAAATTTATGCACGAGGTTAGTATAGTCTATGTTTGCCACACACACATGTAGTAACAACAAACACTGATCTAGTGGGTGACATGCAACCTGATTTGCCATTGTTATGGGGGTTTGTACATGGCGCAGGTGATTTTGTGGGAGGATACCATCGCACCGGAGACCATCTTGCAGCTTATGAATCCTGCAGATTATCGGTACACCTTCCTTCTTCCATTCATCTCATCACACATCATCCGCATCACTCTTTTGTCAATGCAAGAACACCCGATGAGCACTTGTTTGATGAATACATTGAAATGTGTCGATAACATAGCAATAATAAAAAACAATACCAGGTCTTTTATTTATTCATGAGGATGGTCAAGGGTGGTAGTGATCCATTGTTACCATGGACTGGCATTAGTTTTACTTGTAACAACTTTGGACATGCCTGTAAAAGTTGCTCCCTCCAATCACTGGATGGGGAGACACCATGAAGGGCAGCCGTTGTCAAGGTCAACGATTCCAGGGCTGTTGAGGTGACTCCTGTGCCAACGAGAGCACGGCATAATGATGGCAAGTGGATAGGTGCTTTGGCGACAAGGTCAAACTCTTGAAGCTGTGGACAAGAGGTGATAAAGCGGGCAAGGGCGTTGGTGCCAATAGCAGCAAAGTTTAAAGGGCCTTTCTCCTCATTGATGTTGTGTCCAATCAAACGAAAGCGGCGCATCATGGGATGGTGGTGGTGGCGGTGGAGGTGTTTCAGGGCATGGTGAGATAAGGTATGCCAACCATAAACGGTGAGATCTTGTAACAGAGGACATGCTTGGATAAGAAAATGAATGATGGCATCGCTGGCATGTTCAATATGGATGGATTGAATGAAGCGTATTGTATGCGGCGTCACGATCGCTTTGATATGATGCACACGCCAATAGTAGGTTTGGTAGTTATGACCAATATTCAAGTGTTTCCATAGCTGGGGCTGATCACACACGCATTGAAACATGCGACAAAGTTGACGAACATGATGCAAGTCAGTAGGAGAAACGAAGCTAAGAATATGCAACCAAAGTTCAAAGGGTAGCCGATAAACGTTGGCGTGATGATTGCTGCTGCTGCAGGGTGATGGTGGTGGTGATGGGCAAGAAAAAGAAGTAACTTTCATGTTGTTTGTCGTCGTGCATTTTGCAGCGCCCTCTTGTTGTTTGAAAAGGAGCAGCATTCTTGTGTACCTCTCTTTTTTAACTTGCCCCCTAAAAAGTACGTGTATGCAGATCAATATGCAGCAAATGCCGGGGATACGTATCTTGTTGTTCTCGACTTTTTGGTCACATGATGTCTCTTTGATGATGAAAACAAATACGTAATCTCTGGGTGACGACGGCGGGGATACCACCACATGGGAAGCAACACGCGACACATTCACACTAGAAAGATTGTGTGGGTACGTGTCATGGGCTAAAGAATGTTTTTCTCCCCATCACACATATACACAAACCCCTTGGTCATTCCTTGATGACAATCTCTATACAACCCCCTTTCTGTCCATAATGCCAAGACTTTGTATTCAATGCACAGAAATGTTTGGAGGCGGTAAACAACATTCTGCTGGCATGCATCAAACTTTGGTAGCGCCCCAAATGCAAAAAAGTCTGATGTTAACCTCTCTACATACAAACTACGACCCTTCATATGACAAAAAAAAGTGCAACATGCTATGTTTACATATGCACAAGCCCCGCTTGCATAGATGAATCATGATTATGATCTCCTTTTTATGCCCCGTTGCTATGCAAATAGGATAGTCAAATCACTTGAGATACCTTTGGGTCAAATCCCGACACACCAACGCAAGCCCACTCTTGGCATATGAAAACGTAAATGTAATGGAATGATGCAATTTTGTAACTTTTATAATTGGATGATCGTATATGTACAAGGCTGGATGAGAAAAAAAAAGCAAAAACAAAAGACAAGGAACAGTAATGATATCTACACAGTGCTTGGAAACCATGATTGTTTGGTTCGGGTAACACTTTGGGAATACAAAAACAACAGGGGGGGATTGTGTATGTTGTGTTTATCGGTTACGTCTAGTGTTTTCCAATGTTTGTTGATCGATTACATCTTCATTGTCTTCGATGACAGCGGGTTTCTTGTGGTTGGTAGTCATGTTGGTGAAGAAAAGAGGACCATGAATGCTGCTGGTATCAATAGTAAGACGAGGACGACGTTGAGCCTTGTTGCGTTTGGTAGGAGGGATCACTTCTTCAGCTCCTTTCTTTTCGTCGTTGTGGGCCACCACGCTGAAAGAGACAGCCAAAATCATACTAGGCTTTGAGGTGGATTGTTGTTGTTGTGGTGGTGGTGCTGGAGATGATACAGAGGGTGGTTGGGTATCAGGGGTGATGGTAGGAAACAAGCCGCTTCGATCGTAATCCGATTGAGAGTAAGTGTATTCAACTCGAGGAGCTTCAGTGCAAAAACGGACGTGCAATGAGGAAGAACGTTTTCGCTTCTTGGTCATGGGTGAGCAAGTAGTAGTATTTGAAGATGAGGATGATGCATTGCTGCCGATCGTATAGCATTGGGAAGTAGAATTAGTGGGAATGGCAATGGGAGTGGCTGTAACAACGGTCATGTTTAATATGGTGTAAGGTATCAAGTGTGGGGAAGATGAGGAGAAAAGGACAAAAAGAGTGCCGGGTTTATATACTTTGTGCACACAAAAGGATTTGACTAAAAATAAACCATCCTGTGTACCTATTCGGATCGACGCAAAGTGACACAGTGCTTTTTTTGGCGGGTGGATAACTATCCATGCATCTATTAATAACAACACGGTTTAACCCTTAAGCCTCCTTTCCTCCCATCCAATGATGCAATGAGTGGGTATACCCAAGAATGTCCGCAAATTGCACTTTGCCAAGTTTTACCATCAACGTAGATCCTATACCCATTGGTCCACATTACAAAACGCACAGGCCCTTCCGAAGCCAAAAAGTAAGATCCGCTTCATTTGCTTCTCGGAGATATCCGAACCTCACAGAATATGACTGAGGATGCTTGTTAAAAGTGCCAGCTACCTTTACATTTATTTTTAGTAGAGGCTTGCTATATGGGAAAAGGGGTAGCCAAACGTACGCGGGATACACCATATACTCTTTGTGAAGGAGAGAGCAGGCCGATTGACACTTTTGCTGCAAAAAAAAAACAATATCCCAATTAAGAGTATCAACATAGATGCATGTGTATCAACGCAAGCATACTGTGTAGCTCACCTGCTGCACCACTTCAAGTAGAAAATTCTTCCCGTGACCGTAAGAGAATGTCAATTAATTCTTTAAAGTGAAACCGGGGTTCATTTTCATAATTCAATCTTGGCTTAGTGGGTCGTGAATGCTTGTAAATGTCTCACCATGTACCATGTTCATCATCCCTCTACCGACCACAACAGCTAAAAAACAAGGTTTGCCTCTTTGTTTTTGCGGCGGCGGCGGCATTGTTGTTGGGAATAATAAAGGGGTTTACCCCATCTCGACCCACCCCCCTGGGAAACAGCAAAGACCAAACAATCATAAATGGGATGATGTTGGTGATAATAGTAGTATGGATGATGCAGCCGAATGATGATGATAATTGCCTGTAATGTGTTTTGCAAGCTAATGAGGGTGCATCTAATAAATTCATAATATGGCGTACCAGCATCCATGCAATGTTGATCATCCAACATAGCTCGTCGCCTGTTCCTGCATCGTCGGAAGAAAACATGATGACAGCAGTGGTTATGCACTGGGGGCTGATGTTGGTGTAACATCCAATTGACGCCCGACTTTTTCTCTATTGCTGAAAGACCGTTACACCACCCAACCTCATTTCATTAAATTCGGGATCATGTTTTTTTTTGAGGCTGACGCCGATTGTAGCAGCTTACTACATTTAGCAAGCGTGTGCTAAGAGCTGTAAAAAGCTTACTTTGAGCAATGGCACCACGCAAAATTTCCATCTTTACCATGCGGATGCGTAGCCATTATAGCATTCAGTAATCTATTGGCAATGCCAAGCGGCTGTTGGCATGGTGATGTTCATATCGGAGTTGCTCACAGGTAGCATTGGCAGTAAAAAGAGGTACTTCATGTACTGCTTTCCAACGTTTCTATGTCCTCCATTTTGCAACCCCTAACGTTGCTTGGCTATGTTTTGTAGCATACAAGTATCATGGCAACCGTATCATGGCAACACAAAAAGAAGTATATATTACAAAGGAAAGGGGAAGGATGATTACTACAATGGCTTAGGTGATGTATCGAAAGTCAGGGTGCTAAAAATTGAAGACATGGCGTTAGGTGGATGATCTATTTTCCACTTTATGCATCATTTTTATCGACCTACCCAATCGGATGCTTGTTCATAACGCTTGCAAGCTGCATCGTACTTGTCAATGGACATGTTGTCACGCTGCTTGTTGATGCGATGAAGCATGTACTTGAGTAACAGCACAAGAATGACATGACAACATAAAAAGGCTGCGCATACAGAATGAGCACGAATGTATTGGGGAGCATCATTGGCACGATAAATTTGGCCAGCAATAGCACCACCAATGTTACCACCTGCAGCGATAAAAGCTGTGGCTATAGCGCGTTTGGTACGACCAGCAAAATTGTTGCTAGCCCCTATGGATCATAAAACCATCATTAACACAATGATATCGCTTTGACGGGGCTTTAGCGTATACTACTCACAGGTAATGAAGACCGAGAATTGAGAGTATGCACCAGCAACGGCCATACATGCAAAGATATACAAAGCCACCGGGCCTTTATCATGACAAGCTGCTAGTAGGATAAAGCCAAGCATGCCCACAAAAGAAGAACCGGCAACATGAAAGCCTCTTTCGACACGTCGATCTGCATCCGTGCCAAGTAGAATCATGAAAATGCACGCTACAAAAAAAGATTATTCATCAGCCACATCCATTCATATGGCATGCATGTCATGCTCATGCTTACCAATAACATACGGTGGTACAGTCATGGCTTGAGCTTCCAAATTTGCAAATCCCATATCACGCACAATGCTGGGTAAGAAGAGCGTAAGCCCGTAGAACACTGATGAGCCGAAAAAGCAGGTAAATGCCATATGGTACATCTTCCAATCGGTAAAAGCAGCACGTATTTCACTCATGGGTGATTTTGTATCGTCTTCGCCAGCAGCCGCAGCCGCCCAATCGGTTTCAAGTCGCTTCATCAATGATGCACGTTCTCGTTCATTCAAAGCTTATGTTATCGATTAGCTACATGAGATCCACTTTTGCATGTATTTGTTCACGTGTACCTTTGGATGTGCTAGGAAATCCTGGCAAGATGAAAAAAGTAGCAATACCAAGAATGATGGTAGGAAGCGCTTCGAGAAGGAAAAGCCATTGCCATCCATGCATACCACGGACGCCATCCATTCGCATGATACCATAAGCCTATCATAAAGCAACGACCCATATCGTGAGTCCCCTGAAAAGGTTGCTGTAGTCATAATCTCACTCACCAGCAATCCTCCCACTGCCTATAATGTATTCATGTCAATGGTTAGTCTAATGATGTTCAGCATGGGTGATGTCCAAACAACAACTTACACCAGCAACAGCAGCCGATGCATAATAAATCGAAAAGCGTTTGCCTTGTTCACGACGAGTATACCAAATTGAGAAATAGTAAACGGTACCTGAAGCATGGGGTCTTATTTAGAACAAAGTTGATCAGCGTGCCCGATGAAAGCATCTTTACCTGGGAAAAGGCCTGTTTCGGCAATCCCTAAAAAGAATCGAACCGCCAGCAATCCTGCACCATTTTTGATAGCCGCTGAGCATGCGACTATGATACCAGTGAAAGTGACCAATAATGACATCCACAGATTGGGACCTATTTTCTTGAGTACGAGATTACTTGGTACTTGAAAAATGATCTGGTTCCATTGTTAGCAGCCGCAACGTTTATGAACCATTTGAGCAACAGCTTACATAGCCAATGAAAAAGATAGACATTCCAACATTGTATGTTGAATCCGGGATATCCAAGTCCTCCAAAATGTTGCCAAGCTTGGCATTCCCTGTGATACGGTGAGAACCCAAATCAGTACATGCATACCCTTGGTCTTCATTTCAAAATCCAAGCTTACCAATGTTACTACGATCCATAGCCGACCACATGTATAATAATGCAAAAAGAAGAACAATACGTAGATCAAGGCGCCAGCGTAGCCTTTTCCACTCGCCTGGTGTTAATGGGGGAGCATCCTTACTTATAGGCTTTTCTTGTAATGACTCGGTTGTTGACAAGCTGGCGCTCCCACTTGTATCTTGTTGCTTTGTTGTTGTGGTTGGTGTGATAGCATCAGCAGCCATTTTTGTTGTTGTTGATCCGAAGCAATAGCGGAGAAAGAGGAGGGCACGGAAAGATTCAGGTTTTAAAAGTGTTGGTGGTGGATGCAGCAGGTCTTGTTCTTGCCAAACCAAGATGGAATAAACTTTGAAAGATCCGCAAGAAGATTCTCGATGACAAGGCCCATGTGTCCCAAACATGGTCCATACGCATTCTCTTTGTCGGTTGATATCGGCGATGAGACCTGGATAATGGAAAAAAGTGTTTCCAGCCGAACATAGACTACATTGCAGTCCAAATATTTGCTTGTGCGGGGGGTAGGTAGATCATCTATGAATTTTGACTTTTTTTTTCATGCTCAGACGCAAGATGCACCATCAAACTTGATCTTGTTTTTTCACTGCTGCAAGTTTCACACGTGCGCGCGTGTTGTTGCATTCCAGGTACACAATAAAAGATGGCCCAAGCTTGACCACATGGGTCTTTTTCAATGTCCCTACACCTTGATTGTACCTACTATTTTGCCACCACCACTATCAATGATGATATCCCCTAATGGTTTGTACCACCACAACGAACATAGCCAGTCATTGGGGTTGCAAGTCACTACCCACTCCTGAGCCGTGTCTCTTTATTCGTTCACACAAAGACGACTATGTCTCATTGTTGTTGATGATAGCACCCAGGATGAAAACGTCATCATGTGAGCCATGTGTTGTTGGATATAGATGAAGGATAAAGATGTAAACAAGAATACTGCTTTCAGTCGCAGTAGTACCAACATTGAGCAAAACCCAATACGTTAAAAGCTCCACGGATCGGATCCATTGTCGTTAATGTGAGTCATTTCATTCGCCACCCTGCTATTATGTATCCAAAATGGGGGAGGGAGGATGTCACAGCCAACCTGCATTTGCATGAAGAGCTCGGCATTTCAAATTCACAAAGTGATGAAAAGGGTATGAGGTATAAGAATAAGAAAGATCCTTTACTTGATGTAGTAACCAAGGCAATGGTGCTGCATGGAAGGAGGTGGGGGTAATAAAGAAAAAAGAGGTGATATCTATAAGTGCTGTACAGTTCAATGGTAGCCGCCTTCCTCGTTTCCATCCCGAACGGTTTGATATGCACCAGGGAAAGCACCAGGAGCCTCCGACCAATCTACGTATTGGGTAAAAGTGAAATGAATAAACGCATCAAAGGGTAGCATTGGATGATAACACTTACTACCACCCACGGTGAATGTGTCGCCACGGCTTTGGATAGTGTTGATGCTTGTGAATACAGTGATTGGCTAATACAAGACGTAAGCATGAATGTGGGTGGGTGCGTGTGTATGATGATGCATTATTTGTTTTACCTTTCCGATCAAGCTGATAATGTTCATGCTAAGATAAACGTCGTCGTCGTCGTCAGTAAACGTCATATACCCGGATAACCACCGCCACCTCCACCCCTTCTTCTTACACCATGCAAAATGTGAAGCCACTTTCATGAGGGATCTCGATATCTTTGGCTTGTAGTGGACTGCCATGCAAAATAAACCAAATTACATCAAGGACAATAGTCAACGCCAGGACACTTGTGAACTAGTAGTAGTAGAAAGGGTCCGTTTGAATGCTTTTCTTAGTAATAAACGTATGTATCGCTTACTGTTTTGAGAGGAACGTTGGAGTCGTGGTAATTGTAAGCCCAAACGCCAAAGAAGAACACTGGGAGATTGTACACAGGACAAGTGGAGAGAGCACCAAACAGGGATAAGCCCTACACATGTGCCCATATATGAATCGACCTTGCTCTTTTTTGTTTGCATGTCCAATGTGTGAGAAAGAGGCAAGTCAATGTACCAGATGCAGGTTCAATAAGGTGGCGAGATTCGTTTGCTGTGCAACAGATTGTAAAGCGTCCATAGTGTGTGGTTTGCGGTGGAAGAAAAAGAGATCCAAGCTGTGTGGTAGTTTAGACCACGCGGCTCAGTTGAGTTGCAGGTGACTACCGCACATGCCTTTCTAGAATGCACGTGCCCTCACATCCTCCTTCACGTGCGATCGCGTTTAATCCTATATACACCTCTCATCAAAAGACTGGATTAAAGCTCATTGATGATAACGATAAGACTTGCTTTTTCCTACTACTTGAAAGACGCATAGCAACCGATATCATTGCATTGGTACGACGTAGACAACAAATGTGTTTATCCTCAATCCACTGTATCAGCTAATGAATTCATGCACGTAGTGCATATCGATCATTAATAAGCAACGGCCGCTGTCGTCTTGGATGTAAGGCGATACAAGCATATAGCTTTTTTCTACTCTTTTAAATGCCCCACCAACACATAATAGACTTGCAATCTTCCTTCTTTCCACATAATTAAAGTATATCAACATGATTGAAATGAAGAGAAAGGCTATTTATTTTCAACAAGTTGGATCACGTGGATTGTTGGGGGGGGGAGAGATGATGATAGTAAGAAGGGGACATGGTATGTGCCGGACAACTAAATTTCAGCGGGCAATGCAGGACTCATACAAGAGATTAGGGATGTTGGACCTATAAAGTATTCTTGTCATGCCTTCTTCTTCAAGTAAAGTGATGATAAGCATTGTTGATCCATGCTGTCTGGCATCGGGAAAACGGTGTTCCTGCACTCTCGCGATTTTGGGCAAGCCGCGTTTTCGTTTCTTTGACCGCACACAACGTTTGAGAAACTCCTTTGTTCTACACATATCATGAATACACCACCTTCAACTGTTTCCGACACAGAAATGAGTGCCAAGAGAACGAATGCCTCCATCGGTAGTGGCATGCCTGATTCTAAGCGACCACGAACGTCACACAAAGCTCCCGGTGAAGGTACTGCTGCTGCTGCGTACTTGCTTTGTCACTCTTTTGCTCTTTACCCTCTCTCTCTCTCTCTCTCTCTCTTTTGCTGACACTTGTGCATCGTCCTATGTTAGATACCTCCATGACCGAATGCATAGCACATAACACAACAACAACAACAACCGATATGACTACGATGGATACAAGCACACCCACTTCCCCGCACGATCAAGTGGAAGACGAAGAGGACAATGGTCTCATGATGGCCTTGGATTCTCCTGATGTAGGGCACTATGGACATAGTCGATAGGGTGTTCAGCTTTCTTACTATTCCCTGGGACTTGCATATATAGATTCAAACGGCACTCGACGCATGCAAGATCCTTGTTATTGGTGCTGGTGGTCTTGGCTGTGAAATCCTCAAGAATCTAGCCTTGACAGGCTTCAAGGAGATCCATGTCATCGATATGGATACGATCGATCTCAGCAATCTCAATCGACAGTTTCTTTTCAGGTATGATCAATTACGCGTCATAGGATACAACAAGCTCATCATCATCATCATGCGTTGTTGATAGGCATAAGGATGTCGGCAAACCAAAGGCTACCGTGGCAGCGGAATTTGTCATGCAACGTGTACCTGGCGTCAAAGTGATACCGTAAGTCTTACTTTTGAAGGCCAAAAAGTGTTTAAGACAGCCTCTAATAACATGTTGGATTTATAGCTACTATGGAAAAATTCAGGACAAGGACGATGAATACTATAGTCAATTCCAATTGGTGATATGCGGTTTGGATTCCATTGAGGCTCGACGGTGGATCAATGCAAAGTTGGTCGATATGGTGGATGATGAGGATCCCACTTCTCTTAAACCATTGATTGATGGTGGTACAGAAGGTTTGTAAAAATGGAGTTGGATTGTCTCTTGGAATACAATGCTAACCGTGAGAGATAGGCTTCAAGGGTCAGGCTCGTGTGATATTGCCGACGATCAGCTCATGTTACGAATGTTCATTGGATATGTTCAACAAGCCTACCACATTCCCTATTTGTACAATTGCCAACACACCTCGTCTCCCCGAACATTGTATTGAATGGGCCTCGGTGCTGGAATGGCCAAAGGTCTGGGGAAGTAAGTGTCACATTTATCATTTTGAAAAGGATTCGAGAAGATTAACGCATTGCATAATAGAGGATGTCAAGTATGATACTGATAACCCTGAACACATTGGATGGCTCTACAATACCGCATTGGAGCGAGCACAACAATTCAAGATCACCGGTGTCACCTATGCCCTTACACAAGGTGTCGTCAAGAACATTATTCCTGCTATTGCTTCAACCAATGCCATCATTGCTGGTATGACAAAGAGGAGAATATGGATTCTAATACTCTAACATGCTATTTCATAGCATCATGCTGTAACGAAGCATTCAAAATCGCCACTGGATCCCCTTTCCTCGACAACTACATGATGTATACAGGCAACGAAGGCATTTATACCTACACTTTCCAACACCAAAAGAAGCCCGAATGCCCCGTTTGCGGCAAGATTGCATCGTCGATCCAAATTGACAAGACGATGAAGCTCGAAGAACTTATAGAACAAGTCAAAGAACGACCCGATGTGTATGTTGATAGATGATGATCATCGCGTTCTTCATGATCTCTAACGGGGTTTATTCTTTGTAGCCAACTCAAAAAACCAAGTCTACGCACATCATCAAAATCGCTTTATATGCAAGCTCCCCCAGCATTAGAAACAGCAACCCGACCCAATCTACAAAAGTCCATGGAGGAGTTGATAGAAGAAGGGGATTATATCACTGTGACCGATATTGCTTTGCCAGTTAGCATTCAGCTGAAGGTTTCCTGGAAATAAAAGTGCATTATTGCTTTTGCTGCTGGAATCACGTGCACAATGGACCACTATCATCGGGTACATACTTTTGTCACCTACAAGAGATCACCTTCTAAGTGCAGGTGGATTTTATCAGTGTCGATTTTCTATCACTTCGGATCAGTATTCCAAGATGCTTGACCACTTTATCAGTTTGATCCATCATGACAACACTTCTCACGCCCACTCACATATAAAGAGGGCTGTGGTCACCAACGCTATCATACGCCCTTTCTTTCTACTTGTATTCATATTATCATCAATGACCTTTGGTAAGTCTCAAGGATAGTCTTTATTATGAGATTCCCAAAATGAGGGTATTCATACATCCATCTATTATGTATGTAGCTCATCATTGCTTTACTGCTTGAGGTGCTCATTGCTGCCTAATGACATTTGGCTGCGTTCCTTGATGGACCCTTTGTGGAAAGGATGCCTAGCCTGATACATAGGAAAATTGAGACTTCTTTGTACGTGGCATAAGTACATACCTCTTGTTACCCTCTTGTTACCTCCCTTGTTGCCTCACGATTACAATGGCGGAGCACACGGCGAACGCTGAAGACAACCTTTCTTTCATGTTGCCACATGCTTATGCACCAGGAAGCACTTAATAAGCAAATGGACACTATGCAACGAAGACGTCGTCAATATGATCGTGGCAGCTATCCTTGGTGAGTACCATGTTGCTTTGAACAAATCAGACCGTTAGATTAATCGCTCAATTCCCGTTAGATCATCCTGTTGCTCAAGATCAATACTCTGCCAAACCCACCGAGTGGTCGATGAGCAGTACAATCGAATCCTGCGTTATTTGGAAGAAAATGACCAGTTTGAACCCTTGACGATGGCTATGACACACGTGGTGACCTCCCGAGACTGGTCAGCTTTGATAGAGGTTGTCATGTACCAGCTTGTTCCTTTGCGCCGATTTTCGGTAGTGGAATACTTCATGCGATCTTGTATCTTCCGGTTGGCTCTGGACGCAAGAAGCTACCCCCCACAATCATTGAAGTGGAGTATGGAGCCGGCATGCCATTCTATCCATGTCTCATGGAGTATGCCTTGGTGCTGAAAGATTATATCATGCATTGCCAATTGTGGTCACGTTTTGCATTCGCAGAGCTGCCGGAGAGAACAAGGAGCAGTGGATGCTGAGGAATCCCATCCCCGTCTCCGATCACAGCAACAAAATGAAAGGGGTACGTAAACAAGAGATTGTGGGAAGCGTCATTTCTTTATGCTCACGTTCAATGGATATATGTCACTATTAGCAAAAAGAAAAAGAAAAAACACCGCATGGATGGATCGTACCGCTGAACAAAGACGCACCCATCATTTGACGACATCCATAACATCACCGAACCTGTACAACGAACGAATAAGTAGAAACGCGGTAGAAGGTGATTTCTTGCTTATACGAAGCCTGAAAATTGTAGCGAAAGTTGAATCACCAGATGAACCTTCATCGTGACACGAAGAGGACTGTGGGTACAAGAAGGAACAGGGTGATGGCTGAACTTGAAGAAGAGTTGTTGTCAATGGATGCAAGTAGTGTCAATGATCGTATGGATGGACGTTTTCGCCCTACATCCTCAACCCACAACACACTCACCCACATGGTCGCCCTACATCACCACCACAAAAAACCGATCACTGGTAATTTATGGGCGGAAAACCAACAAAATGCCATGGAAACAAGCAATCACCATGGAAACAAGCAATCACCATGGCAACAAGCATCCGAGACTGAATAGCCTCCCTCCCACTGCAAAAACATATCTCGCGCACGGCAAAACGTTGGCATTCAATAAAACAATAAGCTTTAGCCACACCACTACCCACAAAATGCCCATCCATTCAAAAAAGCAGCACCCAATCTCACTCTCAAAATACTCAGCAAAGACGATATGGTCGCCCTACATCCTCAACTCATTACAGTATATGAAGCAAAACCATTCATGAGACATCTCCCTTGCCATGGTTGGGGGCAGTAATGTTTCTTGCTGTCAGCACGTTCGATCGCAGTATATAGAATAGTAGTTGAATCATTTCTAATCATTTGTAACCGCTTATAAATCAATGGGCTGTTCTTTTTATTCTATCGTATCATTGTTGGATCAACAAAGAACACACTTTATGAAACGTATCCATTAATCCACTCTTATAAATGCTAATCCCAAACCCTGTAGTATTCATTAGTCATTCATGTAAGCAAAGCAATGTAAGGAGATAAACCAGCACTTGAGTGACACTGGCCACTAACGTGAAACCTAAACTTACCAAAAGTGTCAAGTTGCATTTGAGTCGCTCAGCTCCACTTGGCTCGACGTCACAATGGAATCCATATGCGTTGCGGTTGCGCGTCTCTTGCGATCTTCAACCTTCTTTCCTAATCATTATGTCAAAGATGGAAACCGACGAAAACACCCACACCATTGACGAGGGTCTCTATTCTCGCCAACTGTAAGTCTTCAACATCAACAACAACCAGAACCACAACAACGCATCTCAATTGACCCACCGCACCTCCCTTTCTTCCTTTCATTTGACAGTTACGTGTTGGGCCATGAAGCCATGAAGAAAATGAGCGTTGCTCACGTCCTTGTTGTGGGTCTTAAGGGCCTTGGTGTCGAAATTGGTGAGTTGCAACAACAAGAACAGCTCGCCATCGCTGATTACTCATCTCTACCGCAGCCAAAAACGTTATTCTTGCTGGTGTCAAGAGTGTTACTCTTTATGACAAGACGCCTGCCACTATCTCTGATCTTTCGGCACAGGTATGTCTATATCATTGTATGGAATGGATGATGATGATGATGGGGCTGACACGAGCCAATGCTTTGCCTATGCGTGTGTGCGTCTAGTTCTACTTGCGACAAGATGAAGTGGGCCAACCCCGTGCTCAAGTCTCTCAACCCCGCCTTGCCGAATTGAATCAATATGTGCCCGTCCATGTCCTTGAAGATGACTTGAATGAAGAGACATTGAAGCAATACAAGGTGGTCGTCGTCACTGAGATGCCCTGGAGCAAGCAGTTGGAAGTCTCTGAAATCTGTCATGCCAACAATATCCATTTCATCTCCACTGAAGTCCGTGGTCTTTTTGGGTAAGTTGAATTCATGCTAAAAAAAAGCATCCTTTCCTCACATGGCATCTTTTTTACTAGTCGTATCTTTAACGATTTCGGTTCCAAATTTGAAGTCATTGATGCTACCGGTGAAGAGCCCTTGACAGGCATGGTTGCTGCCATCACCAATGTAAGTCATGCACAATAACAAGATCATTGGATGGATGGATGGATGGTTGACTTGTATATATACCCTTTTAGGATACTGAAGGTGTTGTCACATGTCTCGATGAAACTCGTCATGGTCTTGAAGATGGCGACTATGTTACCTTTACTGAAGTCAAGGGTATGGATGGTTTGAACAGCTCTGCTCCTCGCAAGGTCAAGGTGCTTGGTACGTATATCAAGAATGGCATTTTGGTGATCTGTGACAGCCCTTTAACATGTGGTTAATAGGTCCTTACACTTTCAGCATTGGTGATACCTCCAACTTGTCCGAGTATAAGAGCGGTGGTATTTTCGCCCAAGTCAAGATGCCCAAATACGTTGATTTCGTAAGTGGCTCATGCTGCAGGAACCCCATCCACTAGCTAACACTATGATCTCTATAGTTGTCCTACAAGGAAGCACTTGCCAAGCCTGAATTCTTGATTTCCGACTTTGCAAAGTTCGATCGCCCTATGCAACTTCATCTTGCTTTCCAAGCTCTTCAGCAATTTGTGGAGAAGAACCAGCGATACCCCAAACCTAGAAACGAACAGGACGCTGTTGAAGTATTGGAACTCACAAAGGCACTTGTTGGCACTGTTGAGGACAAGCCTGAATTGGATGAAAAGCTCATCAAGGAGCTTGCCTACCAATCGGCTGGTGAATTGTCGCCTATGGTAGCTGTCTATGGTGGTCTTGGTGCTCAAGAAGTTCTCAAGGTAAGAGCGAATCATGATTTTGGGAGGAGCATCATGTATAACATTTTACTTTACTTTAGGCATGCAGCGGCAAATTTAGCCCTATCCACCAATTCATGTATATGGATTCCCTTGAATCGATGCCTGAAAGTGTCAACCTTAGTGAGGAGTTGTGTGCACCTGTAAGTGAATCCTTGAATGCGTGATACAATGGGTTTACTTATGTTCGCATTGATAGACCGGCTCTCGTTACGATGGTCAAATTGCTGTCTTTGGCCGTGAATTCCAAGAAAAGATCGCCAATACCAAGGAATTCCTTGTTGGTGCAGGTGCTATTGGATGTGAAATGCTCAAGAATTGGGCCATGATGGGTGTTGGTGCTGGCAAGGATGGTGCTTTGTTCATCACTGATATGGACACGATTGAAAAGAGCAACTTGAACCGTCAATTCCTTTTCAGACCTGCCGATGTTGGCGTAAGTGAACTTTTTCACTCCATTTCTTGCATCAGAAACTTATTATCACGTTTTACAGCAATTGAAATCTGAGACTGCTGCCAAGGCTGTCACTGCCATGAACCCCGATTTGAAAGACAAGATCACCGTTTACCAAGAACGTGTTGGCCCTGATACCGAGAGTATGTAAAGCTTTTATTTGAAGGTTTGATGCATTTTGAGCTAATGGCCATGCTATAGATATCTACAATGATGAATTCTTCGATGCTTTGTCGGGTGTCACTAATGCATTGGACAATGTGGAAGCTCGTAAGTAGTCCGATAAAAGCATTCAAGGAGCGTTTATTAAAGGAGATCCGTACTTGTAGGTAAATACATGGATCGACGATGTGTCTACTATCACAAGCCGCTCTTGGAATCGGGTACCCTTGGTACCAAGGGTAACACCCAGGTGGTCATTCCCTTCGTTACCGAATCCTACTCTTCCTCTCAAGATCCTCCTGAAAAGTCTATCCCTATTTGTACGCTCAAGAACTTCCCCAATGCTATCGAGCACACCATTCAGGTTTGTGTCACATGACCAAGTTGCATGATTGGACACGCATTAACATCCATTTTTAGTGGGCTCGTGATCTCTTTGAAGGTTTCTTCAAGCAGCCTGCTGACAATGTCAACCTTTATTTGACCCAACCCAACTTTGTCGAGAGCACATTGAAGCAAGGTGGCAACCAAAAGGATACATTGGAGACCGTTTACAACTTTTTGGTGGGCGAGAAGCCATTATCTTTTGCAGAATGCATTGCATGGGCTAGATTCAAGTTTGAAGAGCTTTATCACAACAACATTATGCAATTGCTCTTCAACTTCCCTGTTGACTCGGTAAGTTTGTCCATGAGAAATCTTTGGTTGTATTCTAATGGTATGCAATAGGTCACTTCCACTGGTCAATTGTTCTGGTCCGGTCCTAAGCGTGCACCTACCCCACTTCAATTCGATCCCAACAACGTGAGTGTGTCATACGAGGAGAAGAAACGATTTTATGCTGACAAGGATTGTACATCTAGACCGCACATATGGACTTTATTGTCTATGCTGCCAATCTTCACGCATTCAACTATGGCCTTAAGGGTGAAACGGATCGTGAGGTGTTCCGCCGCGAGCTTGAGAACATTATTGTTCCCGAATTCAAGCCCAAGGAAGGTGTCAAGATTCAAGTTCAAGAGAACGAAAATGTGGATCAGGATAACCCATCAGGTATGTGTCCCATTGGATGACTTTTGAATGTTTCTCGAACCATTCATGTGTATAGACTCTATTGATGAGGTTGTGAACAAGCTTCCTTCTCCATCCACTCTTGCTGGCTTCCGCTTGTCACCCTGCGAATTTGAAAAGGATGATGATACCAACTTCCACATTGATTTCATTACCGCCGCTTCCAATTTGCGTGCCATGAACTATGACATCAACCCTGCTGACCGACACAAGACCAAGTTCATTGCTGGCAAGATCATTCCTGCTATTGCTACCACTACTGCTTTGGTGACGGGTCTTGTTTGTCTTGAACTTTACAAGGTAAAAAATGGTGCTCTCGTATTGGTAGTAGTCATACAACCCACTCACCTTTTGTATATGTGTAGATCATTGATGGCAAGAAGAAGCTTGATGACTACAAGAACGGTTTTGTCAACCTTGCTCTTCCCTTCTTTGGCTTCTCTGAACCCATCGCAGCACCTACGTCAGAATACAATGGCAAGACCTTCACATTGTGGGATCGTTTCGATATTGAAGGCGATATCACTCTTCAAGAATTCATTGACTATTTCAAGAATGAGCACAAGCTTGAAGTGACCATGGTATCATCAGGCGTGTCCATGTTGTACTCTTTCTTTATGCAAAAGAAGAAGGCTGAGGAACGTCTAAAGATGAAGTAAGTGTCCCCATCGAAACTTTGTATGTTGGATTCCAGAATTGACTGGTGGTTTGATGATAGGCTTTCAAAGTTGGTCGAAACCGTATCCAAGAACCCTATTCCTCCCCACGTCAAGGCCATTATCTTTGAGATTTGTGCAAATGACGTAGACGATGAAGATGTCGAGGTAAGCTCTATGCTGCCATTGCATAATCATATGTGCTCATCTATGGCTATCAGGTTCCTTATGTGCGTGTCAAGATCAGGCCGTAAAAAAACCACCCACCACCATCAACAACACTCGAAAGCTAGTCGACATAAACCACCATGCTCTTTTATTCTGATATATGACAGCAGCTTTTGACATTTGATTTATGCATGTGTGCGTGTGTGATACGTGGATATGGTGAATGGGGGATATTATTTGGGTGACTGACAGCAAGCGATCAAGGGGCTTTATGTTGTGTGGGTATAGGTTGGTGGTGCACCTCCTTAATCGTAAATTGTCTTTCACGCTCCACTACCACCAATACTCTCTGTGTGTGTGTGTGTTTCCCTTATCCCTTGTATGCTCCTTATTTCTATTTTTTTTTCTTAGAGCAGTGACATGTGTTTTGAGTGTACGTTTCTTTTATCTCCTTTCCTTTATTACCTTCTCTCTCTGGATGGCATATAACGGTGACCTATCTCGGCTCCTCAACGAGCAACAACACCGAGAGCCGAGTAGTATCTTGAGCGAGGTCTTGCAGTCTCGTTTCAGCCATGATCAACCCTACGCGTTACTTGATCAGCATCGATTATTTGTGACCAATCCTTACAAAAAGCTGGAGCTCTTGAATGACGCAGCTGTACAAGCCTACGCCGACCATGGTTACAAAAACTTGACAGCGAATGATGCATCATCGGTTGAACCACACGTTTATGAATTCGCAACACGATTGTATTATATAATGCGACGACGTAAAGAACATGTTGGTGTGATTCTTAGGTATGTTGTATGGTGTACGTTGTTGCCATGGAGATGATGATGATATTCATGTTCCCTTTGTTGCATGCAGCGGCGTTTCCGGATCAGGCAAATCAACCACACACCAACATTTGTTAAATGAACTCCTCCACCTTTCGGCTCAGACCAAACGTGAAGACAAAATCCGTAGGCAGGTTACGAATGCACAGACCGTGATTGAAGCCTTCAGCGGAGCATCCACTGCAGACAATATGCATGCCTCGCATTTCAGCCAATTCCAGACACTGTATTTTAATGAACGTGGGCGTATCCTTGGATCCTACACGGCTGTTTACTTGTTGGATAAATTTCGTGTGGCACCCAATGCATCCGATCCAACCTTCAACATTTTCTATCAATTGCTTGCTGGAACCACGGCTCAAGAGAAGAATGCATTACACATCAATCATCCAGCCGACTACTTTAGCTACCTTAAAGATAGCCAGCATCATCCACATCGCTATGTGGAAGGCACACCTACCACACGTGATGAAGTGTTGTTTAATGATTTTAAGGAAGCACTCAAAGCATGCGGCTTCAAGAGTAAAACGATTGCCCAGATATGTCAGCTGCTGGCAGCCATCTTGCATCTTGGTAATATTCAATTTACGTCATCGGCCTCTGACAATTGTCGCATCAAGAACAAGGATACCTTGTCATTGGTGGCTGCAGCCTTGGGCGTGGCTACTACAAAATTAGAATCCACTCTTACACACAAGCTAAAGTTGCTCGGCAAGGAATTTTGTACCGCCTTTTTGACAGTGGATGGTGCTACACAACAACGTGATTCACTCGCACGGACGCTGTACACGATTTTGGTGCTTTGGGTGACCGATCAGATAAACCAAAAGCAGCAGCAAATGATGACCGATACAGAAAAGCACTATTGTATACGTATTTTGGATCCTGCTTCACGCACTTCTTCAACATCACCACGTGGTTTCATGGATTTATGCAAGCACTTTTGTGAAGAGCGTATGCGCGCTTTTCGATTTCCTCGTCCATTGCATATCAACAACCATTACAACGGCAACCCAAATTCCAGCTTGTTCATATTCCAAGGCATGATCCCAGTACTTGATCGAGAATCAGAGCGTTTACAAGCCTATGCTTTGGATGCCACGGATCAACATTTCTTGTCATTGGCTTCTAAACACATGGCTGTTGACAAGGCCAACAAGAGCTTTACCATCCAACATTTTGGCACCCCGGTGGAGTATAGTGCTGATGGTCTTCTTGAGAACAATCTTGATGCACTATCGCCTGATTTCATTTTGCTTTTCCGATACAGCTGCTCCAATGCATTTTTCCGTGAGTTGTTTGAGAGCTCGGTGGTGGTAACAGAAACGCATCCACGTGATGAGAGGACGATCATCAAGGCGCAATTGCCTTCATCACCAGCAGCATGGGAAATACAACAACAAGAAGATCAACCACCACGCAAAATTGAAACCGTAATGGATCAAATGGTGCATAGCATGGATGATTTGATGGATGTTCTTGATACAGCACGTCTCTTTGAAATCATGCACGTTCGTCCCAATGATCAACAAAAGCCCGATTTTTTCGATCCAGCCGTCGTTCAACAACAACTTAATGCATTCCATCTTGGGCCACTTGCTTTGGATCAAAACATGTATCGATACACATTGGCTGAATTTCTCGAGAGATACTATTACTTGACTTGTATGCTTCCTGATCATGGAGAAAAAATGGCGGCGGATGACATGACAATGGTTTCTGGAGAGGGTGCCCAAAAAGAAGAATACCCACAACAACAAGAAAACAATGACTCTGAAACGGTGCTCAAGCTTGTACACATGATGCAATGGACCGATCGACAAGTGCAGCTTGATAGTACCCATATTTGGATTGGCTTTGACGTGTGGAAAGATCTTGAAAACCATTTACGTGCACTCGAAAAAGAAGATCGTATTCGTGAACGAGAACGACGCATGTTGGAAGAAGCTGAACGACAAGCAGCTGAAAAAGCTGAAGCTGAAGCACGTGCAGCAGCCGAAGCGGCAGCAGAAGCAGAAGCAGCAGAAGCAGCAGCAGCCAAGGCTGAACAAGAAGCAGATGAGGGTGGCGATCAACATCATACAGGCGATAATCCATTCGATGATCCAGATGGTGCTTCCGATGTTTATTCGGATCATGACTTTTATGATGATCGCACGGAAGTGGATGAACGCATGGGCAGTACTTTTGGCAAACAAAGTAGTCAATGGGCCGATGATGATGATTACATGGATGGGTATGTTGTGTACGTTTGCACTTTTGGTATGCGTATGTTAATTTCAATTTTATCAGCTATGGGCCTAATATGGATATGAGCAAAATGATTGAAGATCATTGTCCTCCAGCTGAAGAGCTCATTGAAGTTGTTCCAATCACTCGCATACGTCGTTGGTGGGCACGTTTTGTATGGTTCTGTACTTGGATGATCCCATCATTCGCACTCAAATACATTGGCAAAATGCATCGACAAGATGTGCGTATGGCATGGCGTGAAAAAGTGACCTTGTGCATGTTGATCTTTTTATTGTCTGCAAGCGTCATCTTTTTCATTGTGGGTCTTGGCGAGGTGATTTGCCCAGGTACCAAGGATCTCTTTACATCAAATGATGTCACTGGTCACCAAACCATTGAAGATTACTGGATCAGCGTGAGAGGAAAAGTCTATGATATGACCAAGTTTGTATCCTCACCCCATGGCACGACCACGTATATGGCGACCAAATCGACTTTGGAACCTTTGGCAGGCCGAGATTTATCATACACATTCCCACCACCGTTAACACAAGCATGTCAAGGCTTGGTCACTGATCCATCCATAACGGTCGTACCCAATGAAACCATTGTCCTTGGTCCATTTGTGCATTATTCGGGTGATCAGCAAAGCGAGAGCTCACTTGCAAGATTGGGTGACCCAAATTGGTTGGATCATTACTTTTCACCGGCGGTGACTCCAAACAAAAAAGGCCAACTGGTGATATCGAAAAAGCAATTGAAAGACGACTTTGAAGGATGGGGTCGACTCGCACTTGCCATTGATGGCAAGGTATACGACTTGACAGACTACATGACTACAGCACGTAAATACCCTCGTAATGCACCTGGTGTGCCTAATTATCACTATTTGGATGACGACGTGGAGCGCATGTTTCAGAAGTATTCAGGGACGGATGCTACAGACCAATGGAAACTTTTCACTGCCAGCATGGATGAAGCAACACGAGCCCAAAATCTTGACTGCTTGAACAATGCATTTTATGTGGCACAACTGGATTATCGTGATGAGCTGCGATGCACCTTTGTAAATTACTTGTTGCTCAGCTTTGCTGTCATCATGTCCTTTGTGGTCCTTGTCAAGTTTTTGGCAGCACTTCAATTTACAGGTGAACCAACACCGGAGGAACAAGACAAGTTTGTCATATGCCAAGTACCATGCTACACTGAAGGCGAGGAATCTTTACGCAAGACCATCGATTCATTGACAACCATGAACTATGATGACAAGCGCAAGCTTTTGTTTTTGATTGCTGATGGCATGATTATTGGCAGTGGCAATGATAAGCCAACACCCATGGTCCTTTTGGATATCCTTGGATACGATGTTGAAAAAGACGAAGATCCTGAACCAGTCATGTTCAAATCAGTAGGCGAAGGCAGCAAGCAGCTCAATTATGGCAAGGTGTATTCGGGCTTGTATATGCATGAAGGCCACACGGTGCCCTATATTGTGGTTGTCAAAGTTGGCAAGTCGACCGAACAAAACAAACCTGGCAACCGTGGCAAGCGTGATTCACAAATCATATGCATGGACTTTTTACGCAAGGTCCATTTTGATGCTGAAATGACACCTTTGGAACTCGCCATCTATTACAATATCCGTAACGTGATCGGGATTGATCCCGCTTTGTATGAGTACGTGCTTATGGTGGATTCGGACACCGAGGTGTATCCCGATGCATTGACGAGGCTAGTGTCATGCATGTTGCATGATAGTCGCATTATTGGTCTGTGCGGCGAAACGGAGTTGTGCAATGAAGACATGTCTTGGACAACACGTATCCAGGTGTATGAATATTACATTTCACATCATCTTGTCAAGGCTTTTGAATCACTCTTTGGATCCGTCACTTGTCTGCCAGGCTGCTTTTGCATGTATCGCATTCGTACACCACACAAACGTCAACCCTTAATTGTGTCTCCTCAAATCATTCGTGGCTATTCCGATAATCAGGTGGACACATTACACAAGAAAAACTTGCTGCATTTGGGTGAAGATCGATACTTGACAACGTTGATGATGAAAAACTTTCCACAATACAAGATCAAGTTTACTCCCTATGCTCGTTGTCGCACTGTGGCACCCGATAGTTGGCGTGTGTTGCTTTCACAACGTCGTCGTTGGATCAATTCAACCATTCACAACTTGCTCGAGCTTATTCTCTTGCCGGAGCTTTGTGGCTTTTGCTGCTTGTCCATGCGATTTGTGGTCATGATTGATCTCATTGGCACTGTCACTTTGCCTGCCTCTGTCATTTATTTGGCGTATCTCATTTACATTGCAGCGTCCAACACAGGGCCAATTCCAGTCATTGCCTTGGCTATGCTTGCAGGTGCCTATGGTCTTCAAGCATTGATCTTTATTTTCAAACGTCAATGGCAGCATATTGGATGGATGGTCATTTATTTATTAGCCATTCCCGTATTCAGCTTTATCATCCCGATTTATGCATTCTGGCACTTTGATGACTTTTCTTGGGGCAACACACGTGTTGTCGTAGGCGATAAGCAGAAGCAGATCATTGTTACCGAAGACGAAAAGTTCGATGACAAGATGATTCCTATGAAGAAATGGTCACAATACGAGCGTGAAATGGAGGAACTGGCACTTCAACAAGAGGAGGAAGATAACAAGACTCAATTGACGGATGACAATGAGCACCACAGCCATGAAGGAGGAGGAGGGGATGATCATGATGGTTTGCAAGCACCAAGATTACTCTCTGAACGCAACTTGTCCGATTTTGCAGTGGATCTTTCAGGTGCATTGAATTATCCATCATCTAACAATGGGCCATTTACACAATCATCCATGCTATCACAAGACGAGGAGCATGTATCTAAACCTATCCTTCCTGAAGATGAGGATATCGAACGTGAGGTTGCACGCATTTTGGCTGGTGCCAATCTTATGGAGCTTACCAAAAAGCAAGGTATGTATGAAATCTCGTATTTTGGATGCTTCATACGCTAATCATTGTTGCTCCTTTATAGTGCGTGACCAGCTTTCGCAGCGATTTGGCGTGGATCTCACCATCAAAAAGGGATTCATCAATGAAGCAATCGAACGCACCCTCACCAACAGCACACTGTAACAAAATTTAAATGCAATCTATAGTCAATCAAGTGTATAATTGTTCTTTGATCAAGTAAAGGTTCTCTTTTATTATAATACTTTCATCAAAAGAAGCGATGTTGTATCGTTGTAACATGCAAAGTGGTGATCGTTCGTGGTTGAGGATCTCGACTACACATGTCGTTCTTAACTAGGCTATGTATAGAAATCATGTGCTTGTTACATAGCAAATGGCATTTGAGCCATAGCTGGGTAGTAGGTACACCCATTCAGTTATAGCGGTGTATACCTTCAGAGGATAATAATTCGGTAGCAATGTGTGTGCTTTATACAGTAATACAATGACAATAAAGAATGTTACAGTGAGTGTATGGGGACAATGCTAGCTAAGATGAAGGAGCCTTCATATAAGAATGAGCTACAAGCGTAAAATGACATAAGAAGATGGACATTTACCCCGCCATCAGCGATGTGTTCAAGAGGCGCCCATTCAAGCGTGGGTTCTACCAATGACATGCCTGCGAAAGAGTGAGTGAGCGAGTGAGTGAGAGTGAATGAGAGGGGAAATCATTTAATGTGCCATTAACCCGCGCTCTCTTTCTTCTTTCCCAACCCATACCTTGTATACCCTTTTCCAATGCCATCGACAAAGCGAGCCATTGCCTTGCGACTCAATCGTGAAGCCTTGGATTTACTTCAAAACTCACCAGACAAGATTAAGCTCGACCTAAATCAGGACAATGGCACTGTAAGTGGGGGAGAGGGAGGGAGAATGTTCTCAACAGAAATGGACATCTCATATACATACTTTTGCTACAGTCTCTTGTCATTGGCAACAAGAGGTTCTCAGTGAAACGGCAAGAAGGCCATATTCCATATCAGCTTTATCGAGGGTTCGAGGAACTTGGCAGTAGTCAACATGGCACGACATCAGTAGAACTTGTAGCCAATGTGCTGCAGGTGCTCAATATGAAACAAGTCTTATCCAAGGAAGACAAGTCGCGGTTCCGAAGTTTGACCGAAGCTGCAGAGCGAGAAAAGAATGCGAGACGCACCGAGTTATTACCCAATGTCCCCAAATTATCATCATCCTCTTCGTCAACAAGTTCATCCCCACGCAATGTCTTGGTCGGGGCAACACCACCCACCCGACGACCGATATCATCTGCATCACCCGTTCGCTCTACGTCCAAATCCAAATCATCATCATCCTCAGGTCTCTCTCCTGCTCGTCCTGATCCTGCGTATGTGGCTTCTGTGCGTGAACGATTAATACATCTATTGGCCATCTATCCACATCCATTGAGTCAACTCACGTCCAAGCTCAAGATACGGGAATCTGATTTGATGCCGATCCTTAAAAAGGTATACATGTGCATGTGATAAGGGGGCGTATGTGTTAAATGGTTACTAACCGAATTATTGGAAACAGGCGGCTGTAGAATCGCAAGGCAGTTGGTGTCTACGTCCTGAAGTATACAAAGACTTGAGAATTTGGGAATGGAAACGATACGATGACAAAGAGCGGAGTATGGTCATTAAGAATGCTGAAGACGCCTATGATGCTCTCAAGTTGCCACGCAACGCTCCAGAACGCAACAACCTGGTTACGCCTCGCAAGAAAGCAACCTCATCTTCTTCATCGTCTACACCACAAACTGCCAGCCTTTTACAACCACCTCCATCACAACGTGTCGGTGATCAACATGCTTCATCCACAACACCGACAACACCGATCAAATCTCCTGGTAAACGACCCGCATCATCCACAAGCACAACAACAACAACCACAGCCAATGGCAATCATAAGCATGATGAAAAGCGGATCAAGACTGAAAAGTCGTCCAAATCCAAGAATAGTAGCAGCACCAGCAGTGGAACAACAACAACTACAGCACGACATTCCCCACAAAAAGCAACCACCTCCACCAAACATTATCACAAATCATCTTCATCCAATCATCTTCATCCTCAGCATACAACACATTCGGTCAAAGATTCAACTGTTCCACCACCCTTGGCGCCATCCCACCCTAAAGGTATAAACATTGGAATAGTAGAGATCATCATCATCATCCACCACCTATTCATGCTAATGTGCTATTAGGCACATCGTCTTCGAGCGGGTCGTCTTCATCCGACACAGATTCCTTTTATGAGGAAGAGCAACAGGTCGTCCCTGATTACGAGCATCCATTTGTTGTGAGTCCAATCACCACCCAAGCTCAGTTTTTAGCCATGTGCAAGAGTCACGACGAAGCACAGGCAGAGTACATTCAACTGAAACGTAGAATCAGCAAAGATCATCCCCATTACTTGTACGCTTTGGATCATGTCGAAGCACCAAGAGATATCAAAGACGAAGCACAACGAAGAGACATGTACTATACAAAGGTCAAGGCTGTCTACCGCTCTCAAGGAGGCAATGATTGGCGTACGGTCATGCAACTCACACGACAATTCAATCATCAATTGAGCAAGGTCAATGCCCTGTGGAACGAAGTCGAACGTGCATTCCATGAACATCAATTTGCTTTACCCACTAAACGATAAAAAAAGAACGTGTGCTATGCCATGTTTTTGTAAATATTTATATATCATATATACATCATTGTGTGTGCGTTTGTTCAAATGCGAATGGGAAATGACAAAAGGGTGGATGGATGGATGGATGGATGGATTACTTAGGGATAAGGTTGTTGATGGTAATAAGGTTGGGGCATGGCGTTAAAAGCGGGTGTAGTGGATGCTGTAGGCTGTGGCGGTATGAAAGGTGGTTCAGGTGTAAAGGAAGTCATTGGTGGTTCGGGCGTGTGATGATAATAACCACCACCATGAGCTGCTACTGGTGGAGGTGGGGGTGATGTGGAGGGTGCATAAAGCGGTTGTTGCACGCTGTCGATGGGAATGTTACTCATAGCAGGAGGAGGTATCTCATGTTTATCAGCTGGTGAATGCAAGGGCTCGGTAGCTTGCTCTTCATCATATTCCTCCTGCTGCTGTTGATGTTGTTGTTCATTTTGTCTAAATTCCTTGAGATTCTTGTGTGCTAATTGTTTTTCATTCCAAAATAGGATAATACTGCAAGCAAGTGTGGCTAACCACATGAGCAGTAAGAACCAAGAAAACGCCGCTGCTGCTTTAGCACAGTTGCACTATACACAAAAAATGAGCCTTTTACATAGCTTAGAGTATACTATTTATTACCTGTGCTGGCCATGCAGATGCATACGCATCATCTGATCTTGCACGGCTGCTGTCAAGTGTGCAGTGTTCTGGTTTGTTGGCGTGTACGGTCATAGCAATGCCTGCAGCTGCCCAAAGGAAGGAACCTGCTGCTGTGAATATCAACGATGTTCTTGGTTTCATGCAAAATTTGGCAATTCGTTTGAATTTGTTTTGTCGATCGTATGCCCAAGGAAAGTATACAAGCAACCCTGGAATCCAGCACGTGAATATAGCAACAAACAATGTCCAATTTGGGGCTGCTTGACTGCCTCCCTGTAAAAGAATGATATGCATAAGCCATCATGACATCTTTTTACAGCAAACCACACGTACATAGAATTTGATCTCGGTAGCGATCACTGGTGCTACAACACAAATCACCAACAACGTAAGGACCGCCTGTACAATATGACACCATGCTTTGACGCTGCTAAGATGTGGCATATTATCCGGTACGTTGACCGGCATCGCAAGGTTCATGGATGGCATGCAGCAAAAAAGAATATAAAAAAAGATGAGAGGAAAAAAAAGAAGACACCTTTATCTTTTTCGATCCATCCATTTCAAAAATAAAAGCAAGGAGCAGGAGCCAAACCAAAAGCGGAAGTCGCCAAGTGCGTAGTAAAAACATAAGCTGCGGATTTTGTTTGCCGATCCAAAAATACAAAGAGCCCCAAGGGTCGGATCACATCGTTGTATCACCTATTTCATCATGCTGCCAAGCATGACATATCTTGGCATCATGTTCCGTTTTCTCGAATGCCCATGATACTGGATGTTTTGAATTGCTCAGCATGAAGAAAAGTCAATAGGTGCAAGTACTATACTCGTCTGAGCTATATTTCGTCATGGTTGCTGGTTGATGATCTACCCAATTGCACTAAAAGAAAATTAACTCATTATAGACCCCTAGGCTTTCGACCATCATGGCCACCAAATACATACATACATACATGATGTTCGTCTTTGTAGTAGGCAAACAATTGGATGTATCAATGTTGGATGCCTTTTTCTAAAAAACGTCCATTGTTGGTTCTCCAGCCATGGGACAGCTTTATGGTCCATCCATCATCCCACGTCCTCTGGAATACTGTGTGCGGTAGGAAAGGTGAGAAGGATCCTTTTCAAAGAGACCGTACGTACTACCTTAATCCTTTACTAAGCAACGACAACGAAGCTATGTATGTGAGTGACCTATAAATATGCATGCAGCAAGTGTCACATCGCAACAAACGACTATCACAAGGATGACCTCATCTCTCAACCACATACTTTAAGAATGGGTGATAGTGGCCGTGTTGCATTTGTTTAGTAAAAGTAAGCATTTAAGATTCGAAGGTTGTCTTCAAGCAAACAACATAGCAACGATCATATGGCATAAAGAGACAATCATGAAACAAGTAGAATTGCATCTTTACTTCAACTTTAATACTCTCAAGTACAATATCCACGAGCCCCGGGGATCTATTTCGGTCTCTTTATAATTGGAAGGTTGTCGAACAGGATACTCTTTGGCTTGATAACTCTGATGGAGTATGCAGCGTTCGTGTTGAATAATACCGTATCGTGCGAATCCTCACTGAAATAGGTAATCATGCCGATTTGAAGAAAGAGCTCTCTACCTTTGCTCGATGTCATCTTGAGTAATATCTAGGAATGCACTTTACGACGATTAAGATATTTGGAGAGGTGAAGCATGAAGACGCTGATACAGTAGCCATAGCATGGATGGGGATTTCGTAAGGTGAAAGTAATTAGGCAAGTGAACGAGCGAGCGCAACAAGGTTGTCGTGCTTCCAGATCTGCATAATTTGAAGCTCCTATGAAATGATTGATCTCTAACAATGACACAAGTACCCTTTTCAACATAACACAATGATATTCAATCACTAAACACGACCCCATCTCCATCCAAGTCTCAAACACAAACGCACAGAGCCGATGAAATATGAAAACGAGTGGAGCATTATATTAATAAAGGCAGGAGTATCAAAAGTGGAGTGTTCCAACGAGTGTGCGGTCTCTATGTGTTTTGGTAGATGCCTCTAACTGACCTATAACACCGGGCCTTGTTGCTTGCTCTTGCGTAATCGTGGTGGTCGATAGAGTGGGTCATGGTCGATCTTGTCAATGAAATGATGTTGAAAGATGTTTGGAGGGTTCCCATTGTATCGATTTGCTCGGCCGAATGAAGTACGTTGATAATCCGTTGCCTTGAACCCGATGTTCCAAATGCTCTTGAATGTTTTTCCTCTCGCCAGCTTTGTGCATAATTGTTGCCAGCAAGTGAACCAATGAGACTGAAAAACGCACTCCAGCCTACGTACAGGAAGGAATTGCAATGAGCATCAAATTGATCACGGCCTTGGAAATTTCCTTACCCTTTCATAATCGTCTTTGCTACTTTTGCGTAGATGAAAAGCATCCAAACCCTCGGCTAAGGTAGTAACTTCTTACGACTGCCCCGGATCCTGCGACCAGTGAATGTTGAGGATACGCTTAAAACACGATTATCATTATCAGCAAGTGCTTTCTTTGTCACCATCTTATAAAACACTTACATCGCTTTGAGTGGCTCAACCATACATGAAGAGATCGCTACTTTGGGACACTATAGCAGCTGTGTTGCCCATTGTCCTGCAAGGCACACCATCTGAGAACATTTGTGCTAAGGTTTGCAGCTTGATTCGAAGGCCTACTGCATCCACGGTTATATTCAACGCTATTACACTCTTACAATGGCATACCTTGACAATGACATCTTTGACCAAGCGTGTGCATATGTGTTCTGACATTAGCTGTACAGTACGCCAACTGACGCGAGTCCAATGGGATGTCCTGTTTTCAGAGTTAGAATGTCTTTCGAATTTCTGGTAGTATTACCATTCATGTGAAGCCCGAATGCTGACCACGTATGTTATCATCGATTTGCGCCTTGTTGACGTACACAAGGCGGCAAGGATCCCACGGCAACGCATGCAGGTTATATGACCACTCTGCGGTTTTGAGCGTGTCCTCGTTCAGCGTCCTCGAGACCAAGGCAGCGATGGTTTTCTTGAAACCTTGCTTTTCATTTGACGTTCCTAATTGTGCCACGCATTAGCTACCCAATAACCCAGCCTATACCAGCCTGACCAAATAACTTACGTAGATGATCGTGGTACCTATTCCAACTTTGCATGTGCATATCGAGATGCATGTATCTACATCAAAAGATTATATGAGTATGTGGCTTCATCAGCGAGGTGATTAGGTTTTACCTTCATAAAGGAGCCAAATATCACAACGACAACAATGACAATGAAAGCAGGATAACAATGAAACGCTAAAGATCATCACAAGCATTAGCACATAGATTGTCCATAAAAAGGATTATCCACAACGATACTTACCAATGGCTTTTGAACCCGCCAGCAATGAAAGAGTGATATGATGGAAGAAAGAGATGTGTGGGAGTAAAACGGTGGGCGACAACATCCATCTTGTTTATATCTGCATGGTGGGCGTGGGCATTTCCCGGATCACAAACAGGGAGAGAAGAGTGACAAAATGTCTGTTGAAGAGCTGATAGATAAGTGGAACCACCTTCACAAAGAGTCTTGGTGTGATTGATTGTCCATGCATAAATCAGGATCTGATAGACGACGTGGGCAACATCCATCATCCATTTCCAATCACAAATCAATTGCTGTGCTCAAATTTCACGTGATAAGGCGCTGGTCGAGAATGCTTGCGTGAGTCGTACGTTCCAGAAAGAAAAGTTGATGGTAGTTTGATCGATAAACATGGTTGACAAGCGTAAATGTTCCCGCCTGTGCGGATGATAAAACAGCTCCTTCACCGTTGTAGTGACCAGGCTCATCGTTGTTCCCATTCATCGTCTCCAAAGAAGATCGAACCCTGTATTCCCAACTCTCCAAGGATACGCACCAGCTTATCACGAAAAGAGCGCTTTGTTGTGCACTGATAATGTCAAATGGCCAAAAAGGTACAGGCTGGGAGTCAAAGTCAAGGAAGGATGAATACCCAAAGACGCACTACTTGATCAAGAACATATTCAATAGTAGTATCATCCATTGTTAGCACACATACACAGTAAACTGCTTTCCACTGAACTTGCCCTTTTCATATGCATGAAGACCTTTGTTGTTGGGTTACTGGAAACAGAGAACCAAGTGTAGTGTCATCCAGCCGAATGAAAAGCGCAATGAGCCAACGTCTTTGCGTTCGAATCGTTTCTGCTATACAAGCTAGCGCGTCAATGGAACAACGTCTACTGCAGCACTGGGGCTCTCAATGTACCTAATGCACCAAGAGTGCGGCGACATAGCAACGAACAAGAAGAGCGACGATATCACCATGGGGACCACATTTGCAGACGCACCGTATCTATGAACAATCAGCGCCATATCAATACCTCACAACCAGCAAGAGCATTACCTTGATGAAATGAGTTGAATGGGGTGAAAAGGAGAGGGAGAAAGAGAAGCGCTTGTCTCAAGTCGTGGAGCTGCTGGTCTCCAAATTAGCCAACCCCATTCGCCCCCACATCCAAACACACAACAACCCTTCATCATCACGATAGACAATATGACATGTAAATAAATAGTATCATCACCACGTACATCAATAGATGGTATTTTCGTATGATTCAACGACAGCCACTGCTTATTATCCAGCCCCAAGCATCATTCTTTTATAGGGGAAGGATTCTTCATGCACTCTCCACCAATAGGATGGCTCTCCAAGTCCTGCTCTCTCGGCTTGTGTTACACAACCAGGCACTTCTGTAGCCTTGGCTCTGATATGGGTGAGGCGATTGGCAATGAACACACCTCTTTACATATAGCATCACGCATACAGCATATGGAAAATATAAAGACGTCCATATCTCAAAACTTTACAATCAAACGTGGGGTCTTTAATAGAACAAAGCTGCTCGGCGGGGTCAAAGCGATCTTGTGTCAAAGTATGAAGTCGATCGTGGCCATTCCCAGATACACCCAATGTCGCCACCAGCCAAAAAATATTTTCGTCGTCGTCGAAAAAAAATTCAAGAGGTCGACCCGATTCCAATTTGGCTGGTGGCGACATTGGGTGAATCTGGGAATGGCCACGATCGACTTCATACTTTGACACAAGATCGCTTTGACCCCGCCGAGCAGCTTTGTTCTCATAAAGACCCCACGCTTCATTGTAAAGTTTTGAGATATGGATGTCTTTATGTTTTACATATGCTGTACGCGTGATGCTATATGAAAAGACGTCTTTGTTCATTGTCATCTAGCTAGAGCTAATACAGCCAAAGATGCAGAGGGACGTGTTTGTGTAATACATATGATTGGGTTGAATTGCAAGGGACAATGTATAATACTTTATGGATTATCTAGGATAAGGCATGCATTGCCAGCTAACAGGCACTTCCACCCAACACCAACTTTTGTCCACTCCATCATTATGGAACAACGCTCCATCTCCAGACATTCATT